CACCGCGCTCGTATGCCGTTCACGCCGAGTCTCACTCTCAAATCGCCTTCTTATCCCTCCGCCTACCAGCACGGGAGTCGCTCGTCCCGTACTGGGAGGCGACGACGGAGCCATCGCACGCACTCGAAAGCAGTACCCGGGACTCAGCTGGTCTGGGTGGTGTTGCAAAGCTTAGCCACAGTGTCGACGAGTCCAGGCTGCGATCACATGCATAGCGCCCGCACTCAGCCGTGGAGAGATCTGTACCCATCACCATGGCCTCACTGCTGCACTCGAACCGTAGCGCTGGCCGCAGCAAATCCAACACCTCGCACACGACCATTTCAACCTCACTGCCCCAGCTGACGCTGTCAACCCGGAACATTCGATCCGGCTCAAACCTCTCGCACCGCAATGAGAGTCCCCGATCACCATTCTCGCCTGCATCTTCACGAAGTCGACCCAAGCACATCGTGGTGAAAACCGATCGAGACATGTCCTCGCAGAAAGCATCGTCTCCTTTTCCCAACACCAACACATCCGCAAAGCAATCTTCCGCGAACCATGCAAAGTTACATAGGCGCGGCGGGTCGGGCTCGTTACCAGGGCCACCCTCACCCTTTGTCGGCGGCCACCAATTCACAACTCCATATGCCACCTACGAGGAGTCCTACCCCGATGTCACTCCCACGAGTGCAACTGCTTCTTCCACACCCAAGATCAAGCCTTATCTAAGGAAGATGTCGAGTAGTAAGGACGATCAGGGCACGATTGATCTCAACAAGAGCATAGCAGAGAACGAGCGACTGGCAGGTCTGGGGATATCCGACTTTGCCAGCAGGTCGGCTGCTGATGTTAGCTTTGGCCATCCGAGCAGAAGACAGACACATGCTCGGACCACCAGCATTGGCTCTCAGGTGTCGAATGGCTCCGGCACATTCAGGCCCGGACAGCCCTTCGTTCACCCTGCGACAAAGGTGCCGAGGCCATACACCCCGCCTGGTGCTAGCTATGCCAGCTCGCTGAACGATGAGCATGCCAACGAAAGTGACGATGTGGTGGAGGACGAGTTTCGCTTGGGCGCCTTCCGAACGAAGAGGAGCATGTCCATCACCTCGACGAACCCCACCCCACTATCGCAATCGCACACCGCTAGCGACCTAGGTCTGGTGCCCAAGTTGACCAGCGCTTCGCAGTCCAACTTGTCCACAATGTCTCGAGCTTCAAGCCCGTCCGGCACCAAAGGTCGTTCACGAAGAGGCACCGACCACTCAGAACTGGCTCTATCACCGCAGACGACCGGTGGCCGACCTAGCATCGACAAGGCCTTCAGCTTGGTTTCCGGCCGACGATCAGATCCGGACACACAGTCTCGCGATGAGCTCATCCGCAATGCGAGAAGAAAGTTCGAAGAGAAGGAAGCGAGGAAAGACAGCAAACAGCAGAAACGCCGCGAGTCAGATGAAGCGAGAAAGGAGGCTGCGAAGCAACGCAAGCAGTCTACTGCATCTCGGAGTGCAAAGTCGGAAGAAAAGATTCCAGCAAAGAAACGGAAAGGCTCGGCTGCTACAGTACTTGGTGGTGCACAACAAGAAGACGAAGAGCTTGCCGATACCGTATACGGCCGCTCTTACGAAAACTATCGACCTGCTCACGATGCGACACTGCCGAGGTATGGCGACAGACCTGGAGAGAGCGAGAAAACTGGTCAGATCCAGTATTCAACCACCAAACACGAGCCGCGCAGTGGGAGCTGGATGCGTTTCAGCACTTGGGTGCAAACTCGTATGCTAAGCTGTGGTGGCGGCGGCCATTGAGATTGACGAGCTTCTCATGGTGCACTGTCACATGCTGCACGATGGACGTCACGAAACATTCGGACCCGCCGTTGCTCAAGAGCTCAATCGCAAGCGGATTCGGCAAGCGCGGTGGGAAGTCTGGTTGACGATGGTGGTGGTGGTGGGGAAAGGTGGGAGTAAGTGTCTTAGATGTACCGTTTTCAGCGAATGGCGCTTTGTTGTTATCCGGGTTGGTTGTTTCATGCATTACGCATATCTTGGATACCCGCACTGGTTTGATTTTCTGCATTTGCTCGGAGCGGTGTTTCATGATATACAGGTCATTTGCGTTTTGGAAAGACCATGGCTGTGATGACAGTTGGTTTGGCACGTATGGGACATATGAGAGACATGACGAATGCATATCACGGTGGAGGATGACGGTCATGTGGAGACATATAGTGACAACGAGGAAATGGACATCGTTTCCACTCTTATTTTGTTCATCTTGTTATCGTGTCTCTCCATCCCTTCCGTGTGTCGAATGATGATCTGCAGTGTTGTTGACGTGGTGTGCACCTGCCGTCTCAGCTTGATGGGCTTGGCTTATCCCTCGCCTCCAGCGTTTCCCTCCTCTCTTACTCAACTTCCTCGCAATTCATAGAAAGACATTTCCCCACTCAACTCAGAATACGATGACAGTGATTTGCAAGACGAAAGCTGCATGTCTCCACATCTGTGTTGCGCCTTCTCAGCCGTACACCAACGCGGCGTAGAGCGCGTCATGATCCTACGCGATTCCTTCATCCACAACGAAGAACGCGTCGAAGTAGTATATCACATACGTCCGGGTAAGAGGTAATGTCTGCCCACGCGACTCCCGCGGACCTCTGCGCAGTCTGCGTTACAGCACTGCGTGCAACACCAGCTATATCCCGAGACGATTACGATGATCTAGACTACACGGACAGGGCCAGCGAGCACCACTCAAGTTTGCACGAGTTGCGGGCATCTTCCGACCATGGCTGTCCAGCTTGCACTTGGCTTTGGCTCAGAGTGCGAGATTGCATTACAGATTTCAAGCTCGGTGACGACGTCGAAGTCACAAGCGAGTTGAGAAGTCCAGCACTGCGCGGTCACTACGAGTTGCCGGAGCACGAAGATGTGGAAGAGGGTGGCGATTACGCCGTCTTTAGCTCGATCGATGACCAGCAGCACGCGCAGCAAACGAATAATTCCATGACTGTGTACTTCTGGGCGACCATTGGAGCTCAAGACCAGCATCCGGACGGAGTGCGTTCTTTTGGACGAGACGTCTCGATCGTGCTAACGCCAGTAGACCACGAAACGAGGAAAGTCTCTCACATTGCTGACCTCAATACTGGATCTGATGCAACTTTAGATCTGGCGAAGAAGTGGCTAGAGCTATGCACTAGATCATCCACTATGCAACCAGCAACCAGCAACGTCTTGGAGGCCGACCCGCCTAATTCACATCCAGACCTCAGAGAGTGGCCTTGCCGCGTGCCTCCGCGAAGCTTCCAGAGACGAATATGAGCTTGATGTGCGCTACATGACTATGAGCCATAGATGGTTTCCGGATGCGCTAACCTTGCTGTCCAAGGCAACATTGCCAAGTTTTCGTGAGGGAATTCCTATCGAGAATCTGAAGACATCTGTTCGTGATGCGATGAGTGTTGCTCAACGTCTTGGCATCCCATACCTCTGGGTGGACTCTCTATGCATAGTGCAAGACAACCCAGATGAGCTGGGCTCGGAGATCATGGCGATGGACCGAGTCTATGGCAATTCGTTCTGCAATATTTCTGCAGCAAGTGAGAACGATAGCGCCGCAGGCCTGTTCTTTGACCGGGATCCTCGACACTGCACGACTTACTCTATCACGCTCGACTTGTCAGACACACTTCCAAGCGCACCGACTCAGCACTCCATCGCGGTATCTTGGGATGTATGCGCAGCGGAGCTGGGCGAATCGAGCTTGGGAAGCCGTGCTTGGGTGTTCCAAGAACGCATCTTGTCGAGACGGAATTTATACTTTTGTTCACGAGAACTTCACTGGGAATGTCGAGAGGCCGAAGCGTGCGAGACTTACCCAAACGGCGAGCCTGCTTCTAGCGAATGCCCGAACACGCTTCCAATCGTGGACGTGATACGTGAGGCTGACAGTGTTTACCAGAAAGAGTTGGCGCTCGAGATGTGGCCGTCACTGGTTAGTGCGTACGCCAATTGCCAAATGTCTTTTTCCATGGACAGACTGAGAGCTCTGTCTGGAGTGGCCAGCTTCTGCTCTTCGTTCACAGGTGACCAATATCTCTTTGGCCATTGGCGTACTTCACTACCGGAAAGTCTGCTGTGGAGAGTTCCAGAAAACGTCACAGAAGCTCGTGCGCTTCCCCCTTGTTGCACCCTCATGGTCGTGGGCGCATGTAACTGGCCTGATATTCCTCGATGAGCGATTCCGCACCTACGGATTGGAACGTTGGGCAGAACTCAAGCAGTACATCATCCGCGATGACCCCGACCCGTCGAAGGCTGCATTGAATGCGCTTGGAGCTATGGGGGGCGCTCAGGGGCAGTTGATTTTTCCTACACTTCACCTCGCGGGCAGGCTGTGGACTGCGACTGTACTCAAGAGCCTATATATTGCTGAAGATCGACAGTTTCCGTCATTGGAGCAAGATGCGTTGGAGATACATGGTTCAAGAAGCTTGCGACTCGTGCATGTTCGACTGGATTCGCCTATGGAATTTCCTTTCGAGGCTGCATACCTGCCCATCGCTGGTAAGAGGACGCCGGAGAACAGTATTATCTTTGCGCAGGAAGATGGCCTAATCTTGAAGCGCGTATCTGAGTCTTGGCTGGAACAGAGCAGCATTCCATACTTTCGGCGAGTGGGAGTGTACGGGACTGTAGATCATGTTCCTACTGAAAGCAATGAGCCTGACGTCGAGACATATCTTTATCTGATGTAATATCATTGTGACAGCGCATAGTCGTTGACAATGCTCTGGAAAAAGTCGTTGCCAGCCGCCAATCTTTCGCAAAATTATGATAGAAATCAGCGCAACGCTGCGCGAATGCTACACCAGCTTCGAGCCAGCAGGTGCAAGAACACGTCCAATTCTCCGTGATCCCTCTCGCTACAGACACAGCCACTTGGTTCTCACACCACACTCCGTCCGTCCGCGCTCATGAGTCCAGAATCGGGTAGAGGGCCTTCTTCGGCACTTCGCAAAGACATGACGCAACACCCAACCCACGAGTTTGCACTTTCTCCAGGCTTTTATGTGGAGTAAAAGTCGCCCAACATTCCGACTCGTCGTTCAAACTAGTGTATTTCTACCGCTTCCAGGCAAAAAATTGTTTCTCTGAGAACCACACAAGCACTGGCCGTCACATCGCGTCATCGTGTCAGCTTCCAAATTACCGAAACAAGAAATAGTTCTAACGACAAGAAGATCTCCATGTCGATTCCGATACCGAAAATCACCAAGAACAAGACTACGATCGATAATGGTTTCTTCCAGAAACTCGAAAGCCAGTTTCCTGGTGCGGGGAGAGGGAATTGGTATATTTACGCCGGAGTAGTTTTCCAGACCAATGATCGAATGGATTTGATTGAGGCTTTGTGGAAATATGTCAAGACTGCAAGTTTTGATTCAGAGTTATTGGGCAAGGCGAGGAAGTTGAGGGAGGCGTTGTTGAAGAATTCGGCGTTGGTGGGGTTTCCGAAGGTGAGTAAGTTACTGTCCATTCTCGTTGAATTGTTGAGTATGAGGTGGTTTTTGGGAGTCTTGTATTTATGTGGCAAGTGTTCTAGGGAATAAATGCGTGCACGAGTTTGCGTAAAGCCATTAAGGAACAGACGCCTCAGATTTTGAAGGCTTTGGATGAGGATAAGTCTTTGCGACAGTCTTTGGGTCGGGCGGAGAAGGATGCCAGAGGGAAAGACTTCTTTTCGAAGATTTATTCGCAACACACGGATCGCGTGTTGGAGAATATGTCGTTGGCTTCGGGGGAAGATCTTTCGGAGTTCGCTATCAATGCAATATATGGCGATCTCATGGCCGAAGAGTCGCGACTCAATGCGAAGGAGACTGGCTTGTTGGAATTCTTGGCATGTTATGCATCTGGGTAAGTTGTCGATGTCGTAGGCGGAAATGCGATGCTGACCTTAAGACACAGTGGTTCTGCGTGGATTCAAGCTAAGGGACATATGTAAGTTGAAGGCTGTTGCACTCGGCTCCGGTCCCTATCGTGATGCGCTTAACGATGATTACGAGCTGTCTTGCATAGGCATCGCTGACGGTGTTTGATATAGGTATGGGTGCCGGAACCTAGGAAACGGGAAAGCAGAGATATATGGTGCCATGAACGTCTGCAATGAGATCGAGAAGCGGCTGGGAATCAAGGTGAATCGCGAGCCTGAAGAGAATTGGACCTGGGTGTCGAAAGCCTACGCCTGGTGAGCTCTACTGCTACGGACGGAGCCAGACTGCTGGAGCAGTCAGGCTCGCCGAGACAGCAAGATTGAGTGTTGAAATTCAGCAGCAGTGGTTCGGAGGAGAGGAGCATCTGCATCTCCATATTCTGGATGTTGCATCCAAGCCTGCCCCTCAGTGGTAGATCTAGTACTTGTCCATATTGTACGATATCGAAAAGTGTTTGTGTCTTGTCAATCGGCCCTCGTAGTGTTCATTCTGGAATGGCGTGCTCGACGCGCTGTATCTCGTTCGCGGCTTTGACGGCGAGATGGACGAACAGTTCATGTAGAAGGTGTAGCCCAGCAGACTGCAGGTGTGTCTCCATCGGGAATTTCTCGGGGATTCTTTCGTTTCTTGGCACTTTTACTCATCCCACTTCAAGAGGTGACTCTGTTGCAGGAGTCATTCTGGGGCAACACATCAAGCAGATTGATCTCGCCTAGTGCTCACTTCGCTATCCAAGGTGTGAGCAACCTACCAAGCGCTCAAGTAGAGCTTTCCACTTAACCCTTCGCCCGCAATGGGCTCTATCAACTTCCCCGCCGAAGAAGAGCGCATCCTCGCGCACTGGGACGACAACAACGCCTTCCACCGCCAGCTCGAACTCAGCAAGGACGAGAAGCCCTACGTCTTCTACGATGGCCCTCCATTCGCTACCGGAACACCTCACTATGGTCATCTGCTCGCCTCCACCATAAAAGACATCATTCCCCGCTATTGGTCGATGCGAGGGCGATATGTAGAGCGTCGGTTTGGGTGGGACACACATGGTGTACCAATCGAGCAGATCATCGATAAAGCACTACAAGAGGAGTTCGGTGTGCGAGGCAAGGCTGCAGTAGACAAGATTGGCATAGCAGAGTACAATCGACGATGTCGAGAGGTCGTCTTGACCTACGCTGGGGAGTGGAGAAAGGTCATTGGAAGACTGGGACGATGGATCGACTTTGATCGCGACTACAAGACGATGGATGCGACCTTCATGGAGAGTTGTTGGTGGGTGTTTGCTCAGCTCCACAAGAAAGGGCTTGTATACCACGGCGCGAGAGTGCTTCCATATTCCACAGCCTTGGGCACCGCACTGTCGAAATCTGAGGCACAGGAAGACTACAGAGATGTACAGGACCCTGCAGTCACAGTCAGCTTTCCTGTTCTGCCGGTGGACCAGCAACCGGAGCATGTTCGGGCAAAGATTGAAGAGGTCACAAACCTGGTGGGCGGTGAGGTCAATTTCGTGGCATGGACAACGACACCTTGGACGCTACCGAGTAATCTGGCGCTCTGTACAAGCCCTGAGTTCGAGTACATCGTCGTGCATGACAAGGAGAGCGGGAAGAACTTGATCATGCTCGAAGCGGGTCTGAAGGTACTGTTCAAGGACCCGAAGAAGGCGAAGGACAAGTTCCAGCAATTCCCGTTGAAGATCAAAGGCACAGATCTGGCTGGGTGGAAGTACAAGCCAATCTTCAGCTACTTCTACGACCAATTCAAGGACATTGCTTTCCGCGTGGTCAACGACACATACGTCAAGTCAGACGAAGGTGTGGGCGTTGTCCACCAATCGCCTTCATTCGGTGAGGACGATTACGCCATTTGCTGGCGAGAGAAGATCTTCCTTCCTGAGCGACCTCCACCAAATCCACTGAACACCCAGGGGGAGTTCACTCCCGACGTGACGGACTTCGTCGGTCAGCACGTCAAAGCTGCGGACAAGGCCATCATCAAGAAGCTCGAGCAGGATCAACGAATGGTCAGAAAGGGCCAGATCACCCACAGATATCCATTCTGTCCCCGCTCGAAGACGCCACTCATCCAACGCGCTGTTCCATCGTGGTTTATCAAGGTAGAGGAGATCTCACCACAGCTGACTGACAATCTGAAGAAGACACATTGGGTTCCGGAGTCAGTAAATACTGGTCGTTTCCACAACTGGCTTGCCTCTGCAAAAGACTGGAATGTCAGCAGAAATCGATTCTGGGGGACACCTCTTCCGCTGTGGGTGTCAGATGACTTCAAGGAGGTTGTTTGCGTCTCTTCTGTTGCAGAGCTGAAGAAACTGTCGGGTTACGAGGGCGAGATCAAGGATCTGCACAGAGACACCATTGACTCCATCACCATTCCATCACAACAAGGCAAGGGCACGCTGCGTCGTGTGGAAGAAGTCTTCGACTGCTGGTTCGAGTCTGGTTCGATGCCGTACGCTTCTTCGCATTATCCGTTCTCGTATCCTGGCTTCGATGCTGCCAATCCGGCGTCAGGCACGACGTCAGAGGAAGGTCCTGGTAAAGAGCTCTTCACCAAATTCCCAGGTGACTTTATCGCTGAAGGTCTAGACCAGACTCGTGGTTGGTTCTACACGCTCTCCGTGCTCGGTACCCACCTCTTCGGAACGTTCCCATACAAGAATTGTGTTGTCAACGGTATCGTACTTGCAGAGGATGGCAAGAAGATGTCGAAATCACTCAAGAACTTCCCGGACCCTATGGTCGTTATTGACAAGTATGGTTCCGATGCGCTGAGGCTCTACCTGATCGACTCGCCTGTGGTGCGTGGTGAACCACTGCGATTCGCGGAGCTCGGCGTCAAGCAGATCGTGTCTGGTGTGTTGCTGCCACTGTGGAACTCATACAATTTCTTCGCCCAGCAAGCCGCTCTCTACAAAAAGAACACTAACCAGGACTTTGTCTTCGACCCTGAAGCACAAAAGTCGAATCACAACATCATGGATAGATGGGTTCTTGCAGCGACACAATCTCTCATCCAGTACGTGAATCAGGAGATGGAGGCCTACAGACTCTACACTGTCGTGCCTAGGCTGTTGAAGATGGTTGATGATGTAACAAACTGGTACATTCGCTTCAACCGCAACCGCCTGAAGGGTCAAAGTGGTGCGCCAGCCGCGGCGCCAGCCACCAACGGTGTCGATGGAGAGGTAAATGGCGCTGAAGAAGAGGAGGGCAGCACCACCGACACGCTGCACGCCCTGAACACCCTGTACGAGGTTCTTTACACATTGACACGCGCACTGGCTCCTTTCATTCCTTTCTTGAGCGACAATATCTTCCAGCGACTGGCATCACATCTGCCAGAGTCTATCTCGAAGGGACAAGATGTGCGCAGTGTTCACTTCTTCCGATTCCCCGATGTGCGACAAGAGCTTTTCGACACTACAGTTGAGCGACGCGTGAGCCGCATGCAGAAGGTCATCGAGCTGGGTCGTATCTGCAGAGACCGACGAACAGTGTCCTTGAAGACCCCACTCAAGACTTTGATTGTCTTGCACCAGGATCCTGAGTTTCTGGAAGATGTGCGGACGCTTGAACGCTATGTTACAGAAGAACTCAACGTGCGCGATCTTGTCCTCACGAGCGAAGAGAGCAAATACGGCGTGGAGTACTCCGTACTACCGGATGTGAAGAGTCTTGGCCAGAAGTTCAAGAAGGATGCGGCAAAGATCAAGGCCGCTTTGCCAAAGGTCTCCCCTGGCGAGCTTCGAGCTTTCCTCGACTCTGGCAAGCTCACTGTCGAAGGCAAAGAACTCACTTCAGAAGATCTCCGCGTACAGCGTAAACTCAAGGAGTCCGCTGAGACCAAAAACCTCGAGGCGGGCACTGAAGGTGACGTCCTGGTCGTCCTGGACGCTTTCGCTTACCCCGAGCTCGCGCAAGAAGGTCTCGCCCGAGAAGTCCTGAACCGCATCCAGCGCCTCCGTAAGCGTGCTGGTCTTGTGCCAACAGACGATGTGCAAGTGGCATACAGCGTGCTGGCTCCTGCGAGCACCGATGGCGCGCCGGATGGCGAGAAGGCCGCCGTTGCTGAAGTTAGCCGACTTGAGCAGGAGCGACAGATGGAAGAAATGTTCACTCAACAGAGTGCTACCTTTTCCAAAGCGGCGAGCAAGGGTGTTGTCAAGGTTAGTGGCGACGATAAGGGCGTCGCTGAAGAGGAGACAGATGTCAAGGATATCCGTTTGCTGTTGAGGTTACTGAAGCTGTGAGCGTGTACTGTATGGCGATAGTAAGAGCAAGAAGAAACGAGTGCATGAGTAACGGAACGAAGAAAGCAGAGCTTTTGGACGAGAACGGTCTGACCATTCTATTTCGAGGCTAGACACTAGAGACTGATCTTTAAAGGACAAATTCTGCCCAGATGCATCATCTCCTTCTACCTTTTCATTCCTGTTGCAGGTTTTCATCTACCCAACGCCTCGCTAAAACTTTTCAAGCACGCCGCCGCCGCTTCTTCTGCTGCCGATCCTATCCAGCAGCAGCAGCGACGGTGGCATGTCCATTGGTCATCTCTGGCATTAGAGCCGTCCGCCGCTGTCTCAATCGCTCCTTCCTCGTGGCCGTGGCCCTCTTCACCTCGCCTTTGAAGCTCGTCGTACTCGTCACATTTTCCGTGCCTTCCAAGTTCAGCGGGCGGACGACCTTCATGGCGCCTGTTCCCACACTCATGCTCTGACCCATAATGATACATTCCGAAACACCTTCAATGTCATCCTTCTTCATCTTCGCAGCAGCCTCGAACAGATGGTCGGGCGTCTTCTCGAACGAGGCCAATTGCAGCACGCTATCACGCATCTTGGCGAGACCGAAACGTGTGATGCCCAGAACTTCACCCTTGTATGTCATCACATCTGCGAGCAGTTGCATATGTCGAGGATCGATGTCCATACTGCCCATGACGGCATCAATTTCGTTGATGATGGTCTTGCGGGCAGCTTCGATACCAAGAACATCACGGCATTCCATGACATTGTTGGTTTTGGTTCGGTAGCCGTCCACGCCGTCAGTAGTCATGCATTGCTTGAGACCGTAACCTTCGACAAAGACGGAGATGGGTTCTTTGCCATTGTGGTCTTTCTTGTCGTCTTTCTTGATGATGGCACGATGTGCGTCTGGGTAGCCCTTGACCACGACCTGGGGAAGCTTGCGCTTCAGGTTGTGGATATGGACGAACATGAGTTCAGAGCCATCAGAGTCGACGTTGCGCGCCTTGGCAGTAGACGTGCTGCGCTTCGGACGCTCCTTTTCCGGCGCGTTGACAGAAACACGAATGTGATTCATGCCGGAGTTCCTCGCCGAAACACCAAGCGTCTTGTATCCCTTGGTCCGCTCAATCGCGTCAAGGAGATGGCCCATGCCGATGCGAAGGCCCAGATTCTCGATTTGTTGCCAGTTAACCCGCATGTTGATGTAGCATCCATTTGCGTGCCACACATCTTCGATGTAGTCAACGATATCGCCCAAGTACGTCTTCTCCATCAATGCCTTTGCGAATCTTGCAGCCATGTCTTCGTAGGGAGAGTCCAGATGGCAGGTAATGACGGGCGTACTGATGATCTTGCTCGCGTTGATGATTTCCTTGATACGAGGTACACCTTGTGTAATGGACATACCAGCGACACCAGCGAAATGGAAAGTCTTCAAGGTCATTTGCGTACCGGGCTCACCGATGGACTGGGCACCAACGGCACCTACAGCATGACCGGCTTCCACTTTGGACTTCTCGAATTTGTGTACGCAGAGATGCAAGAACCTCTCAAGTGCAGATCGCGTAATCCTGAATACGGCGTCACTGGCGCTCATGCGCTGCTGCGACTTGATCATCTTGTTTGCCTTCTGGAATATGAAATTGGTGACGTCGTCCAGGAATTGCCGAGAATACTCAAGCTGATCAGTGCTCATCGGCCGATCATCTTTGTAGTCCAGGGCCATTCCATCGTCGGTAAATCGTCCCAACTTGGCGCGCTCCTTGTTGAGGACGGTATGGGTGCAGGTCTCAATGTCCTCCTTAGTCATGCACTCTTCACTGTTGTTCCAGGTGCTTTCGATGGCGTGTGACCATGTGCGTTCCATGTTGACTGGCTTGGCATTGCCTTCCATGTCGACTGGATCGAGTCCGTCGTCTCCAAACTTCATCTGCACGATACCGCCAGAAGAGTTTCTCACCGTCTGGTCATATTGTGCACTCAAATCTTCCAAACTCTTCATCAGTCGACGGGACATGTAGCCAGTCTCGGCAGTCTTGACAGCTGTATCGACCAGACCCTCACGACCAGACATGGCGTGGAAAATGAATTCCGTCGGTGTCAGGCCAGTGAAGAAGCTGTCAAACACAAAGCCTTTGGCGAGCGGATCAGGGCTTGCTTTGAAGAAGTGTGGAAGCGTTCGATCCTGAAAACCTTCCAGAACACGTTTCCCGCCAATAATTTGCTGTCCGACGACAGCAACCATTTGCGAGACGTTGATGTTCGAGCCTTTGGAACCGCACTTGGCCATGGTCATGGGTGCGTTATACTTGCTCAATTCAGCGAAACAGGCATCACCACACTCTTGCCGGACTTTACTTAGAATACCTGAGAGCATGATTTCCATCGTCTGTTCTTCGTCACAACCGGCACTGCGCTCCAGTTTGCCAGTCTTATATTTGTGGATGATCTCGTCACATTTCTTGTAAGCTGCGTCAACGAGAGCAAGTTTTCGCTTTGTCAACTTGTCGCTAGGGTAGACGTCGCTGATACCGATGGAGAAGCCTTGCTCCCCAAGCCATCTCGCAGATAGCTTTGCCAGCCGGGTCATGGCAGCGGCAGCATAGTCTGCGCCGAAGTCTCTGAGAATGACGTAGAACAAGCTGTCTTTCTTGCCATCGCCGATGGTCGCCTTGTCGTAACCGCCGCACATTGTCTCGCTGTTGCGAATGACGAGGTACGAATCAGTGTCAACCATGTCTGGAATCTCACCGGGACGGGAAGGAGGCGCGAAGGACTTCATCCGTGCCTCTAAGTTGACATTGACAGGATAGTCCGGATGTGGCTTGATAAGAAGATTCCAGATTTGCTTGCCTGTCCAGAGCGTCTGTGGCTTCCAAATGGCTGGCGGTGGGATCACGATAGGATACTCTTTACCTGTGTAAGGATCCTTTGCCTGCATGCCATTGTACATGAAACCGACCACATGTGTAAAGTGTCTGCGGCTGAAGAAGCGATCTTTCTGACTGATCAAATAAGCGCCTGTGATAAAATCCTGAATAGCAGCAATGATGGGTGAGCCGTTCTTGGGCGTGGCCAAATTGTTCTTGACGCCCATCAGCTCAGTCGCTTCTGTTCGTGCTTCTTCAGTTTGAGGAACGTGCAAATTCATTTCGTCACCATCAAAATCGGCGTTGTATGGGTTGCAAACACATTCGTTTAACCGAAATGTTCTCCAAGGTCGAATTTTGGCTCTGTGTGAAAGAATCGACAGTTTGTGCAGAGAAGGTTGCCGGTTGAAGAGTACAATATCGCCATCCTCAAGATGTCGCTCCACCACATCGCCAATCTCGAGCTGATCGGCAACCTTCTTCAGATCTCCCTTTTGACCGACCAATTTCAGGTGGAGTTTGCGATTATCGCGGCCTTTGATGATGTAGTTGGCGCCGGGGTGTACCTTGTCGCCTCTTCTTACGCATGCCTTGAGCTTTTCGTAGTTGTGTTTGGTGACTCTTTCCGGATATGTCATGTTGACTGCGACACGGGATGGCACAGCAACCTCTTCGATCGATAAATTGGGGTCTGGCGAGATGACCGTCCGTCCAGAGAAATCAACACGCTTACCAGAGAGATTGCCACGGAATCTACCTTGCTTACCCTTCAACCGCTGGCAGAAGCCACGCATAGCTTTGCCATATGCACTGTCTCTGCCCAAGCCAGGTAGATTTCCGTCGATGTACATGGCGATTTGCACCTGCAGGAACTCCCACATGTCCATCACCTTGGCCAGAGGTTGACCAGCTCTGAGCGTAGCAGACATCAAGGTGCTGACCTGGACGATGTCGCCTAGCTTGTTGGTGATGTCGTCCTCAGTGCTCGCTGTCTCTTGAGCCACAGAAGGCCGAATAGCAACGGGCGGCGCGGGGATGTGAGTCCAAATCATGTACTCTGGCCGCCCTCCACTGTGAGGATCCATTCCTAGCAACTCCACATCGGCATTCGGTACCTTCTTGAGGATGTTCAGGACTCGCAGTGGCGTCAGATCGTCTGCAACCCGCTTCATGTGTCGGTCAATCTCTTTGTCCACTTTGATAGCCTCTTCGAAGGTCCTCTCAAACGCCTGCATGTCCGGCGGTTTAACCTTGTTTTTCGCATTCGAATTGGTATAAATGGCATATTTGTTGTGGAACATCTTGATCGGATGTCCTGCAACCTTTCTGACCGGACCGTTGAATGCCTCACAATGAGGGCATTTCTTCACCTTTCTGCATTCTCCCGATATCTTCTTGATGATGACATCCTTCCGTAGACCGTCAAGACCTGGTCGCCGTAGAGACTTGAGATAATTCCGCTTGTCTTTCTCGGGCAACAACACCTTGCTGCAGTCTTTGCAAATGCAATTCATGATCTCGATGATCTTCTTGAGGTAGCCATAGTGGAAGCATGGCAGGGCCAGCTTCACGTGTCCAAAATGGCCATTGCACTCTTTCAATCCTTGCCCGCATGTGCCACACTGCCCATTTTTCGCTGAAGTTCCCAATCGCGAATCTAAAGGACCCTGCTTCGTGATAGTGCGCGGGCCGCCTTGGGTCATAGCCAAGTCGTAGAGGTTGCGGTCGGCGACATTGACAACGGACTGTGCGATCACATCTGGCGGACTGAGCAGGCCGAAGTGCAGCGACTTGATGCGCTTGGGCACATTGTCGACGACCTGCTCTTTGGTCGTAAATTCGTCGGTCTCCATGGCTGAGGGACAGGCGGTGCGGAATATGTGCTATCGGGTCATGGTGTTGTCGAAGGCAGCTTGTGCGTCGCGGGCGCAACGACTCATATCCAACTCATTCGTTGCTCACTGGCACGAGCAGCCGATTTTCAAGTCGGCGGTTGACCAGCAGCAACGCCGACGCTCTGGATGTGCCCGCACTAGCGTCAATTCGGCTAGCTTCGCTGGTTCAATTTAGCTTCCGACACGGTCGCGTTTAGGCAGTCGCGACCCGCGTGACTGCAGCTCTTATCGCGCTGATAACGAAGCGTTCTCAAGTCCACTCACGACGACGTACTGCTGCTCGACTGCACACACGCTGTGCTTTGTACAGTCTTGATCAGAACAAGCGTGTGCGCAGCTGTTGCTCCTCGAGGCAAAAAGAGGCACAGGGCGATTGGCGGGCGGCACTTGCCTTGCAGGCAGGCAGCACAGCACAGCACCACAGAGTCACCTGCTTCGAGCTCGCCCAAGGAGGGGCCAGTAACGGTGTCGTGCTTGGAACCATCGACTCACCTACCCACGGAACCACCATCTCTCTCTCCACCACTTCTACTGCTACCTTCCGCACATACACTCACTGACCGCCGTCCACCACCACTGACCTGACCACAACACAGCCGTCGCCCGGCCCCTGGCAGCACCTCGTCATACCACAGCCTCGAGCTGCTGCCGCCGCCAACATGCCGCCCTATCTGACCTGCATCGCCCTCAGCTCGACCACCGGCGATGACCATCGCTCCATCGATCTGATTCCAGACAAGCCCTGTGTGGTCGGTCGCACCTCCAGGAGCAAGGCCGCCATGGAGGCTCGCACAAACAACGCCCTCTTCGACTGTGCGGTCGTCTCCCGCCAGCACGCTGAGATCCGCGTCGCCCCGTGGGCTACACCCGGCACGCAAATCACTCTTACCGACCTAAACAGCCTACACGGCACCGCCGTGAATGGGCGCCGCTTAACGCCTCTCACTGAGTTCACCCTCAAGTCTGGTGATGTGATCAAGTTTGGAGAGCGAGTGTCGAGGGGTGAAGGTATACTGAGGCCCCACTACAACTTCGGACGTCTGTTCCTTCACGGCTTCGAGATCACTGACCTTGATTCTGCAGAGGCACACGACGGCGTCTCCGTCACCTTCCGCCATCTCCAGCAACACGATAGCCACCCTGAGGGCAGTCACCACCCAGTCACGTCGCGCGGCGTCCGTGTCTTTGAGGCTCCCGATCTCTCCGACCAGTCCGACTTTGACAGCGACATCGAGTTCGACATCGACTCGGTCGGCAGCTGTGTCGAGCAGACCCAATCCGCAGAAACCACCCCAGAACAACCCAAGATGGGCACACAAAGTCAACCGATCGACCTGGATGAGGTCAAAACAGCGCACAAGAAGGTCATAAGCCTGCTGGACGAGGACGACCTAGACTTTGACGAGAACCAAGCAGCGCCCTCCAAGCCCACATCTGCTCCACTGCGCACTACTGTGCCTGAGAGTATCAACTTGGTTGATCGCCAGCCAACGAGCCCGGCAGAGGCTGCTCCAACTGCTGCTCCTGTGCCGCCCACGTTCTTCAATCTTCACGAATCAGACTTCGATGATGTGCATGAGGATGTGGTAACTTACAACACTGGCCTCTCGAAAATCTTGAACGAGCGAGAGCTCGATGATGAACAAGTGATTGACGAAGACGACCAAGGCGAGGATTCTGCGGATGCTGAGTATGTTGGCCACGCTACCGAACAAGAATCAGATCTCGACTCACTCGATGGCAGTCCAGCGCTTTCTGAGGAAGACATGGACGACTATGAGCCGGCCTACATCTCGCAACGCCAGCCATCTGAGGAGCTTGGCCAGCCAAACGCAAAAGCTGTGGAATCAGTCTGGCAGAAAATGTGTGAAGAGAGCGCACTTGCATCCGCAGCCGCGCCCAAGCCACACTACGATCCTGTGCGAGGCTCCCGCCTCGCGGCAGAAGAGACCAGTGCCGCCACTGCCTTGCCAGGGCCGTCCAAGTACACGTATGACCCCTGGTACCCCGGCTTCGTGAACTCGAACCTGGCTACTGACAATACCGGCAGTCGTCGTTGGGACATCCCACCCGTAGTGTCGCAAAACTCGATGTTTGCCCCACCACTTATGCCTCTGCCCAGCTCTGGTCCTCATCAGGCAGCAAGTAGTGCATACCAGAACGAGAAGGAGAGTCATGGTCAGCAAAGCGAGCCGCAAGTGCCAAGCACTGTACAAGCCAGCAGAGGCAAGCTTGCCATCGGCGACTTGCTCCAGCCACAGAATCAGCACACGACCTACCGACTGCCGCAGTCTACGCTCCCAGTCTCGCTCGGCGGCCCTGTCATGCCCCAGCTGCCAGCGTTAGTTCCTGCTGTGGCTGCCAACGCTGCTACAGTACCAGAGACAACTTCAAAGCCAGCTGGAAAGAATAAGCGTAAGGCGTCCGAGGTTTTCGACGCCGAAGTCGAAGAGTCCGAAGAGCCCGTGGCCAAGAAAGTGGTTACAGTCGACGCTGCCACCGGCACACAGCGTGCCATCGCGGCTCAAGCTGATAGCAAGAGCAATACTGTCCAACGCATTGCCAGTGCGGCTGTGAAGCATGCAGTCAGCGCTGGCGTCGGCGTTGCTGCTACTATCGCCTTCCTCAACAGCACGTATGCCGAGCGGGTGATTGAATACCTCAGCTGAGTACTCTTGATCGGAACAGATTGCTTGGTATTGGTTTGGCACAGAGGACGGTGATTTCATAATAGCTCAAAATGCTGTGCGGAGCTGCTGAAATGACGCGAAGACGGAACGATGACATGAAAATGGGAACGAAAGACGTGGCGTTCACTGCAGGCGCCTGGTCACAGTACTTCTTAGGATGAGGGAAAGGGCGCACACAGGTTCAGGGAAGGTCCATCTGTATTGACGGGCGATTGAAGTTTACCTTGAGACGCATGCTGTATTCACGGCATTGCACTACTGTAGAAGGCGTTGGTGAGGCACGGTCGGGATTGATAGTGCCAACCACGACGTGGAATGATTGTTCTCAGCCCTCTGTGCACCGGTTCTTCTTCACTTTCGTGGCAGGTTAACTTCAGCATCGATGAGCAGCGATCTGCCGAGCTTTTGTTGCGTCATGTCAAACAGAGAGATGAAGAAGACCAAGATGATGTCTACCAGGTGCAGCCCTGTACAGATTACAGACCTGCAGCAAGCATGCAAAGGGCCGTCGCGCTCGAGCCGCTCAATGACGGACTACTCCCTTCGTTCGCAGGAAGTGTGCATTGGACATCGTTCAACGTGTCCAGTCGCGCAGGCGTGACAAAATACATGGCCATCACAGTGCGCGGCTTTTGCCGGCTGAATTTCAGTACACCGTTCTCAATAGTTTGTACTTTACTTCGCTCGGCTTGCGCGAGTTTCTGCGACCACCGGGAACGATGTGACAGCCCGAGAGTGGGAGACTTCGGTTGGAGTGTTCACGATGTCTGCACGTTTTCTTGCCGTCGTATTGTCGACCGGTAATGAGCGAGCAGAGAGGCCGCCGGAGAGGATGCCGACAACGATTGCTATTTGTCCACGACGATGATCCTGCGAGCTGCGAGTGGCTCGGCGAGAGGTGAGGTGCGTGGTTGCAAAGGACCCGTTGCCCGTTCGCAGGAGTCGCAGCCGAGGGCCGGCAGGAGCAGGAGCGCGAAAAAGACAGAAGCGCGGGCGGCTGCCTGCATGCTTTGTGTCTTCTGTCGCGCGCCTGTGACAATCCGTGACAATACCGGTGTTCCTCGTGTGTGCCTCATGCCCTATCTCGTGCAACCGAGAACAGGGCCGGAGAGTATCTCATTGCCCAAACGAAAACCAAATTCTCTAGTCCGCCATTCGCCCTTGTTCTAGGCGGTTCCAACAGTCCCGAGGAGAAGAAATGGACATGGGGGTGCTTGAGCAAGCGCGTCAAGGGGACACGCACCAGGGCGACAAACAGTAACAGAGCAAGCGGTAGCAAGCGGCTGATGATGAAGACCGTCGAGAAAGGATGAAGAAATGCTGAGGCCGCTGTCCACTCACTAAGCGCCCGCAGTTGCCTATCCCTTCCTTTCGTCCCTCTCACCTCTTGTTTTCCTGCTGAGCGAAGCAGAGACGAGTAAGAAGTTCCGAGAAGTGGAACCCTCCGTTCCCGTGTCGGTCGATCTACGCCATACTTTTTGACAGCTCGCCGCCGCTGCTCTGCGAGTGTGCTAAAAGAGGTGTTCTGGAAGCTTTCTTGATAGCTTTATCACAAACTCATTGTTCATTTATTACATCTGCTGCTCTTGTTGCTAATTCTCATACTTTATTGACTTCTTGTTGGGACTACGGCCGAAGACATCGATCAAGCATAGAGGACAGGACTCTAAACACCACACGCGTAAATCATTTCTGGTTACAACCAGCATCTAGGATTTCCAGGAATTGAGAGGGAACTCATTGTCAAAGTTGGAAGTGTGCACGATCGATCGCAGCTCCGGAGTCAACGAAGATACCGAATTCACCTAGTTGCATCAGTACATTTGGGAATACAACACTAGTCACTGCGAAGTGCGGAGTTTCGATCTAGACCACTCAACCGATACTTGGACGAGCGATACCAAGCACTCCACGATCTGTTCAAGCAAAATGGCAACCGTCACTTTCGCGACATCAAAGAGGGCGTCTTGTTCATTGACCACAGGCGGTATTGAGACGTGCAGGCAATGCAGCATCAGGACGTAAGTCGTTCAATGATCGTGCACCGATCCTCTGGAATTAGACTGACGTTTCCACAGTACAAAAGATTGTCAAGCATGTAAAGGAACGATGATGGTGCAGAGCGAATGCTCGGGTTGCAGAGATTGCAAGCAACGAACCCGGAAGGATAGCGGTGTGGACTTCAAAGATGTACCAAGGCCGAACGATCGGTGAGGGACTATGACGAATGGTAGCAGATGTACGATGTGAATGACCATGCGTGAATGATCCTGGAAGACCACGATTCCAAATTCCTTGCATTCTCCTACTTCCACACAATTTAGATGGTCCTCTTCTCCCTCGTCAAATGGTATCCCACACAAATACACACGTCCGCAACAGTCCCGCACTCCATCTCTTTCAACTTCTCTACTTGAACTGGTCTTCCGTGACACCCTTGCCCATGGCACTAGTGCTGCTAATACCACCCTGCACCATCTGCAACAGACCATCAACGTAGTTGGCGCCAGACCACTTCTGGTGCTTGACGACCTCACAACCCTCCTCCATTTCCGGTTCTTGCACAATCTCGCCATACGCACGCATTCCGCGCGCAGCATACTGCTTCGAGAAGCGATCGGCGATGAGAGCAGTTTGATGCAGACCAGCAAGCGTGATGAATTGCCAGCAGTATCCCAATGACGCGAGACGCTTGATATAAGTTTCTTGGTCTTTAGGTTGCATTGCTGCTTTCCAGTTGAAGGATGGTGAGAGGTTGTATGCGAGCCTAAAGGAAGGAGAAGAAAGTGGTTAGCCTGGTGTACTTTACGTTTTGCCGAGGCACAGGTTCGTGCTGCGATGACATACTTTTGCTCTGGCCACACGGCGTGCACGCCATCGGCGAACTCTTTGGCTTGCTCGAAGTCGGGCAATTTGCTCTCCATCCAGATCATGTCTGCGTAGGGTGCGTATGCGACTGCGCGCATTACGGCACATTGGCAACCGCCTTGGTATCTGTAGTATCCCTCACGGGTTCGAGGAGCATCCCAGTCGAACTGGATGTCCACGCCAGTGAGGCCCTTTGCGATGGCGCGAGCTTCGGAGTTGCTCTTGCCTTTGGCTTGCTTGTTGAACTCATCGATCAGAGCCTGCTTGTTCACATGCACACCGGCGTTGATTGTGTCCGCAACCGCTTGGTTGAAAAGCTTCAGACCCGCCTGCGCTGTCCATGCATCTTCGATCGCCTGGAGATCAGCTCCGTTCTTGCCAGCCTGCTCGGCTGCAACCATGAGATCGTTCAGTGGCTGCAGTGCTGGGTTTGTGGCACCAAGAATGTAAGCGTGGTCGCGGTGATCAATGGTGGAAGTAATGAGTGTGGCAGCTTCAGAGTCAGTTCTCGCAACAGCAAGGAGATCAACTCCCATGATGTCTGCCTGAGCACGGATTGCCACCAGTCTGTTGATGTGTTCTGAGACTGGAACCAAGACCTTTCCTGCCATGTGTCCGCACTTCTTCGTACCCGGCATTTGATCCTCAATGTGAATTCCCGCTGCACCCTTCTCAACAAAGAGCTTGGTGAGCTTCATCACAGCAGTCAGACCACCGTGGCCAGTATCGGCATCGGCGACGATGGGTCGGAGGAAATCGGTGTTGGCAAGTTTCGATCGCTCGCTAGGTGGGGCGCTCAGACGTTCCTCACGCTGCTTGCGGTCGTGGAAGAGCTGCGCCATGAAGAGATGGTTCACCTTGTTGGGCACAGTGGTGTATGGGTAATCCGCAAGATCTGGTCCTGGCTCGTCTGAGCTCGACGCAGTGCTGGAAGACTGCCAGCCCGAAACGTAGACAGTATCAATGTACTTGGCCATTTGAGTGACCATGACCGGGTCGAGACAGCCATATGTGGCAGACGCGGTTTTCTCCTGCTCGCTCATTAACAATGCGTTTTCCCTTGCGTAGTAAGGTCTGACTGACCTTGAAGCGACCTTCTACGAGGTTCCACAGCTTCTTAGCCTGGGCGTTGCTCGGGTACTCAATCCTGAGATTTCCACGCTTGGAAACAATTTGTTCCGCAGTATAGGGTCTGCGTGTGTAACGCCATCTTGAGTCTGTCCACCACTGCTGGACCTCCTTCACCTCTTGCTCGAAAGCTTGCTGCTCTGCGTCGCCGGACATGGTTCCTGAGATCGGAGGATCGACGGAGACTGGTTGGAGGACAGAAGCGACAGACGAAGCGATCTTCTTAAGTGTATCGGCCAGCTTGTCGAGATCGCTGCAGCCGCAGAGAATGTGTAGATGAGAGATTCTAGGATTTCGCGTGAGTTGTTCTTCCAAAGGACGAAGAAGCACAGAAAGAGGCTGGTTTTGGAAGAGGGGAGATCTGTTTTGGCATCACGTCACAACCGAGAAGTCTACTTGTATATGACAGACAAAGGCTCTACGAGAGGCTTCCCTCGCGCGCCCGATCTCGCCCGGGCTGGTGACGGGCAACACGCCAATGAGCCAGAGTCATCATGACCGGACAACAGGTCTGAGTGCTTTTCTCTGGCCGAGGGAGCATTGCGCACATGGCCCTCGGATCAATGGAGGACGATGACTGGGCCAAGATGGCAGAGAGTTGAAGTCACAAGCTGGCTCCCGCTCCTGCCGCCGCTTCGGCTGCAGCTGGGCCTTGCCGATTCTGGGGTTGGCGATCTTCTCCCGAGGTTCAGAGACGTCTGGCTTCACATGAGCCGCATCATGCTTGGCAGCACATGCGGATTCCAGCTTCTCAATATCGTGCTGGCACCGCTGGGTGGGCTGTGATTGATAGGCTGAATGAACGAAGCCGCGTAGTTATATAAGGTGCCGTCATGTGTGCATGCGAATGGAGTCAATGCCAAGCAGGGCAATGGAGGAGGGATGCATCAATTGACCGTGCGGCACGTCTTCCGTAGTCCTCCGCATTCTGCAACTTCGCACTGGACCTGGCTCCGAATGGTCGAGTCCTGCTATGTATTGTATGTGCCGCATACGTCCTGCGAGACTGCGAGAACGGTGCTTGTACGGCCGACACGAAGCATTCCGGCAACAGGAAGAGTTTCTCTCGCGGACTGTGGGCGACCGTGCAGCGATCGCGGTGCTGCATTTCATGAGCTACTGCATCGGTGCTGACTGTTTGCAGTTTCCACCAGACTACGTCGTGGTCTGCAGCACATTCGTAGGGAAGCCTCATGTGTCCTGCTACCCTGTGCATGGACTGTCCAGCTCCGAGCCTCGATGATCGGGGTCGAGGGTAATAAGAGACCTGCGGTGCATCACAGCTGGGTGTAGTAGAGGAACAAGACCGTGGCACGCAGCACACCAGCTCAGATAACTCCCAGGTGGATTTGACCAAGGTGATGGTCACCTGACTTGCAGCTTTATTCTGGCTCTCCTGGCCGCGGAATGAAGGTGCTTCTTCTTTTCCTATGACACCAGCCAGACCACCAAGAGTGTCGAGTGGCAGGGGTCTGCTCACGCTGCTGTGTGGGAGCGATGTGATATGTGCTGACACAGTGCAGCTCAGATCAGACTATTCAATTACAAGGTGATCTGTACTCCGATCTCCGTACTCCGTATAGGATGTCCGAGAGGTGTCGCCCATTCTCTTGTCCACATTGAAGAGTGGTCCGCTAGCGCATTTGATAGAAGTCCAGCAGCGGAAATCGTGCGCGTCTTCGCGGCTGGCGGCTATGGTCGCCGGTGTCGGCGCTGCTGATGGGCAACGACAGACACCGCAGTCGAGACGCAGGCTCACCCACATGGCCAGCAAGGAGGAGCAACGAGGCCACAGCATGGGCGCAGGACTGGCACATTGCTCCTGTATGCATCACCACCAATGGCGCACACTCTGCATGCATCTGTGTCCAGCGGAAAAGCTTGGGGGTCGTTGCCAAGCTGCGTGGACGACTTTTCTGAAGCAAAAGCTTCGGATATCGGCACCAACGTGGGCGGACCACAAGCCGCCCGCAGACTTATCACACCAACGACTTTCACCAAGCAAAGCGCAATGCGGTCAGACGATCGAGGCAAGATGCTCCGTCTCCCACACTATTGCACGTTTCCATGGCCGCAGATGTGCCCTGGAGCGACTTCTGTCGGTGTCGATCGGCCCTGAAGAGCTGCCGTGCGAGGCGCGAGGCGTTGTTGCATTCCGCATCACCAAGACGGACTAGTCGAGTATGCAGTCTCTTTTGCCGAAGAGCGCAGGATCCACTCAGATCGCGGAGGCAATGGCAGGTACGTTGTTCGGTCCACACCGCAGGGCCAGACGGCAGCAAGTGCGACCTCGTACTGGTGCATGACTGCCTGAAAGAATTTTGCTTGAGAAGTCATGTCCTTGTACCTGGCACCTACCTTTGCTACGCGCTTCCTTCCTTCCATTGGCCGCTGCTGCATCGTTCTTGCTCATACGTAAACGAGCCCTCGCCGTCGAGCTCGAAAGCTTGTCCTGAACCTCTCACGTCTTAGATCCGCACCTAACGCCGTACATTGTTAATGCAAGCCAAGTACCTGCTCGTGTGCCGACACTACTGTCACTGATCACCACCATCGCGAGCCGGAGCTGTCTCCCTCTACCACATTGAGGATCGGATGCAGCCTCCAATATGGAGAACGACAAGCCAGAGCAGAAACCTCATGTGGCGTCAGAGGAGGTAGAAGAACGACGGGGCTCGTACATGTCCTTTGAGCACCCACTCTCGCCAACCTCAACATCGTCCGATACAGCATCAACAGTTTCCCGACCTTCACTCCACAGTCGGAACAGTCGCGACTTCGCAAATGGACTTTACAATGACCTGTCGAGAACCTCGTCGACCAATGCTGTTGGCGGGGTTGTGCCAACCATGGACCGAACCTGGACACAAGGTACTGCGGGCACCACTGGAACCCAGGACATAGCGTTCGAAGTCGACTTCGAGGAAGACGAGAAGGCGAACCCCCAGAACTGGCCATTGTGGTACAAAGGCATTGTCATAGCAATCTTCAGCTATGCCACGACTTCCACAGTCCTCTACTCCACGAGCTATACGAGCGCTATTCCTGGCATGCAGAGAGAGTTCAACTTGTCGACCAGCGAGGGTATCCTTGGTGTCACTACATATCTGTTGGGTATGGCCACAGGTTCAGTCATTTTGGCGCCGCTCAGCGAGATGTATGGCAGAAGACCTGTCTACCTGATTACGATGTTGTTGTTCACGATCCTTGTAATCCCATGCGCTGTCGCGCAGAACATCGCCACGATTCTGGTCGTTCGTTTCTTTGGAGCTTTCTGTGCTGCAGCCATGATCAGCAACGCGCCGGGTACGGTCAGCGATATAGTGGACGATGAACACCGAGCCCTGGCTTTTTCCGTCTGGAGTATAGGCCCCATGAACGGCCCGGTCATTGGACCCGTAGTTGGAGGTTTTGTGTATCAATACCTGGGATGGCGCTGGACAAACTGGGTCGTGGTCATAGTAGGAGGAGTGGCCTGGGCTCTCGTTGCAATTGTGCCCGAAACATATGCGCCAAAACTTCTTCGACAAAGAGCAGCAGCGCGCAGAAAGGAAACCGGAAGCGACAAGTACTGGAGTCGATACGATGACAAGATGAAGTTTGTACCACTGCTGAAGATCAATCTGACGCGACCATTTGTACTCGCAGCGACGGAGCCGATCTGCTGGTTCTGGAACATCTATATTGCCCTCGTTTACGGAATCCTATATCTATGCTTCGTCGCATATCCGATTATCTTCGCAGATATCAGAGGCTGGAGCCCAGGTTTCACCGGTCTCTCGTTTGCAGGAATTGGCGTCGGGTAAGTCTGCGCTCGACATTTGTCTCGGAGATTCCTGCTAACCCGAAGGAACACTACAGTTCAATGATAGTCATCGTCAGTGAGCCATTGATTCGTCGCATGATCAATGCACACAAGAAAGATCCCGAGACCGACCGACCGTATCCAGAAGCTATGGTGTCCGTCGTTTGTATCGCATCGATTCTCATTCCGGTCGGTGAGATCTGGTTCTCATGGACTTGCACCCCCGATAAGGCGCATTGGATTGTGCCTATACTTGCTGGCATTCCATTTGGCGCGGGCAATGGCGGCGTGTTCATCTACGCGTCGAACTATCTGGTACAAAGTTACGGCATCTACGCTGCCTCAGCGCTGGCCGGGAATGCAGTTCTCCGATCAATAATGGGTGCAACACTGCCCCTAGCAGGCCCGTCGCTATACGCAACCCTTGGACCGAATTGGGCAGGAACGCTTTTGGGACTGCTCGAAGTGGCGTGCATACCTATCCCGTTCATCTTCTACAAGTACGGTCACAAGATCAGAGAAAAGTCAACTCTGATCAGACAAATGGCAGAGGACCGACGCAAGCGAGAAGCCAAGCAGAAGAGGGCAGCAGACAAGCTGACGAAAAGAATGGACCCGGAAGCCAGTGCTGGCGCAGGTATGGGAACTGGTGCGGCAGTCGATGAGTGCATTGATCTAGAAAAGGATCTCGAGAAGGGTGTTCATCAAAAGGCGTGATAACATGATTCATTGGGAGGCATAGCGATGGCTTGAGCATTTCACAGCAGGTCCATTACCAGTTACGACTTCGACGATATACGCGGCCAGACCTGATGGATTGATGAGCGTTATGATAAAGGACCAGAAGGAGCATACATCGTTTAATAGACTATGCATCGCAGCAAATATTCATGTTGCTTTGAGGCCGTTGACTGTATCGATCGGCAGAGCAGAAAGAGCTCACTAACCCTCTGACTCTCAGGCGTGATTTGCAATCAAGATGAGTTCGTATGCTGCCAAAGAGACACATAGTCTGAATCCTTGCCAGCTTCATGTGTTCGCTCAGGCCGATAACGCTTTGCGCATACCAAGGCATTGCCTGCTAGTTCGGCATCATTCGTGGCTATTTTACCACTTTCATCGTACTGTACCTCTTGACCAGGTCTGCGCAGTAGTGTCTCGTACAGCTCAGCAGATAACCCATGCGGTGGCCCTCCTTCTCGAGGGGGCTTATGCAGCGGCCACTCTAGACAGATCAAATGACCACCTGGTGCAAGGAGCGCACTCATCCTTTTGGCCCAAGAAGGTCTTAGTGGCGGGGGCAGTGCACACAAGAACGTGTAGTCGAAGATCAAATCAAAGTTCCCGCCCCCTGTCGTCTCCAGAAAGTCATCCTTGAAGAAGTCATTCTCCACGAAAGTTTCCCGACCACGTCCGAACTCCGTCTCTAGCGCACGATACGTTGCTGACTTGTCGGCTCCTTTCTGCATTTTACGCGCAGCTTCAATGGCGGTCTGAGATCCATCCACGCCGTACACGTCGTAGCCAAGAGACGCCAGCAGAAGTACATCATATCCTCGACCGCATCCCGGAACAAGTGCTCTCTTCCGCTGCTTACTCGGGTCGTTCTTGATTGGGGCGCCCAAGATGTCGGCGTTGCCAGTGATGGCGTCTGCCAGCGCTTGAGAAGGTCCAGCACGATCCCACGGCGTGACTTCTTGCTTCCAGAGCTCATCCCAGCCGCTCAGCTGCTTGTCAAGAGTACGGCCTTCGAATGTCTCGCGCAGTTTCTGTCGAGCGGCATCTGGAACCGCCATGATGCTATTGCCAGTTTCGCGGAACCTCGGGCGTGCCTGATGAATACGGGACGTTCTTCTGCAGACGTGTCGTGGCAAGAGCTGGAAGGTGTTTCTCCTCATGACATACGGCAACCACGAATGCACTAACAAGCTCTAAGGCTACTGTCGCTGGTTAGGACATCGACTTGGCACCCGGCACAATGGGACACTCGTATGCAATCCGACTTCAACAAGACTACTGCTGCACCTTCATCGACTGCCATACATCTCCCGTCAATGGACTGAGTGACAACGGATTTGGTCGGCCATCTAGCAATACGCGGATTGGCCAAATGCTACGGACCAGGCCTGCCGAGGTGCATTTCGCCAGCTGCCGGCATCGGCCAAGGTGACTGTTTTTCGCTTGGAGGCGCCGTTGGCGTCGAACAAAGCAAAACGGAAGTCGGCAACTTCGTGCCATAGTCATCACCTCCATGACGGCCCACTCAGCTCGTTGGGCGCGCGGCATAGCGCAGTACTGTGTACTGCTTGCGAAGGAATGTTGCCGATTGCGTATCGCTTCCTCGCGGCGTGAGCTCTGTCTCTCGTCAGCTGCTTCAGCAATTTCAGTAAGGAAACAAACATATTCGCGCTTTCTCTTCTTGCCGTAATAGCGGGCTCTCTTGCATTACGCCATTTTCTCGAATCACAGCTCACTGCAACATCGCCCTGCTTCTCGAGTTCATGGTCCGGGTAGCACATCATACCAGAGCAGCTCCAAGCCAAGAATGAGCCAAGATCACAACTCAGATCCCCCCAGATCAGATCGAGACCACGAACACCTGGAGAAGTTCGAGGAGCGATCTTTTAGTGAAGACGACCCACATGGAAGCTCGACGGCACTCCCTCGAAAACCAGACCCGGCAGCCACAACATCCGATAGCGAAGACATTTCGAGGATCGACAGATTAGGGCGCAACTTCTCGACCTCTACCAGATCATCTGAGGATTCACAACGTACAGTTTCAGAAGGTCACGATGCCCAAGTAACGGCCCATCGCTCGCGCAGTCGAGGAAATCACAGTCGAGCACACTCCTCCACCCGCTCTGTAAGACGTGAGGCAATTGTTGTCCCCAGGTCCGAGCGTCGAGGACTTCTCGCCAGATTCTGCGTCTTTCCAGAAATTACAAACGCACAAGATTTCTCTCGGAAGCAAAAATGGACCATCACTGCAATAGTCGCTCTGGCAGGTGCTGCAGCACCTATGGGCTCGTCTATCGTGCTTCCGGCTTTGGTTGACATCACGAGAGAGTTTAACAGCACTCCCACGATTGCCAATTTGAGCGTGGCCATGTACATGCTTTCCATGTCCATTTTCCCTCTCTGGTGGAGCAGTTTCTCCGAGACTCTAGGACGCCGGACCATTTACGTGGTTTCGTTCTTCCTGTTCCTGATCTTCAACATCTTGGCGGCGGTGAGCTCGAGTATGGCCATGTTCATCGTGATGAGGATGCTTTCAGGAGGTGCTGCTGCTAGCGTGCAGGCTGTTGGAGGCGGGACTATTGCAGATGTGTGGGAAGTCAAGGAGCGCGGAGCCGCAATGGGAATGTTCTATCTAGGACCGCTGTGTGGACCGCTCGTATCACCAATTCTAGGTGGTGTGTTTGCTCAGACTTTGGGCTGGCGATCCGCACAATGGTTCCTCGCCATCTTTGCGTAAGTCGAGCTACCACAGGACGACACTGGGAAACTATCAGACATGCTGACATTCATTCTCACTCAGGGGCCTACTTTGGCTCTTCGTCGTAGGAGCCTTGCCAGAAACACTTCGACGCCGCAAGCCACTCGCCTTCGAAGCTGAGCAAGAAGCAATACCAGAGACAGACGAGAAGGGCATGCCGCGACCCGGTCTCTCTCGAATGGCCACCACACAGTCCGTCAAAGTCAAGTCCAAGAAATATTTGGTCATGGCACGTCGAATCTTCCTCGACCCTCTCCGCGTGATCTTATACATGCAATTCCCAGCCGTTGCGATCCTAGTGGCCTACGCGGCGTGGACATTCGGAGCGCTCTATGTTCTGAACATCTCCGTGCAAGCGACATTCACAAAGGCACCATACAACTACAACAGTATCATTATCGGATGTCTTTACCTACCAAATTCTGCGGGTTACTTCTTGTCTTCAACGTTTGGCGGCCGCTGGGTTGACCGCATAATGCATCGCGAGGCTAGAAAGGCTGGCAGATATGATGAGCGAGGAAGATTGATCTTCATCCCCGAGGACCGCATGAAGGAGAACGCATATCTGGGATCTATTCTCTATCCTGCCAGTCTGCTTGCATATGGTTGGTTTGCCGAGAAACAGGTCAACGTTGCCGCTCCAATGGTGTTCAACTTCTTCTTCGGTATGGCAAATTTTCATCCTCTGTGGACAAAACAAAGCTAACATGATAATTAGGTGTTGGTAGTATGTTGATCTTCGCACTAGTGACCACTATGTTGACCGAATTCATGCCGAGAAAGGCCAGCAGTGGGGTATGTATACTGAATTGACACACTCCTCAGATGTTGACAATCTTGCAGATCGCCCTGAACAACTTCGTACGCAATATCCTCTCTTGCATAGGCGCCATCGTGACCGAACCCATCATCAACGGTATTGGCGATGGTTGGCTCTTTACCGGCATTGCAATCATTGCTTGGGTTACCGGGATCCTCACGGTATGGTCGATGAAAAAGTTCGGCCCTCGCTGGAGAATAGCTATGGATAAGCGATTGGACAAGGTCATGGGAGATTGAAGAAGCACTTACGTTGCAGTGCCGTGCGCTGAGCGCAGGCTTTCCACTGCGCTCCATACCCCCGAGCTCATCGTGGACTCCCCGGCGGCGACTTCATGGGGGCGATGCGTAGGCTCATTTTCGACAATATCTGGCCCGTACCAGCTTACATCCGACTGGTCACGAGCAAAGAAGTTGCTCTGATCATCGCTTCCACCATCGTTCGTCAGCCCAAGATCACCGCTTCCGCCATCGTTTGTCGGCAAAACATTGTCGCTCGGCTCCATCTGTGTTTGGTCTGTCTCGAAAGTCCCCATCTTCAGTTGCCTCCACATTATCGGCAATGAGTACCAGAATGGAAAGGCCATGATGAAGGCACCGAGGACGTTCGAGACACTGGGATAATAATCTTCATCTGGCCAGACCTGAACTCGCGTCCGATTTTGGTAAACGACCTCCCATGCCCTGTAGCTATCCTTCGCATCGTTTTGCCACTTCGCTCTTTTCACCAGGGCCAAAATTGCAATGTAAAGGAACCAAATTGTCCAGATTACGGCTTTGGTCCACTCAGAGCCTTTCAGCTGCGACACAGACAGCTTGTTGAACGTGCTCCGCACTTGCTCGATGAGGGTGATGATGAAACTTGCGACTCCTAGGGACAGAGTCATCCACGCGAACCCGCTCCAGCGTTCCTACTTCTGGACTGATCGGTGGTAGTGTCGGCCCCATTCGTATTGTCCTGGACCGCCGGCTTGCATTTCGTTGGGCCAACCGAGGCTGCGCATTGTGTATATTATGATGAAGCTGTTGTTCATTTGCCAGCCCCAGTAGATCATCATGAGGAAGCTTTGGCGCTGGAGGCGATCTTTGATGCGGGCACGAGCTTGCGCGAAGGCTTCTGTGGCCGAGTGGCCGGTGGTGGAGCTGTTGGACATGGTGGGGATGTGCGATGCAATGCTCCGCACTATGAACCAAGAGAGTTGTATGATGCACGAGAGCATTGAGTTGAGACGATAGAGGATAGAAATGACAGGAAGGTATGAAATTCTGGCAAGTGAAGCCCTTGTCGCTACCCCAAGAAGGCACATCTAGTTGTATTTGGCAATCGCGACAGTCTCAGTAAGAAAACTCCTCGCAATGCACGTCTATCATGGGCGCTGCAACAGCCTGTACATCTATAGCGGCTCCTCGCAAATCAGTCAACATGCCAGCCGGGCCACAAGCCGCGACGAGCACATTGTCATTCTCGACTAGACCTTCCACGCTCTTGCCCAGAATTAAATTGATGTCAGGCCGACCGTACTCAGTCACCGGCCGCAGGATCGTATCCGACGATCTCGTTGACATGGAAGGCTCGACCGAAATGCTCTTGAAATCCAAGCCTTTCTCTGCATCATCTGCTGTTGAAATTGGCTGCGACAGGCTTGACTCGTAGCTCTTCCCTCGGGTTCGACCTTGCGTGGGACTTGTGACAAACAGAGTAAGATTGACTCTGGAATTCGCTTGCAATGCAGCGAGCTCGTGCTCGAACCATTGCTGTGTTTCTTTATGTCTGACAATCCAGATGAAATCGAGAGTTTGGCGAACTTTTGGTGTTCGCCGCTTCCTCGCCCACTGGATAGCCAAAGCGATAGTGAAGGTGGCGCCGCTACCTCCTGCCACAAGCACAATCTTGTCGTACTTGTGCAAGGCCGGGGTCTGTCCATATGGCCCCTCGATCGAGGCTCGGAATTTGAAGCCAGGGTATCGATATGCTTGCTCGTGAAGGCTGCTAGAGAAGCCATCGCGTGCTTTGGCGACGAATATGGCAGGGTCCGCAGACACGAGGGTGAAAGGATGTCTTTGAAAGAGTCTCACGCCGGGAATCCAGATGAAAGCGTGAGAACCAGGCCGTGCTTTGACGCCACGGTACAAAATCACCTTAGTTGCTCCATCGGATAGAGGCACTAATGTGCAGTAGTTTCCCCTTCCGCGATATAGCCATCGTGTGAGCTGCAGAGACTTGTCCGCGAACCATAATGCGGCTGCTACAATGGTAATTATCAACGCCTTAAGCGTGATCTCCGGCCTGTGTAGGCCCATAGCAACGAGACTCGTCGCGGCAAGTAGCTGATGTGAAGCGTAGAAAGCCTCGTACATGCGCCTCCGAACCGGACCGATTGCGGTCAACAACATACAGACCATTGCTACACTGGCAACAATGCCTGCATGCTGGAGAGGCATGTCGAGAATCTCAAGATGGCCCGCGTCAGCGAGACCAACAGCGTAAGTGATGACATGTCTGGTGAAAGCAATGTCAGCATATGCTATTGTAGAGGACTTCAAAATTGGGCGATGACTTTTGGTAAGTCTGTGGCCACAGTAGCAGCTACAGAACGAAGAACACAGTGACGTTCGCCTTTGGAGGATGGGTTCACGTACAGAATCATAAATACAATGACCGTATAGCCGCTGCATCGATGCAGTATATTGAGGTTGTCGTACGAATATCCGGCCAATGGAGAAAGGGGCGTGTTTTTGAGCGCCAAGAAGATTGTCAGGCACATGTTGCAGAGTGACATCCAGCCGAACCTCTTCGCAAGTATCGTCAACAACGGCTCTTTATCGGGTCGATCGTAGAATGTCAGAGTGACATTGATGCCAACATATACCAGAACAAGTAGTGTCTGCAGTGGCCAGATTGTGAAAGACCCAAACGCCTTTGCTCGACCAAGTCTTTGGGAAATAAGTGATGACATTCGGTATGTTGATCGGATCGTGCTTGAGGTTTCGGCCCATCTTCGAAGGATTTCATGTGACCAGTGAGCAATGATGAACACGGCCATAAGTCCAGCGATTGCCACGCCAAAATACCTCGCTGTGTCTTGATTCTTCCTCTGCCACACCTTGAAAAGGGCGATCAAGGCAACTTCTTCCGCAGGTGGTCCATGCTGTGATTCAGACATGATGGAGGTATGAGCTTGAGGTGCTGCAGCAACAGAGAATGAAAGGCATTGTGAGAGGGTCTACATGACTGAAATGTCTTATACTGACCGCTCTGTTGAAGTCGTCGTCACCTCTGCACCTACCTTCTGTGCCCTCAAGACTGATCATATGCTCCCAAGCATCGGTTAGGCAAGATAGCACGAGTATGAGAACGCCAGTCCAGTGAGGTTGCCCACAGTGGTGACGCAGACCCTGATCCGGCAGAATTTCATGGACTCGTCAAAGCCATGGGACGTACAAGAACAAAGCCCCCCAGCGAATCCAGGTCGACCTTGATGCGAGCGACTTTGTCTAGACACTCGTGGCTTATCGGGAGCAATTCGCAAGCGTCGGCTTCTCCTGTGATTTGCAATTATGTCGGGACTTGATCCATACGCGGCTGTTTCAGAAATCTGAGATGCAGTGCGGATGCAGAGAGAAAAATACGTGAATGGAGCATTTTCAAGTTATTGTGCGGCTGACTTAGTGGCGTCTCGCGGTGGACTGCGCACGCTGCAGTGGGTCATACCAGGTTTTCGCATATCCGGAGGTGCAGCGGCACTCCAAATATGCCGGACTTCGCATATCGTGCAGCACATTCGCGGCAATAAAATGTGAGGCTCGAATACATGACAGGCCGCAGCATTACATGCTGTCCAGCTATGCAGCACAAGATAAGGCTGTGTCCTAGCACACTTTGACAGCAGCGCGAGCAAGCATCTGCGAGCACAACGTGGTCCCTCATGCCCCTGGCAGGAACTTCGATAGCTGCGGCCTGCTATCGCCTCAGCACGATATGCGGGTGCATACCAGGAGCGGGTATCTGCATTGTGCAGTGTTTCGTATCAAACTCCGGTGTGCCAAGGCGTTCACTTAAGCGTACGCACTTCGTTAGAGGTAGGATGGCCATCCGTCTAGTACAGCGCACGATGATGACACTCAGACGTGTTGCGAATCGCTTCCAGCAGTCCGCACGACCATCGCCATGAGCTCTCAATCAACCCTCGGTGGGCATTATTTCTTGCCATTCATCGTTGATTGCTTGGCTTTTTCTTCCTCCTCGGCGACCAAGCCCAGGACCTCTTGCTCAGCTTGCCAGACTCTGACGCTATCCATGATCTTGTCTAAAGCCTCTCCGCCTTCCATAACATCGTCAAGATTTCTGAGATCAAAGCCACTTCGATGATCACTGACTCTCTGTTGTGACCAGTTGTACGTTCTGACCTTGTTCTCTCTACCCACTTTTCCAGCACCAGCGCCTCGTCTCAGCTTGATAAGTTCTTCTTCCCGCTCTTCCCGCTTCATCTGTGCAATACGTGACCGAAGAATGCGCCAGGCTTGCTCGCGGTTTGCGTGCTGGGAGCGTGACTCCTGCACTGCTACGACAATGTTCGTTGGCAGATGAGTCAGACGGACCGCTGATTCGGTTTTATTGACATGCTGGCCCCCAGCGCCGCTGGCGCGCATCACATCCGTCTTGACATCGCTAGGGTTGACATAGTAGTCGCTTTTGGGGTCGTTGAAGGAGTTTTCGCCTCCTTCTCCTCCGCTATCATTGGGTACTGAAGGTAGAACGAGAACACTCGCGGCAGACGTGTGGGTGCGCCCCTTGGTCTCGGTTGCTGGCACCCGTTGAACACGATGCACGCCTGCCTCACAGCGCAGTATCCCGTACGCGCCTGGCGAGTCGACTTCGAGAACGGCTTCTTGCAGATGTACACCAGTACCGCCGCCAATCTCATCTCCCGTCTCGTGTTTCAAAAGACTCGTCCGAAGTCCCACGCGAGCACAATAGGCTTCATACATTCGAAGTAAGTCCCCGGCGAAGAGACCTGCCTCATCGCCTCCAGCTCCTGGTCGAATTTCGATCAGGCATGGAAGATGCGCGAATGGATGAACAGGTACTAAACTCGACTTCAAGTCGGTCTCAGCTTTCTGGATGGTCTGATGAGTTGGCTCAACATCGTCCTCGGCAAGCTCTCTGAGCTCCTTATCAGATGATTTGAGCAGAGACTGCAGCTCTTGCAACGCCGACTGTGCCTTGTCATACTCTTTGATGGCTGCTGCGGTCGCTGCGATCTCGCCCATGCGTTTTGCTGCTTTGGCATCGTAATCGTCGGCGAGCTTGTGCGTGAGACTATGGTGCTCTGCAGCTACCAATCGTGCGCGATTGAGCAGGACCGGTGATATGCTACCGTGTGTAGCAAAAGTGCTTTGCGTTCGTGTCCAGACATGTTTTCTCGGTCGAGGAACAGCGTTCCGTGTGAAGCCTCGGAGGCATGATTGGCAAATCCACGACGAAGACATTGGCACACAAGAGCTCTGCTCGACTGTCGCAACTTCGAATGCAAGGTGGAGCGCGGGCCGTTTCCGTACCTGCAGCACTAGCGCAAAAGCTCGGAGCCATGGCCCCGCTCATGCTCGACAATTATTCCTGGCCGACGGAGTCAACCTTGCAACACACCTTCGTCACCACTCCGAACAAGATGAAGATCCTCGACGCAGGAGACAGCCCGCTGTCCAACGCCGACGTGCTGGATTGGGTGGAGCGAAAACGCGCACAACATGCCGCCGAAGATGCCGACGACAAGGCCAAAGGCCAGAAACCTTCGATTCGACCAAAGAATTTCATGCGTGTGCTTGACCGCACAGAACGTGAGCTGAAGAGTAGCAACTACCCGTACATTAGGAATCCAACAGCATATAGCGGCGATGCGCGCAGCACAGCATTCCAGATGTTCGCACGTGATGCTGAGGATGCCATGCAGACTTCGCTCGAGGCGGAGTGGCATGAACGACTGCAAAGTATGCCCAAGGAGCAGTTTGAGAAGGAGTTCGAGCTTGAGCAGGAGAAGAAGTGTCTTACTGAGCCCGAGATGCTCATGATTTACAATTACGCTCCTCAATGCATAGAGATGCTGCAACCAATGGTTGAAAATGTGGAGGACCGGTTTACAGCCGATGAGCAGCAAATTTTGGTCGAAATCATCTCTCGAAATCTGAGACCCGACGAGACTCCGCAAGAGGAGCAGAGCGCGGAGTAGTACCTGCCTCTGCGCACCTCTCGCGCAAGTCCTGCACAGGTGGCCGACGAAATTGTGGGCGAGCAAGAGAGCAGCAACGAACGGAAAAAACTTGATATGAAAGTCGAAATAGAGATCAATGGCTCTGGATACACTTCTTTTCCTGAAAGAAAGAGGCGAGCGGAGCCCGAGTCGCAGGCGGAGGACTCTGCGGTTCTCCAGGGAATAGCGTCTGAGCGTCGACAGAACGACTCCACGGTCATGGACGAGAACACGATGGCTTTCGAGAGACCAAAGGCAAGAGGCAAAAAGAAGGACAATCGCTCTCCGGTTTCAATGGGTCCCGGAACTGCCGGCGGTAGAAATCACGGCGCAGTGGAAGCAATCGAGAGCAAAGTCAGACCCTCTGGTGAGAACGATGCGCCGCGAAGCTCGGCTGGGACGGGAAAGACAGCAAAGAACAAGCGCAAAGGACCTGCTTCCACGCAAGAACCGCAAGCTGGGCGAGGCACCACGAAGAATATATCCCTCCCTGATGTTGGTTCTGCAAGGGAGAATTAACGCCAACAATCAATTGACAACAAGTCGTCACAGGTTCCTGCTACAGACAGGACAACGTCGTCCACAGCGAGCAAAAAAGCGAGGAAAAAGAAGCGGAGAGGCTCAAGTCCAACTGGTCTCGTTTGACGATCTAATATCTCAGCCCGGTAGAACATGCAGCGACGCCACGTTACGCCAGGCTCTATTGTATGTATCCCGTGGTCTACATTGCTTCCGGCATACTAATGGGTATCTATTACAGCATCCAACTCTTCAAAATCCGTCTAACGAGCCTTATGCGTCGATGATTTGGTGATAAGTTTCTTGTACGATGCCTGGCAGATATTAGCATTGGGTTCACTTCGAGGAGGGCAAAGCAACATCAAGACTTACTCTCGTCCTCTTGTCTCCAAGACTGAAGATTCCAAGGCTCAACCAGTGTGGCACAGACCTTAGGAACACTGCGGCGCCCACATTACCAGCCAAGATGATCTGCTTGCCTCGTCCGCTGATGACTTGCTTCACCACAGCATCCGAGACACTCTCGGCTGTAATGACACGTGCTCCGCTAGCCTCGAGTTCGGTCTTGAATGGCGCCACCATAGGGGTGTTCGCGAACGATGGGTGAACGACAGAAAACTTGACTTCTGGCGCATCAAGGAAGACTCGCGTCTCTTGTTGGAGACCCTCGTGGAAGCCCCAAGCGGCCACCTTGGTGTTGCTGTAGGGAACAAGACCTGGAGTTGTCACGAAAGCAGCCATGGATGCGATGGTAACAACATGTCCCTTCTTGTTCTTGGCCATAGCCGGAAGAAATTCTTGAACAGTATAGTAGTGGGAAATGATGTTGATATCGAACACTCGGCGCAGACTTTCTTGAGTCTGGTCGAGAATCGGTCCTTCGCTTGAGATACCAGCATTGTTGATCAGAATGCTTGGGTCGCCGTGCTCCTCGCGGATTTGTCTTGCAACGTCGGCGACTTGTTGGCGATTTGTCACATCGCACTTGAAGTAGTGGATCTTGGGGTTGTTCTTCATATCCGCTGGAAGGTCATCACGGACGTCCAGCGCCATGACGTTGACACCTCGCGACGCGAAGTCTTTGGACATGAGACTTCCGAAGCCTCCTGTAGCTCCGGTAATGACTGCAACTTCTTGAGGCCAGTGGTATCTGTGCTTCTCAGATCTCAGTCGGAAGTTGTTTTGTGCGAGCTCGGAGAGCCACTTGTTTGCATCGCTGATGACGCCGAGAGCCACGAGCCATTTCAAGCCTGTGATCAGACGTCCGATGTTCTCGATTGAGAGGTATTGCCTGAGCTGTGCGAGGAGTGGTTCTCTGACGCGATCGGGAGATGAGGTCAGCGCGAAGAGGAGAGCGCCTGTTACGGCTGGAGTAAGGAGCTTTCCAGCCATGGTTGTGCCTGTGAAGAAAGTATGAGATGTACTAGAGAAATGGAGAGAAAAGGTCTGGCGTTGCGAGTTTCATTCCTGGGCGTTGGGTTCCCTTATAATTTGTATTACCTCCTATGCGATCATCTGGTCCGGCCGCGACGCCAAAGGCTTGACCGAGCCTCTGGAAGACGCGGGGCCACGCGCAGCGAGTCTGTTTTGCCCACGACCGCGTCTGCGGGCGTGGAAGGCGTGGAAAAAATGAGCCGAGGCATGGGGAAAAGTGGACCATCCCGGAGTCAGGTCCAACTCTAAATTTATTTCACGGCCGTCTACGAACGAGCCATCCAGTGACGACGACAACTCGCGATGCCATAGCCGGAGCCGATAAGCAGCTCTGCACAAGGGAGCACATCTCTCTGTGAATGCTCAATGCAACTCGTCGCGCACTGCGACTCGCACGCTCAGAAACGCTCTTTTCGGGCAGCGCAGATCAATTCCTCGCCAAGCAACGACGTCTTAGACTCTGCATGTGAATGTTGTTTAATCTCCTCGCATTCGTTTGGAGCTGTTGCATCAATTATTCTACTGCCTGCTGTACGAACATTATCACCGCATGTCCATCTCCATCTCCTCTGCGCCGAGGCTGCTGTTCCTCTATCCTTGCCTTGATGCTGCATGGAACTTGGCAGCCACCAAAAGTCTGCGAAGAACGCGTCTGCCGAGGCAGAGACTTCATCGATATAGCACAGCCGCTTCTCCAACGGCACAACCCATCGCCGAGCTTGATGCTGGTCCTCCTGTGTCTGCCACGACGGTTGACGTCCATCAATACGACCATCTAGATCCAGTACCCCTCGATTACTCCTCTGCGCCATTCACTGATGCATGCACTCTGAGTGTAGCTGCTGGCACTGGAGGTCATGGCTGTATATCCTTCTTGCGAGAGAAATACATTGCCAATGGGCCTCCGAATGGAGGTGATGGCGGCTTCGGCGGCAGCGTGTATATTCAAGCTGTGCAAGGTGAGACGAGCCTGCATAAGCTCGCTCGAAGAGGTCTTCTGAAAGCTGGGCGAGGTAAAAATGGCCAGGGCAGTCTCAAAGGCGGCGCAAGAGGCGAAGACATACTGATAACAGTGCCTGTGGGCACTGTGGTCAGAGAGATCTCAAGAAATGATCCCATGGAGGCAGTTGAAGCAGAGGAGGCGAGAGAAGAACACCAGCGACGCTCGCGTCCACGTCGGCAAGCTAAGGACCAGGACGAAGATGCAGAAATCCCAGAGCAGGAGGCGGAAAACCCAGAAGTGCAACCTGACAAATGGCTGCTATATCCTGGAGGTCTGCCGAAGCACTTCACTGCTGACGATTTACCTCCTCTCCCTCGCCCTCGCCGAAGTCCGCTTGCCGCCATTCAGCCTCCGAAGCCTCTTCGTCTCGATCTCGACCAACCAATGGATACGCCTCTGCTGCTAGCGGCAGGGGCAGTGGGTGGATTGGGCAACCCACACTTCGTCAGCAAGACAGTCTTCAAGCCAAAGTACGCAACGAAAGGGCAGGATGGCATAAGGATCAACCTGCAGCTGGAGCTGAAACTGCTTGCGGACATTGGTCTCGTGGGGTTGCCCAACGCTGGCAAGTCTACATTGATGCGGGCCATCACCAGGTCGAGAACAAGAGTCGGAAATTGGGCTTTCACAACATTGGCACCCAACATCGGCACACTCGTGCTCGACAACAATGTGGGACGGCCAGTCTTGGACACTAAAGGCCGACGTAAAGCGCCCCGAGAAAGATTCACCATCGCTGATATTCCTGGTTTGATTGAAGATGCACATCTGGACAAGGGACTGGGCTTGGGCTTCCTCCGCCACATAGAGCGTGCGGCGGTGCTGGCTTTTGTTGTTGACCTCAATGCAGGCGATGCTGTTGAAGCAGTGAAAGCTCTTTGGCGTGAGATCGGCGAGTACGAGAAGTTGCGAGAGCGCGAGCTGAACGCCGAGAATGAGCGTGTGAAGGCACAAGAGGCTGCTGCTGTTGCTTATGAGCCGTTTGGCAGCTCAATATCGCCAGGCTTCGACCCAGAACCGAGTGAGCAGGCAGATGACTCTACTCTCCTTGATCCTACAGCAGGTCGCCATCTTCCACCACTGTCGCTCCCACCGATCAGCAGCAAGCCTTGGCTTGTGGTTGCAACCAAAGCAGATCTGCCGGGCACACAAGAGAATTTCCAATCGTTACAAGGCTACCTGAGAAGGGTGGAAAGTGGTGAGGAGGCACATCCAAGTGATAAACGAAATGCTTGGAGGAAGAGCCTTTATTCTGTGCCTGTGTCGGCCATCAACAAGCAAGGCGTGGGAACACTGCCTGAGATACTGCTGCGGTTGTTAGATGAATGAGCACGCGCATACAGGCGCACCATTGTGAGCACCAAAGTGATGTACAGTGCTTTCTCCATGGAGATGACTGAGAAGTGAAGAAACTCCACAATCAGCACCACCAGTGCCAAGAGTGGCAGGCCGAAACATGAGCTAGCGTCTGTTGCTTCGCGGCGAATCGGTGCTCTCGCCAGCGGAACAGGCCGAACTGATGCTTTGGCGGTCAATATTCGCACGATCAGCGGGAGAGCTTGTTATCAGAACAATCAGCAGCTCTAGGGCTATGCTTGCGCAATATTTCGTATCGTCAGAATTGAGCGCAACATGCTGCTCATTCGTGCTCGCTGATAGGTTGCTCAGATCAGCGATCCACTATCAGCGTGCACATGCACGTCAAAGTGCCCTGCTGCTTGTCTAGCCGACCTCAACGTGGGACGGACGCCTTTCACATGCACGAACGACTCGGCGGCAGACTACGACATGTGGGGCCCCGAAAGACTTCAAGATGCCTCGTTGAGACGCCCAGCATCAGGCCTGCTCCTGCACTGCTGAGCACCACGAACCTTGTCCACTTCCAAACGTTTCAGCAAGCAGCCATTCCTGCTATGCTTCACACAAGTTGTCACATTCTCCTTCCCTACTGACCCTACGCTGCTTCCAGTCAATCAGAATGTCTTCCACTTGCTCCGAATCTTCAGAGTCGCCGGACGGCTTCTTAGGATATCGATACCCTCGTATAAGCAGCCGATCCACATTCGTACTCTCCACGCTCTTGCCAGCATTGATTCAGCGCAGGCTCTCGAAGCTACGCCATTTCCGACCAACATTCGTGCAAGATGAGACGTTGAGTCAACACAGTCATTTAGCAGGCTACCTTGAGGAAGACTCCGAAGGCAGTGTAACACCACCACCATCCTACGCGACCGACGACAACAGAGACTTAAGCTGTCAAAGTCAGCCAGCTGTGCTGCGGTGGGTACAGGAGACAAGAATGCCAGGAAGAGTGCCGAGTCGGCCAACGTCTTCTGGAAGTAACACGCCGACCGGCATGGAAGAGCCTCTGCAAGATACCGAGCGAGGATCCAGCAGTGGCGTGCAATGGAAATATGCGAATCCAGGACTTGCGTCAATTAAGCTTGCACAGTCTGAGGACGCTGCAGCTGGCTCGAGCTCCATGTTTCCCCGCAAGCAGTATATCTCCGGTGTAGCCTGTCTACTGCATGGTTTGCCGCAGGAGCTCAGTAAGGACGAGTTACAAAACCTTCGCGAAGCACTACCGCAATCACTCAAGGCAGACGCCACCACAGATGGCCAGCTTGCAGTCCGATCGAAAGGGGACAACAACAATGTTCCTGGGCGGCCATTAGCACAACGGTCGACGCTCCAAAACTGGGTTGCAATGTTCACGTTGTACATGTTCCTCGTTGCTTCATTCATTCTTCCCTACGTGCGGTTCTTGCTCCGAGAAGCATACCAATTTGATCGAAAACACAAGATTAGCGATAAGCTTCTGTCGCACGGCATCGACACAGCCGCTGCAATGAGACGACACACGCTTACCATTGCGACACAAGTCTGTTCGATGAATGATGGCAAGGTCGGAGAACAGCTCAAAGATGTCAGTATGTATATGGTACAAGGCGTTAGTGCTGGTGTCTACGATGGGATTGGAGAGGGAATGCAAGTCCTCGGCCTAAGAGCAAACAAGAGGGAGTGAGAACAAGTCCATGCGAGGGGGATTTGTTGGATACCTGACGATGGCAAGACACAACCCGATTTTCGTCTTTCACCTCAGCATTGCATATGGGTTTTCAGGCGTTCCATGGCGACAGCATCCGATGCGGCAGTACTCTCCGGACTTGAGCCACGCATTCGAACTCGATACGAGGACGACACCGGCACGATTTTCCGATTGCATTTGAGTGCGGTTGCATGAGTTTTATGACGAACATGATGATATGCTTTGTACAGCGAATTGTTAGCGTTTTGAGCGAGCGAGCTGTTGCAATGACGTTTGACTGGACCCCGCAGGCAACCTCTGCTTGATAAGTAGAACATTCATTGGTAGATATGCATAGAGTAGAGCTTCACACAATGACTGCTCCCTTCGATCATCTTCACGAGGAAGCTTGCCTCACTCACACCTGTACTGACATCTAGGAGCTACTGCCCTGAATATCTACTGCTCCCGAGAGACGCACCCAGCGAAGATCAGAATGACCGAGAGAACAATCAACATCGATGGCATCCAATACTATACTCTTCAAGAAAAGCCTCCCGGCAGTCAGCATCACACAGATCCACCTGTCCTGCTATGTCACGCCCTCATGTCCAACCTGCACATGTGGGACTCCACAGTCAAAGCATTGAATCGAGCCGGCTACACAACAATTCGCTTCGATCATCTCGGACACAACAAAACTCCGCCTCCTGAAGATAAGAATGCCTCTTTCCATATGGACGACATTGCGAGGCACATGCATGAGCTCGTTGCATCTGTCACCGGCCAGCCCAAAGTCAAAGCTGTAATTGGCTGCAGTATAGGCGGTGTTCTAGCTCTTCGGTATGCCATGCTCTACCCCAAGGACGTCGAGGACATCATATCGATCGCTGCACCGGGCATCTCTGCTCCAGAGAAAGCTCACAATCTCTGGTCTGAACGTATCGTGCAATTTGAGAAAGACGTCAAAGATGGTTCGAATGTGCTTTGTCGTCAGACTGTGGAAAGATGGTTCCCAGGCAGTCGACCTAGAGATGTAGATGTGAGAGAACGGGCTTTGCCGTTGGTGAAGACGTGTTCGTTGAGAGGGTACAAGACCTTGGCGGACACGATCCGGGATTATGACTACGGAGGTGATTTGGGAAAGGTGGAGGCGAGGACCCTGATAGTTGCGGGCAGTGAGGATGGAGCTGCTAGCCCCGAAGGGTTGAAAGAGTTAAGTGGAACGATAGCAGGGGCAGAGTATGTATGCATGGATGGAGCGGGACATTTACCGCCTATGCACATGCCTGAGGAGTTTGAGGAGTTGATGCTGAGATTTTTGGGATGATGCATCTCCTCAGCTCTTCGAGGGAGAGATCCTGTGCGGTCTGCTGTAAGACGTCCTAGTCTCCTTTCTAGCCGTTTCCACGAGGTCATACACCCAAGTGGCTCGCTTTCGCGAAGGCGTTAGTCAGCTGTAGAAGCATAGATAGAACAAAAAGAGCATCGAACAGTGGTATCATTTATTTATCAGATCATAAGTAAGCATCAATGCATCTTGTGCCCAGCACAAGTCGGGAATGACTTTTGTGTCGTTCTTCGCACGATTGTGCCTCATGCTCCCCTTCATGCAGCTCCACCACAGCGCAACAATCTTCCCCAGAATTTCATCTGAGCACAAACTATCTCTCGATCAGAACAAATAGAAATATTGAAATCGTATGCACCCTCAGCCGGGGTGACGGTGCTTTTTGTGAAGCGTCGATTGTGCGCAAAGGCTCATCAGCCTGTGCCGATGTTGTCTTGTGTGAGTGATCTGATGATCTGATCAATTGGTTGAACGAAGGTCAAAGTCATAAGGCTCCACAGTAACTGTGAAGAGTGCTGGAACCTCGTCGATAGTAGTGTTCAGGTGGCCATAGAAGACTAGAGACCCCGTCTCGTCTGGGCATGGCTTGATAACAGCCATGAAGAAGCCATAGCACCCAGCCTGGTTCAAAGAGATCCAGTTCACCGATGTAACATGTTCCCAGAACAGTCTCATCCTGAACATGGCACTCCGAGTCGTGCCGTCTGTCAGGAGCACACGCACGTCGTGTCCACCGTCCCGATGAGCTTTGAAGGCATAGTCATGGTCATCCGGGAAATTTTTACGGCAGAAATCGATCGCCGCTGATTGCAGAGTCTCAGCTGAAGCGCCAATACTCGGTGAAGTGTAACCGCAACCTTGACCCGTGCCGTTGAGAGCATCTGGCGTGGAGCTGGGATTTGCTGATGGTCCGAGCGTGTTTGGAGTCGAGGATGCTTGGAGCACGGATGAAAATGAGGACTCCGGTGTAGCTGATGAATCTGGTGCATTGTAGCTGTTGGAGCCGCTCGTGAATGTGGCGACCATTGAGATAGTGGTGAGGCTGCTTGAGGTGGAGAAGGGTGCGGGGGCGGACCTGGTGGTCGTAGTGATCGTGGAGCCCATCATTGAGATAGTGATGAGGCTGCTTGATGTGGAGAAGGGCGCCGGGGCGGAACTAGTGGTGGTAGTGGTCGTGGAGCCCACAAGTGCAACCAATAGCGCAGCGACCAGGAAGCTCATTGACGAGAGAGCCATTTTCAAGATCCGGAATAAACTTCGGGTCCGCAAAGCCTTTGTTATGTATCCTTCAACGTCGTCAGGCTATGGTCGTTAGTGTCTGGTCCGACTCGGGAGCACACTGCGCTGTATGGCTTACTCGATTGCCAGGGCACACAAAGGACTCGCAACAGAGATGGTGCTGGCGGTCAGTCACCTCGTGTGATCGTGGCACTGCTGGCAGGAGCGCTGGGTGATGAAGGTGTGTCGGCAGAAGGTTGTAACCCAAGATCGCTAAGATTGAAGTTGTGATTGTTTGAGAACATGAAAGGAGCGAACGTGGAAGTTGCTGTAGGTCTTTTTGTGTTCGATGTTGTTGAGGCCGGTCCTCATGTGACTGGCTTCAGTTCATCTTTTCGTAACTGGTGTTGGGCCTCAATGACAGTAGACCAGACTCTCGCACAGTACTGTGCGCTGGGAAACGTACAGTAATTGCTTGAATGAGTGAGGACCTTAACGACCTCTGTGCAGTGAGTTGATCGACAACATAAACGATGAAGCCTGACTGCAACATCAGTTCTAACATGAATTTTGAGATCTATGCGGCAACAAAAGTGAGAGACTGAGTAAGCGCATCCCCAGATACCCCTATTAAAGTTCCCACATGATCCATTACTGGTATAGTGATCCTATCGAGCTCAAATGTAAATGCAGCGAGGTGAACTGATAACGGCTGGCAAGATTGAATTGCTGTGCTGATCATCTCGCAGACTGTTGACCAATTCTATGAGATATGCTTCTCTTTCGCACATGGTGTATGCCGCAGATGTGATGGGATAGCTTAGATGTATTCACTAAAGTCATGTTGGAAATCTTCAAGAGAACAGGAGGAGAAGAGAGCATGTCGTCTGTCTCCGGTTATTCCCGCCAGTCTTGGCACCTCTGATCTGCCCTTCCATCACGACGACATCGAGCTTGCAGCTCAGCAAGAACACACCCAGACACACCCAATCTCCACTTCACACATTCGCAAAGATGGTGAAGCCAATCACTGGCGTACGCTTACACTTTTGCGAAGTCTTAGGGCCTCACTGACATTGCGCAGATGCTCCGCCGGGGCCTCGTCCTCGATCTCTCCGTTGCTTTCGGTATGACTACAGCGCATCCTTCGAGCGCCATTGGGATTTCAGAGATGGCGAGGAGGCTGTATCAGGAGTGTGCTGGTAGCTGACAGGTGTTTGACAGGCCTCGGAACCTCCTTTGGATACTTCTGGTGGTACGGTATGTGAACGCCAAACCGCGAGAGCGCGCTCCCCTCTCCTCCGCGAACACCACGAACTTCGATTCAGAGTCCGCCGCCAAACCTCCGGATCAGCACTAATATCCAGTAAAGGCTTTCACGTCCCATCCGTCCGCAAGCGAGATGTTTTCTACGCCAAGTTGGAGGACCAGCGAGCCAATGCTTTCAGCCAGCAATAGATGATGCGCCAGCGCAGAGTGGATTTGAGGCGGGAAAAGGACATTGCGAGTGCGAAACACCATGCGACAAGTATCACCGGCTGAGCGATAGACACGGGACGCTGTACATATATCACCAAATCAAAGCAGGGAATGGAGCGTTTGCAAAAACATATTTGGCCATGGTTCCGTGCTCGCGCCGAACGTATTGACACACGTGCAGCTCTGATCTCTGCCCCAGAAACGCCATGGAGCGCACGGAACAGATCCTATGAGCTGGCAAATATCGGACAGCACTCATTGTCCATCCGTGTGGTGGCTCATTCTGGCCCATCACCGACTTTTATACCCTCGCCAGTAATGAACACCTCAAACAAAGCGCCCTTCGCCCGCAACCTGTCCATCACCTTGTCATCCACTCCCCATTCATTCACGAAGCACTCGAACTTTCCCTGGTCCGTGACCTTCCTCCTGTTGGACTCCTCCTGCAAAGCATCTTCCACTGTAACCTCGATCGGCAGTTTCCTAACAATCCCGCGCCTCATGATCAGCCGCAGCGTCGCAAAACTCACAGAATTGAAAGGCGCGGGTAGGGAAGGTCGAAGTGCATATGCGTCATCAAGAAGACTTGAACCGAAAGCCGAGTTTGTGAGCTGGTATTGGTGATGGTTGGAGTTATGAGAGGAAGCTTTTGCTGGTGGGTTGTAGTCCCGGACTGTATAGATGATTGGCGCTGAGAATGTGCGAGAGGCGGACTGAAGTGCGGCAGCGAGATGTGTGTAGCCTATGGGCTGGCGTGGAGGTTCTGTGTAGGACTTGTTCGAAGTCGAGCTCAGAAGTGCGGCTTCTTCTGTTTCGAAGCGAGTCTGCCAGTAGAGTGCAGAGGCAGAGTCGACTGCGATGAAAGCTATGGTGCGATCGAAGGAGTGGTGTTTTGAGGAGTCGAATAGGTAAGATTGCAGGTTGTTGAGCGTGCTGACGGTCTTGGAGAGGGAGTAGGAATGGTAGATCTGGACGTGTAGAAGACACTCTGACACTATCTCGTTCACATTGTCGTTGGAGAGCTTCTGATTTGGAGCGAGCGATTGCGCAAGTAATAGTCGTTTAATCTGTTGAGCGAGTCGAGTTACAGAGAAGTGCTTGTCCAGATCGAAATAAATTACCGCAGCTTGTCGCCCTCCCAGGGTTCTCGGTAATACCGCGAGTGCAGTGAGGTGATACAGCAATTGTGTCTTGCCGCTGCAAGTGTGATGGGACATGAGCTCGACAATAGGAGGAGGTGTCGCTATGTTTGGAACTGTGGCCTTCAGGTCCAGCTTGCACTGAACCAGAGCATCCAGCTGCGGCAAGCCAAAATAGCACGAGCGATCATCTTGTTGCAGACGTAGATCTTTCAGAATCTGTATATGTCATTAACGTTATCTGTTTTGGAGCTGGGCGAACTTGAGCATACCTCATCTAAACCAACCTCTTCAACCTCCGCCAACAACTTCTTCCCCAAGTCCTCCACACTCATCTCGACAGACTCTTACCATCTCTGTTCATCGAAAAGAATGCCAAGTCACGAACTCCGGTAGCGCTCGACCCGCCTAACGCACAGCTCTGAAGAAGTAGAAGATATGCCTCCAGTCGTGGAAGCCTTTCACGCCTCAGAACTCGAATCGCGTCTGAATACTCTGCCTTCGGGCAAAGCGCGCAAACCTCCGATCCAAGAACTGAAGAAAGACTGCGAGCTCAAGGAACTTCTTCAGTATAACTGCGAACCGGAAGGCGAGAAGGGAAAGCAGCGGGTCGTGTGTAGGCCAGTGCTGAGATTGTTGCGTCAGTGAGTAGTGGCGCAAAAGTGACATTTGAGCTTGCACCTTCCGCGACTGACATTCCACTTTTGTGGCAGGTGCGCAAACGGCCTCACTGTTGAGACAACCGCTTGGGAGAACAGATATGATGGCACATTAGAAAAGGCGAAAGAAAGCACGCGTGCAGAATGACGTTCGAGGAACCCATTTCTGCAATTTGCTTGTATTAGAGGTACTCTCAAGCTTCATGGTCTGTCCTACCACAGCTTTTATACAGCGAGAAGACTCGAATGTCTATAGTACAACACCAAAACAATGATACTCCACCAGCGCCAACGCTAAGTAATTCGAGAGACGCGATCTGTCATCAACCTCTCTTCTCTTCCGATACCACCGAGTCATCTTTGGCAGGGCTCAGTCGCTCGATGTCAGGCCTTGGCTGCCGCAACGAGTGCATGCCTGGGATTGGATGGTATGCTTGCTTCCATAGACGGCCTCGCGGAGACTCAGCAAGCTTTCGGAGCACATCAGCCATCGGTCGTGAGTACATCTGTGGCTCAACCCGCCCACCACTCTGACGGCCTTGCTGACGCTTACGAGCCGAAGCCTTGATGGCATTGTTCTGTCTCAGTCGTGACGCGTGCGTCGAACGGGACAAGACATGCTGCACCTACGCATGCATGCCTCTTCTTTGCCCAGATCTACGCCAATGGCGCATATCGTGATTTACGACCACCCCTTCAGGCATGCCCAAGTCCATGCCCGTCCTTGTCTGCGCCTCATCCTCAGCCAGGTCCATAGCATCATCGTTGGCCCCAATTTCTTTCATCATTTCCGCAAATGTGTCCTCGTGAGCTCTCGCTGGACCTCTCACACCATTTCTTGCAGGCTCTCTCAATTTGCCCTCGCCTCGCAAAGCGTTGTGCCGGTGCTTCTCAGCATTTAGCGCACTTGCCTTTGCCGAAGCTGCTAGTTTCCTCAGCGCCTGCTCTGCCAGCACACCTTCCTCCGTCGCCTTTTCGCGCATCTTACGCGCGTCCCTCTCGCGCTCCGGATAGACCGCAGTCTCTTTCCACGAATGCTTCGGCGGCAGCGGAGGGAAATGACGAGGCGCCCAAGCAGGAGGCTGTTGCTCAATAAGCGGCTCTAGCAGCTTGGAGAAGTCGGGCGCGTCCGGTGGATCAGGTTCTGGCTCTGGTATTGAAGGGTACGAGATGTCCTCGGGAACATCGAGTGCTAGCTGGGGTACCAAGAGGCGTGCGGTATGCGCGTTCGGCATGTTCGCGAGGGCTTGCGCAAAGTCGAGCGCGGTAGGTGTCGTTCTGCGGTTGTTGTGCATGGAGGTTCGCGCGTATGAAAGAAAGTGAAGCATGTATTCCTCTACATGTGATCGAAAGAATTCCAGTGCCGTTGGCAGAACTGAGTCGAAACCTGCCATCACCAACGCCGCACTGATGCTTTTCAACAACTGGCCTTGCGCATAGATGGGATTCTGCGACGCCGGTTCGATGGCCTTCGGTATTCGCTGGACATGGTGGAGCGCATGGTGTATCCTTCTCTTCTTGCCCAGTCCCGATGGCGCCGTGGTGGAGTCTGAGTGAGGGCGCTTCGTGCCTGCAACAGGCGACGGATCGGGCATCATCGCGTCGCCTGTATGTTCTCGCGATCGGCGCGCAGCATGTGAGAATCAGTTGCCACGTGCTGCTTCGAATCCAGTCCTCGTGTGCTCGCGTAGTCCGCCTCTACAGTACTCCAGGTTGATGTCACGGAGAGAGAGGTTCCCGCGCCGATGAAGCTTTGGCGCTGTCCCAAGTCCGCTCTCGGGTCGTGCTTCACCCGCGACTCGACTCCACCCCTCCATGCGAATTCACTTTGTTGCACATACCGACAGACGTTGGTGACATGCGATAGCCCAGCAGTCATCATGAGCGCCGTTGAAGCGCTGTACATCTACGACGAGCACAAGTACGTAAGTAGCCGCCCCGTGCTTCACCACAGCGTGCTGCCACTGACACCACGTCACAGTTCGCTGCTCTTCAGTCACATCTACACCGGCAAGCCTCCTCCACCATCAGTGCTCCTCCCTCTCTACCTGCAACATGAATCACCGCGACCAAGCGTCATATACTTGACCTCGACAAATCCACCCACTGCTCTGTTCTCCGTGATCCAGGACAACCTACTCTTTCTCTCGCCCGCATCGAGCGACATAGAGCCTTTGCTAGTACTGGAATTTCTGCACCGAGTCGCCGATGCCTTTGAGGAATTCTTGGGTAGCCCCTTGATCGCCACCAAGCTATCTGCAAACTATGATATCGTGGCACAAATTGTGGCCGAAATGGCCGACTCTGGGGTGATATGTCAAGGCGAGGCCAGTGCCCTCAGAGATGTGGTCGAGACCGGGCCAGGAGTACTGAAGAACTTACTCGGTGGCGTAGGTTTGCCCGGATCAAGTCCCAACCTGCAAGCTATAGGATCGGGAGCGCTTTCGAGGCCGTCGCTCTCGCCTGCACAAACAAACCAGGGCTCAGCAGTGCCCTGGCGGCGGAGCAACGTCGTGCATTCGAACAATGAAATGTACGTGGATATCATTGAGAGCTTGCAGGTCACGCTCGCGCCTTCCGGACGACCGCTTTCCGCTTTCGCAAACGGGAGTATTGTGTTCAACTCCAAGCTCAGTGGTGTCCCCGATCTTCTACTCAGCTTGTCCACGGGTGGCAAAGGAGCAGGAATGGGCACGCGAGGCGATCAGCTGCGAAATGTTATGGAGCGCATAGTGTTCCATCCTTGCGTGAGACTTGCCAAGTGGAAGGCTGAAGGTGTCATGTCTTTCGTGCCGCCGGATGGACGTTTTGCGCTCTGTGGCTACGAAACCGACCTTCTGGGCCCAGAGGTCAACTTCAGCACATCAAAATCAGCGTCGAACAGCTTGAACCTACCTACTACTGTCGAAATCACGACTGGCCTTGGCCCCTATGGTGCTGATTTTGAAGTCCGCGCTAAGCAGAATTCGAGCAGCTTCTCGCCAGCTGCTGCATCACTTCAATCGAATCTGGGTGCTGGACGACCGGGTGCAGCATTCCGTGCCGCTGGGCCTTCCGGCCAGTCCAATGCGCCAGCACTAGAGGATGTGACGATACACGTCCCGCTCCCTCCTGCAGTCCGCAATCTGAGTGATATGCGCCCCAGTAAAGGGGAAGCGCATTGGAATCCAGCGGACGGAAGTGTTGAGTGGAGGATACCAACGAAGGACTTCGGTCCGGGTGGAGCTGTCCTTCGATGCACAGTCCAGGGACCTCTCAATGAAGATAACGACGACAGCAGCACGGGCATTGTGAACGGCATGACAGCGACGACTTACGACTATGATGAAGAGCCTGCGGGTTCCCAGGCCCAAGGGAGAGGTGGATCGAAGACAAATGGGGCAGACGCGGGCGCACGTACGGACAGGAATAGAGAGCTCATGCCTGCTACTGCCACATTGAGCTTCAATGTGAGGGGCTGGCTGGCGTCTGGTCTGAAGGTGGAAAGTCTAGTCTTGGACATGAAGAAGAGTCGTGGTATTGTACAAGGCATGAAGCCGTACAAGGGTGTAAAATTCTTGACTGTCAGTCGCAAGGGAGTAGAAGTACGATGCTGAGAACATAGCAACATCTCGCCAGTCAGTACATTCGAGAATCCGAATCTCGAAACCTCCAGATGCTGCGACGCTGCTAAGCCTCTACTCCAATAATCTTGATCCTGCCCTCCAATCTTGGAGCGATGCCCTTCGTCCACGCCACAGCGAACTCATCGCCCTTTCGCTCCACCATCCTTGGGTTTCCAGGTATACCGGCAAGTCTCCACCACTTCTTCATAACTTTTCGCATGATATGAAGCTCTCGCTCGCGTGCGGGATTGTGAGACAGCTCCTCCTCGTCCTGTTCGTCATCGCTACTGTCCGACAAGACCTCAGACTGATCCGACCCAACCTGATCCAACTTCCGCGACTTCGCAGGACGAGCAGGTAGGTCTGACACCTGTCTTCGATGCTGCTGCTGTGCTCGTCCGATCAGTGACTCGCGCGTGTCGCCACTCACACCTGTCGCCTGTGAACCTTCTGTCGTTACATCTACTGGCTGTGCGATCTTCGCGTCTCTGAGCTTCGGAGCTTCCACGGGTGAGGCGTCGAGCACTGGATGCACTTTATGCAGTCCCTGTTGAATCTGTTCGAAATGTCCGATCATGCCTCCAAACCGCTTCCATTTCCCCAGGACTTTCAAACTCATGAAGTACTGTCGAATGATCATGCTGATGAGCCCTCCATTTTCATCGCTCACGATACTGCGGGCTGGCCCGCCTTCTTCTTCGAGCATCAAACTGGTGAAGCCATCTTTGCCGCGAACCATGTAGTCTCTCGTGGCAAGCGTGTATTCTTTCTCTGGATCGATGGGCCCCTCGCCAATTTTGATCTCGGTGCATCGAGAGCCTTCTGGTTTTGCAGGATCGAAGGTGAACTCAATGTTGCTCACCTGTGGGAATCGACCTTCGAGGGCCGGATATTTGCCCACGGCATTTTCCAATGCGGCGACGATATGCTTGCCTTGAAGTGCTACCACGACGCAAGGATCTTCGAAGGGGAAGCAATTCATCATGTCTTTGACCCTCAGGACTCCCGGCGGATAGATCTGATCCCCGCGAATTGTGCCTGAAGCCATGATGCAGCAGTCGGTTCCATAATGGAATCTCATCAAATCGCAGACAAAGTTGCCGAGATTGGACTCCTTCGTTCGTACCGTGGTGAAGCGAGCATCTAGAGGAGCAGAGGTGTATCCAATGGGTTTCTCAAGTTTTGGACGAAGCTTTGCTGTGATCATCTCGACTGTAGCCACAGCTGAGGGTTCTTCTGGTATCGATGAGACCACGTCTCGACGAATGATTTCAAAGTCCCATTCCTTGCCATTCCTCCGCGCTTCAATGTAGGAAAGCTGCTTGAAATCTGTGCCCGAGCGAAGCACGTGCGTACCATTGATGATGGAATGTGCGTAGTAGTGATCGTGGCCTCCCAATATGATGTCCACCACGCCCGACTCTAGTTTGGTGGCGAGCTTGTCATCGTTGGGTTGACGCTGATGTGACACGACAACGACAATCTCCGCACCGTCTTCTCTCAGCTTCGGTGCCAGTTCGGCAACAGTGGCACTGGCACTCAAATACTTGAGGTTTGGGGGCAAGGTGTTGATCGTGTCGAGCCATTCCCTCTCCACAACACCTATCACTCCGATCTTGATCCCGTTACTGGACTCTAGTATGATGCTGCGCTTGCAGTTTCCCAGTGGTACGTCCTCTCCTGTTGCAGGATCGAGCACATTGGCACAAAGCCACGGAAAATTGCAGTACTTCGCCAAATACTCGAACTGCTTCACGCCAAAGTCCAGATCGTGATTGCCTAAGCAAGCGACATTGGTGTTCAAATTGTTCAGCGGGTCTAACATGTGTTTTCCTTTTGTCACTGAGGACTCAAGTGACGGATTGAATGCGTCTCCCGAGAAGAACGTAATGAGTTCTGGTTGACCGTGGAATTTCGAGTTGGAACTTCTGTACGACTGACATAGCGTTTGGAAGCGTGCGATGCCTCCGACAGGCTCCCGAGAGCCAGGTTCGACATGATAGACATCGTTGTAATGTAAGAAGCGTAGGTCAGGAGTGCCGCTGCTGTTGCCGCTTGAGTAAGTGATCGTTTCTGAAAGTTGTCAGTTTTAGATGTAACGTTGGTGGCGTCCAACATGGATAACGACGAACCGCTCTCAATGATTTCAGCACTTGCATCGCCTTTTGTCTTGCCGTTCGCTGCCATTGTGCTTGTTCGCTGTGCTGAAACGGTGAAGTACGAAGCACTCAGTCGGCAAGGACATGAAGCGGTCAGGAGCTATCTGCACAAGATAACGTGCCGAACTTGCTAGCACTTGTTTCTCCGCGCTTCAGCTGATCCAGTAGTACTTATGTTTTAGGGATGCAGGTGAGGTCGAGGACTGGTCTTATGTTTAGCGCAAACGTGAGTGGTCAGCCAGCGTCAAAGCCACGCTGAAACAGAGAGGCGGTGCAGATGCTTGGCGCGTCTTGTGCGACATCGACCTCACACCGACTTCACTATAAGTCAATCGTTACTGCCCGTGGTTGCTGGCTTGCTCGGAGAACACGGTAAGAGATGGCTCGATACAGCGTATAGAGTAATCTTTTAAGTCTCATCTATCAATTCGCTAACACGACTAGATCTATGCCCGAAAGTACGCTCGAACGCAATTCATAATATGTGCGTACAATGCCACATGCTTTCTCCCGCCCAACGCCTATTAATTTTCTGCGACGCATTAAAGAGGCCCATCAAAGCCCTCATCTATCGGCATATCGAAGATCATGTCGTCAAAATTGAAATCGTCCATTATCATATCCTGAGACACCGGAGTTGCGTTGTTCGTGGTGTCCACGACATCCGGAGTCAACCACGACATGTCCACGTCCGCGATGTCGTCCATACCTTGAGCAGCAGTCGTGTTCAGGATCTCGTCCATTTCTTCTGGTGTGATGTCGCCATTGTTGAGCATTGCCAAATCCACTTCTTCCTCAGGGGTAAGATTCTGGGAAGGTATCTGCGATGTAAGAGCATCATTGGCAAACGACAGAGATGCACCAACATTACCACCCAAGAACTCCATCATGGCACCGGTGGTGGTGTTCTCATTGATGTCCGGCAGCGACGTGTCAACAGCTTGGGGCATCATGCCGCTGTCCTCCCATGCCCCAGTGGTAGTTGCGAACATGTTGGCTTTGTCCTTGGGCAATTCGTAGCGATGTCGCTGGAGGTAAGGCTTTCTGGCTGCCGAAGGTGTGTCACACTGTGGAGCCTCCATGGTCGCGAGTGCCTCCAGCCCATGACTCCTCGCGCGGGCTGCCATGATAGCAAGGTCGCTGTCTTTCCAAGTGCAATGGTGAACGGTTGATTCTTCTCTAGTCAGGGATTGCAACCCTTGTGCTCGAGCAGCAGCGCATTCATTGCGAGAAATTGCCTCCGAACCCAGCTCGTGAGCGGATCCTTGCGTAATTCTTCCACCACTGACGGCTTTTGCGCAGTCATTCTTTGCAAATGCGTTCAACCCCAGCGCATTCGGTCTTGAGCCTGTATCCTCGCAAGACTGATGAGCATGCCGAGAAGACAATTTCTCCAAAGCAGCGAACCGTGCCGACGCAGCAGCTTGATCGTCCATGCGACTGTCCAGAGCGAAGAGACTACTGAGCCCTCGAGCAATATGGCTGCTTCGTCTGCTCAACTCGTCGCCTGGTGCTTTCTGTAGTTGGCTGATTCGCTGCTGCACATCTGCAGGCAGGTCATTGTTGCACCAAGTCCTTGTCGATGAAGCAGTCAAGTCGCTCGCCGAGATGGGCCCGATGTCGATGACATTGCTAACGCACTGCGTGTGGTCGCATTTCTGGCCGCCAGCATGGAGCACCCCTTCCTTCAGCAAGATGGACTGAATTTCGGTCGTGATTGCCTGTTGCTGCGCAAGAGCAACCTGGTAGGGCCCGGGTCTGCTCGCAGCATCGTTCATCTGCTGTCCAGTCTGTGCCTGATTGTAGGCTTGCAATTGAACCGCAAATGGAATTCGGAGACCCAAGTCGCCGTAGGTTTCCTGTCCCCACTTAGCAAATGCGCGCTCGATCGAGCCTGCATTGACATTGCAACTCACCAGGTCCTCTGGCACCTGAGAACCCTGTCCACCGATTGCATTGGGGATGAAGTTGAGGCCATGCGCCTTCTTGAACAAGTCCAGCCACTCTGGATTATCTGCAGCCGTCTGGTTCCATGTATCGTCGCTGTCATAGAGTACCACTCGCGCTTGCTTTTGGAGCATTTCGTCGGTCATTTGCACACCCTGATCTGCCATCTGTTTCGCATACTTGCCAAGTCTTACAGTGAGAATTTCCCAGCAGGTAGCTTTCGTCGCGCCATAGCCATCACAGTGTGCGTCGGTAACATCAGAGTGCCTGCCAGAGTCTTCTCCGAGTGCTCCAAGCATTGTAAACTCTGACGCTGCCTCGGCGTTGCCACCTGGCAGCTCTCTCCAACTCGCTCGATTTGTAGCAGAGAATGGGTTTGGGCTGACCGACTCAATGCCGATCAAATACGGCGGCATGGCATTCGTGACTTGGGCCGCCACTGCTGGGTCGAGACCTCTGCAACCTTTCCATTCGGACATTCGTGCCCCAGCTTTAAAATGTGCCGTCAGATGATCGACACGCTCCTGCCAAACGGTGAAACGTTGAGCGCAAAAGCCGCAGCGACTGTTGATGTTCACTGCAATTGACTTCCAGCTTTCCATCGCTGGGCTCATCTCACAACCATGCATTAACCGCAGGTGCTGTCGCAGGTGGTCTTTTCGGTAGAAAGTACGCGCATCGAGACCTTTGTCCTCGCATTGTCTAAGATTGTGAGATTCTAGGTGGTCTTTCGACGGGTTGTGTAGTTCGCAGTACACGCATTTCTTGTTTCCAGATTCCTGATCCGTGAGGACGGGTCCGAGCGGTGCGCAAATCCATTTCTCGAGCGAGAGATGTAGGGATTTCTCGTGTCGTGTCCAGTCGTACTTCGATTTAAAAGTGTCAGTGCAGAACGTGCACTGGAAAATGCGCCTTTTGTCGTCTACCACCTTCCGGCTGGAAGCTTGTACCACTGGTCTTCGGCGTCGTCGCCGGTCTTTCTTGCCTGCAAGACTGGAGCTGAAAGAGCTAAAGGATCCGTGCGTCGAATGTGATGAGCCGTTGGAGTATCGCGCGCTCGAAGCCGACAGTGAAGATGTCTGCCCTGTTTCCTGCGAGGTCGTGGAAGGTGCCCTCGACTTCGACCAACCAGATCCTACGCTTGATCCCTTCTGGCGCCTTGAGCGAGCAAGTGTTGATGGAGATGTAGAAACATCGTCAGCCGGGGGCTCGGTTCGTGCAAGTGCGTTGGCAATATCGTCAAGATCGGCAGGTTCCTACAGCCCGTAGCATTAGCAAATGTCTACCAAATCCCCTCATGTCCATGCCGTGCTGTTCGTGACCAATAAAGCTCTGGTGCCATAAGAGTAACAGAGAAATGGAGCTCGCGATTCGAAGTTGCACTTACATTTTCTGGTGGCGAATGCTGCCATCTTTCGAAAGGATTGAGCTCATCCCACGGCTTTTCTGCAGCACCAGGAATAGGAATTGCACTCGAAGTTGGCCGTAGGCTTGGAGACATGCATAGCTTCGGCTTGGATTTCTCCGTGACCTTACGCCGCCTGCGAGCATTGGCTAGCCAATTCGCGATTTGGCTGGGCTTCAGTTCAGTCTGTCTTTCGAGGTGTGCCTTTTCTTCTTCGCTCGGGTATGGATTATCTGCGTGCGCGTCCAGCCAGTCTCGCAGTACCTTCACGGCCTGACGTGGGAACCTAATGCCATTGCGCTTGGAGCTGCCAGGTGCGTCGTCTTTGGCAGGCGCCGTAGAACTAGCTCCTGCTGTGCCCTTGGACCTGAGTGGTTTGATGCCTGTGTATGTTCCAAATTCACGAGCATTATCTTCGTGCACGACATGTAGAGTATCGAGGAAATTGCCCAGGTCCTTGGAGGCGTAATTTGTGGCTTCCAGCGTCTGCGATTTCGAGAGACTGCATTCTCGGAACAATGTAGCGCATGGGGTGCAGTGTGCCTCACCGCGCTGAATATAGCAATTCAGCCGTTTCGATCTGCAGTAGTCACACGGCTTGTCTGGCCAGACAAATCGCGGTATCCAGTTTTGGAATTGTGAGTAATCTGGCTCGTCGACAGTGTTTAGTGTAGCGGACTGCTCTCCAGTCTCTTCCGCTTGTGCCCAGTTGCCTACAAAGCCTCGACACAGACATCTGTACACATCAAGTCAGCGCATGCGCCTCCGACCACAGCGCTCGTCTTACTCGTCCACGTCCGGATGAAGTGGGCATTGGTCCGCTGCCAACGGGCCTGTGGCAGTCAGAGCATCGCTGGTCCCTCCAAATGTCACGTCTGATAACAGTTGCCTGAAGTCGACGGGCGCCAGTTGTCCCTCATCCTCTTCGGCTATGGTGGTCATCCTGCTCTCAGCTCAACTTCACACCGGGCCGGGATCTGGCTGGGCGCCCTCAATGTGAATCTTGCACAAGGCGTGCACAGGGCGGAAGTGGAATCGAATGAGTGTTAAAGGGCGCGATCCTTACTTCTGTCGAAACCTACAAAAAGCTGGCCTCCGCCATTGTAGACCATGGCGTTTCGACTCACACCGAACAGAGTACAATAGGGCGTGAGCGATTGACAAGCGCAGGGCTAGCTCGCCAAGTCAAGGATCCAGCTGTCAAATTTTCTGGCACGGCCGAGCTCGCATCCAGACTACGACGAAGTGGGCACGAGACGTTCCTTCGTGCGATCATGCGACATGTCAACGGCATGCGAGTGCTTGAAGCACTACATGACGCATCTCGAGAGGTGATGCTACGAGCTGATGGACTTTTTACAGGCCGTCATATAGCCGGACACAATGCTGATTGCAAGTGAAGACCACAACTTTTCCGATGGAGGAACACAACCTTGCTGTCGACCACCGGCCCGGCCTTCTTTAAAGTGCCTTGCGGCTGTCGCGCAAGCTGCCAGCCAGCAGCAAGCTTCTCGCTACCACCGTACTCGACCGTATAGCAAGCTGATTAATTGCCCACAAGCAAGAGCTTCCGATGGGGGCTGATGGCCTCGCTCTTTGACTGGTTGCGACGAGCTCGTGGCCGACATTCGGAGCGCAGCTGCATCCTAGCGCATCCCTGCGACCTTGCCGTTGGGAGGATCAATGGCCGCATAGGGTACTTGTCGCAAGTTGACATAAGCTTGCTAGGCAATGACCGCGAATAGCGAACGCGAGGCCAAATTGCTTACAGGCAGCAGGCACAGGCCGCGATGACTGGCCCCGTGATGCTTGTTGCGATCCAAAAACTCCACCGAATTCAAGGAGGATCACGTATCGCAGAATGATACCAGGTTGTTGGCCATCTCCCGATGCGAATCGTCATTCAGCATTTGTGCATTGGCAGCAATGTTGATGTCAGACTGGTATTTGCGCAGATGCAGTAGCCAGCCTTCCGAGAGCAGTGAGTCGAGGCCGTTATACATCTCAATGAGGAGCATGGTGCGGCCAGCGTCGTGATACTCGTGGTGGACATCTGCGTGCTTCTGTAATCGAGTTCACTGGAACTCCCAGCAAACTGCCAATAGATTGCGGCAGCAGTCTTCGAAAGACTGATCAGCGAAAGAGAAACTGGATACCAAGAATGACAAGCTGCACGGAGCAGCTCAACCTTCTCTGCATGCTCCACTGTTCACCAGCTCACTTTCTGGTGCAGGCATCGTGCTCGAAGGCGAACCAGAAGAAATGCTGCATTATAGAAGACATAGCAGATCAACACTGTGAAGAGCTACGCGCCGTGCAACAGACTGCGCTGCATTCGGCGAATTTCAATTTGATAGCCAGAACTCTCGCCTTTCGAGGTGAAGCTGTATTTCTTGCCAGTAGAGTATCGAAATATCACATTCAAGTCATTAGCGCTTCGTATGAACTTTCATCCGACGACCGTCGATGTCATCTGGTCCCTGCATAATGAGTTGATGGGGCCAAGATCGCGGAGGTCGCAAGTCACTGGCCTGAAGCACCGGGTAACCACCGAAGGACAAGCAAATCTTGCGAAAAAGTCTTGCTGGTCCGAGCAAGACACATCTGCCAGCTCATTTTCTCGCGCCACACTGGACAAAGAGCGAGAGAGGCAGAAGAGTGCGGCTGGAAGATCATCCGCACTTATATCCCGCAGTGGAGAGGTGCCGCACACGTGGTATCGTCACCCCGGAAAGAACCAAGGCTAGGCAAGTGGAGGCCTTTGCTCGCCGTTTGGTCACCTCGAAACTCGGGCGGAACCTCTTTTGGCGTCGTTGCGGGAGATGTGACAGTCGTCGAGCCGTGCAGGAGCGCAACAGAAGAGCAGCAGGAGCGACGACATGGCTCCAAACCATCCGCAAGCGCCCGCGGTCGTCATAGTCGCTAGGTACGGAAGAAACAGGAACACGAGCTGCCTCGGCCGGTATGCTGTGCTTGTGCTAACACTTCTTGCCTCGCAGACATGGCATGCGCCTGGACGCCGCCGACCAGTCCTGGCATCTGTCCACTCCAGCGCCCTACGACCCTCCGCTGACCTACGGCGGTATGTGGCAAAAGCAGCGGCGGCGTCATCGTCATGGTGTAACATGCACTGACATTAGACTTTTCCTCTCCAGGCTGGAATCAATGCCGGGCATTGGGCACGAGAATCGCCAGTCTGCTCCACGCGCGTGAGCACGAGTTCAACAATGCACAGAGCACGCCGGGCGCGGATGGCGCGAATGGGACGCATGGTTCCAAGCGAAAGAGGAAGAAGCACAAAGTGGTAATCCATACATCGCCGTTCTTGCGATGTCTACAGACCAGTGTGGCCATATCGGCTGGCATGGCACAGTTTGAAGAGCCAGGAGATAAGAAAGGCAGCAGGCCAAGGACTCCCGCGCAGATGCATTCGGCGCTGCATTCTCCGAGACTACATGCCATGAGTGGATCAACGTCGCCCAGTCTTGCCCCCATCTCCGAGCCCAGGCATGATCTGGCGCATCAGCTGGCTCGAAGGACTTTGGCAGAGCACAAGAGGTATAGAAAGGCGAAGATACGAGTCGACGCTTTCCTGGGAGAATGGCTGAACCCTCAATACTTTGATCATATAACTCCCCCTCCACCCAGCCCTCTCATGGTTGCAGGAGCGAAAGCGGAGCTTATGCAGAACGAAACGGTTGACCTCTTCACACCAACAGTCTCGCATCGATCTTCCAACAACAGCCTATGGAGTGGTGGGAACACGAGATCGCAGGGCAGCCGAGAGAGCACTTTGGACGACTGGAGCCATGTCACAAATGCATTGCACGCGCCAACTGCGCGGAGAGATCGCTCCAACAGCGCCAGCAGCGTCGGGAGCAATGACAGTCACCACAGCCACCACAGTGCATCTGGCCGCAGATCGCCATTTCGACCTGGCCACACCTTGCAACCTCTCACATCGACGATTCCGAAACCCGAGTATTCAGTCTATCACCCGCCGATTCCTTCGTACGCGATCTCGAACTCCGACCACATCCCTCGAGGCTATGTTTCGCACGCTCGCAACGCTACTGTGAATGTCGATTACCATTGGGACAGCAGTCGCTCCCCGCTGAACTGGGGTGATGGTGGAAAATTTGGCGAGGAATGGTCATCGATGCACAAACGTTTCCGGAGGGGCTTGAACAACCTCGTCGAATGGTATTCGTTGCACGATACGAGCGACCGTGCGGAGGATGCACTAGGACTTGAACAAGCAGACAGACCCCACATAGTGTCTCACGATGAACAGGAGGAGGAGGATCTAGTTGTAGTTCTGGTGACACATGGCGCTGGCAGCAATGCACTCATCGGAGCACTGACCAGCCAACCTGTTCTGCTGGATGTCGGCATGAGCAGCTTGACAGTGGCTGTTCGCAGACCTGATGCACCGCCTTTGACGCTGCACCATACCTCAACTGCCACCGATGGGTCATCAAGTGAGCCCGTTGATCCTGCACCAATGCTGAGAAGGCGAAGTGCCTACGATATCGGGTTGAGCGAGATATACGAGATGAAGGTAAGCAAAGACCATAAGGTTCCGAGTTGACGTGTCACTGACCATTTCCGTTCCTATGCAGCTCGTGGCATCCTCCGAGCACTTGCGACCTGGAGTCGACCCTACGAAGTTGGCAACGTCGAACGCTGCCTCCGACATCAAGACTGCCAAAGAAGCTTTGGCAAAATACAAGCGAACGGGAGGCGGCGCACATGCTGAAGCTGGTGCAGGAATTGATGCGAACTGGGACTTGGGAGAACCAAAGCCGCCGACAGGCCCAACAAGAACAAGCAGCAATTCTGCTCTAGGTTCTATAAGGCGCCCGAGTGTGCCAACGATGAACAGGAGCAACTCACATCCTGTCGAGACCATCTCAACCCCACCTACCTTCACAACTGGCCTGTGGACGCCACCTTCTGGCCGTGGTACTCCCATACTCGATGCGCAGAAAGCGAAAGAGAATGGCGATGCTTTGTTCGCTCCACCCAAGGATAGTCCCGGCCGTGTGAGCTTTGAACAGGACCTGTCACCTGACTCAGCGCCAAACAGCACCAATAACGTAGCTACGAAGTCTAATCCGCAGGTTGACGCAGCCGACAAGGAGCAGCGCAGGATTGTCGATAGTGTGATGGGCGATGACCGCAGTTCAGAGGATGCAAAGCATCTGGCCCAGGAAGCCGCGGACGAACCGACCGATCTGCCGCTAGTCGCGAAAGATGTTCCAACTTCGCTCAGTCGAGGTCTCTCCGTGAAAGGTTTGTGGGGTCGGCCACAATTTGAACGCACGCAGTCTGAGGACAAAGTCGCCAGAGCTTGGAACAAGTCTGAGCCTAAGAGGCGCTGGACAATCAACGAGCATGACTAATGTATACGAGACACCCAGCATGGCGTTATGTAAAGCATGAGCGGACGTCGAAATGATAATGAGATATCCCACTCTCGCTGAGTCACGTGTTTCTCGCTGTGAATCAAATTACAGCTTCAAGTACATTTGCGATAGCGCCAAGCAAAGAGGAGAGTCGCATCCGGCCGGCCGAGACCACGACTCCTCTATGGCTGAGGGTCAATGGATGGCGTCAGTATCATTGAATCTCAAATATTGCAGCTTTGACATAGAAGAGCGACTGTTTCCAGAAGTCATTCTTGAGCGACAGCACATTCCTGAGGGAAAAGCACACCTTCCTCCGGAAGTAATTTTACAATTCAAATCTATTGATCTACTACTCACAGGATGTCCTGGGCTCAAGCCGATGGCAAAGGACCTCGTTGGATCGGCGACAATCTCCCAGACCTTCCCAAGGAGCTTCAATATGCTCAAGACTTACCACCTAAAGTCACAGACACATGTGTCTACTTCTTCGGCTCCGATCGTCCGGAGCCTGAGTGTGCATTACAGCAATGGTATCCTAGTCCTTTCAAGTCCGACGGAAAAGAATTCCATACTGCCGAGCAGTATATGATGTATCATAAAGCTTTGCTCATGGGCGATGAGGAGGTCGCGGAGAAGATTGCAAAGGCAGGTGAGTCATTTCCATCTTGAATGATATCGCCATGAGTACGTCAATTCGCCGTTACTCCAGATTGATCGAATGAACAGACACACCCGCCAAAGCCAAACAGCTTGGACGCGAAGTCAAGAATTTCCAACAGGATCTTTGGGACAAAAATTGTGATCGGGTTGTAGAGGAGGGAAGTTACTTGAAATTTAAGCAGAATGAGAAGTTAGGTAAGATATTGCTGGGGACTGGGGATAGGCAGTTGGTTGAGACGAGTCCGAACGATCGGATCTGGGGGATTGGGTTCAATAGTGATGAAGCGGAGGGTAATGAGGATAAGTGGGGAGAGAATCGACTTGGAAAGGCTTTGGAGAGGGCGAGGGAAAGATTGAAAAGGGAAAAGGCTTGAGTGATACTTTGAGATATCTGAGACATTAATGAAAATGTATTTGATGTGGTGTCGTTCTCGATTCTCGCCCGGTTCGGCGGTCGATGGCTTTGTGTAAAGTGCAAGGAGCAGTCTTGCTGTTGTCCATTCGTTCAATGTCGCTCGTGGACTCTGGGTCTAGACCCAGCTCTTGACAAGCCAAGCATCTGCTCGAGGGTTTGACTTGCCAAACTCCACTTCTGCTACTTCTTCGCAACACTTTGCAGGTGTCGCTACACGATCCTTGTTCTTACAGGCGTCCCGCCGACCATGACCGCAGCACAAGAAATGATGAGCATCGACTTCAGAAAGGCTTCTACATGATGGCCTAGCTCGCCTGGACCGCCTGTCGAAGGATCGCGCCGCAAAATTGGCTTTTCGGAGGCGATCCGCCCACATGGCTGCGCCCAGTCGATGTTCCTTGATTTAGAAACACAACGCCACACTTTGCTTTCTGGCCTGCAGCATGCCTCTCCGATTGCAACACCTTCAGTTTGTGGATTTTCTATTCCTATAGCTGCGTGGGCTGAGTACTAACTACAGCACAATGTCTCCGTGCCTCTGTCTGTGCACACAACCACGAACTCTGGGCCTCTACGGCCTCGTGGTGCTTCACCGGCCTCCCCTGTGAGAAGCAGACTGCGACCAGGTATGATCAGTATACACAACACAACCGCCGCGTGCCTCACACGCACGAGCTATGTCAGTAGGTACAGATTGGACTCTATATTTGCCCAGTCTTCTTCAATCACGCACCAAGTACATGACATCTGAGGCTTGCCACGGCCACTGATCAGGCTGTCAAGACCTGCATCGACATATGCAAGTACGGCAGCAGGTGCGCACACCACTATTGGAATCGCAGCCTTGTCTGGATGGCATCAGACGATAACGATGGCGAATCTTGCTCGAGCTCGAGTCGTGATAGCATTATGACCAAAACCGCGTCGGATCCTGCATTCATTAATGACAATACTTGGACAGCCAAGAGCACATCCAATTGCGACCCTAGCGAAGAAAACGGAATCGCGAGTTTCCACGTGCTGTCAGAAGTTGATCCGATTTCTACCACATCGGAGGCGTTTCCTGCCGCAGTCTCAAAGCAGGGCACCGCCACTCCACAGAACGACGATCCCTTAGGATCTCTCCAAATATGTGGATCCACGTCAGCCTACCGCGTGCTAGTGGGCACAGCACCGACCCTTCTGGCAGCCGCCACTGCAGGTACATCAGTGGTACATAGACTACTATTACCCAGCGCCTACAGACAAGATGAAACACCTTCGCTTGATTCTCTCACATCAAACACACTCGCTCACCCTTGCCAGGCTTCGGCAGAAACAGAAGTTATCTCAATGTCGAACAATGATCAAATACTGCCTACGGCAGTCGAGAATGATCGCCCGAACAACAGTCCCGGAGCCGCAAGTCCCACTGATAGTGGTGCATCGTCCGAAACAACGGAGCCGCCGAATGCTCTAGCAGTCTTGTATTCCGCACTGCCTAGCGGTGTTGCAGCGTCTGTCGCTTCAGAACTCAATATCGATACGACCAATTTCCTGCCAGCCACTACGAGCTCGAGAGCAACATCAACATCTCGACCAACCTCGATCACAACTGCGACATCATCGGCATTGTCAACCTTCTCGACAATTACTCGGTCTACATCAGGGCCTGCGACCGCGACAGCAACACCAGCACCACCTTCCGACGATGACAACAACAGCTCACAACTCCGACAAGGCTCCGTAGCAGGCATTGCAACGGGAGCGGCTGCTGGTGTAGTTTTGATCATTCTCGCTGCTCTTCTACTATTCCGACGAAAGCGACAAGGCAAGCCCATGTTCGGCAGGCTAAGCAGGTCCGACTCCAACAGATCTGTTCGTGCATACCCCGAAGTCGCCTGGCTGTACGACCCAGCGCCCACACCGCCTAGAACGTCCAGACACTACCGTCGAGGAGAGTCTGGTGTGTCGTTATTGCCCACTGCCTATGGAGGGGCAGCCGCAGCTGAAGGTGCCGGCGGCATTCGAACAGTTGCGGGAGCGTTTGAACCGGAGAGCCCTTTGTTGCCACCTCAGGTGTCCTACGCTCGAGATGAATCTCCTGGTAGTTCAGGTGGCTCCTCGCCAAGGAGCGCGAGAGGTCCCTCAAGAAGCTCGCTCGGCTCTGCTTCGAGAATGGGGCCGATTTGGGAGGAACCGGGACATCAGCAAGGCGTTCATCGATGATCACTTCTGCTTCTTATTCTTTGTTAGCGTTCAAAGCGTGGCGTTGGAAATATGGAAGGAGTTGCTTCTTTTTGTTATTGTCATCGCCCTCGATGACCTTGGAGATACCCATGCAGCGTGCTATGTTACCGCTGCACGTCTGTACAATTAGAGCAGTCGTGGAGGCATACAATGTACAGTGATCTGTGCCAAGATGATCTGCCCATCTCAATTGCCCTCATTCACTGCCGCTGCCTCATCCCTCTCCCTCTCTGCCCTCCCCATCGGATCCGGATTTTGCCTCCTCAACCTCTGTAACACCTTCCTATGCCTCCAAGGATCACAAACCTGGCACAAGTACGTCTTGGCTTGACGCTTAACCACCGTGCTCTCAACTCCATCCTCCATACAGATCACATGCTGCCAAACTCCGCAATTCTCCCCATCACACTGAATCCACTCTTCTCTACTTGCTACATCGCGATTCTCCCCACAGATACAGCGAATCGGACCGTTGTCGATGTCCTGCTCGTCGAGCGCTGTGCGCTCAGCTTGGGTGAAATTTTCTGGAGAGTGGAACTCAGGAGGGAAGTCGAGAGCTTTCACGGCGGTGTCGGGGTTCACAATGAGGTGGGCTCTCTCCAGTATTTTTTTGCGCTCGATGGCGCCGTCGACGGCTTCCTTGCGGCTTTTAGGGAGGCGGTTGCCGGAGACGACGCCAGGGAGGAGCAGTTCCACTGGGGGCGTCTCCGTTCGTGGTCGCTTGGTGGGGCGAGCTGGAGAGGGAGATGCAGGGGCCTCGGTGCCGTTGCTGTCGTGAGAGGGCGAAGGAGAGTCAGCCGCACGCTTCTTGCCTTTCTGGTGCTGCGGTTCCAGGAGAGTATCTTCAACTTCGGCGGTCTCCAGTCTTGGCCGCTTCGGCGATGGAGGGGGATGTGGTGGCTTCGTCGGTCCCGTCCTGTTCAGAGTCCAGCGAAGAATCCGCTGACCGCTTCTCGCCTGTCTTGTGCTGTGCCTTCACCGGGACAGGAAGTGAGCAATCGGTGAGGTCGGCGACGCCTCTCTCCGCGGCATACTGTGGCGGCGCTTTTGTGATGGTGCCAAGCGGGTAGCTCAGATCATTTATGATCTGATTGAGTGTCTCCGGCATGAGTGGTGGGTTGCGCACAGCAGTGGCCATAAGATCCCAGGCGGCTCGGTGTGGGTGTCGCGGAAGGTTTGTATCAAAGTCTTGGGTCTCTGACAAGGCGTTTGCTACCTGCGCAGCGGTTTGTACACCTGGTTGCCATTCCGAGGGAGGATAAAGAGCGGAGTCAGTTTCCATGTTGTTGCCAGTGGGGTACGGAGTGAGCTGCTCGAATGCGTAGTAAAGCTCGAGTCGCCGGACAGATTGGGCGGACAGCATGGGGTGGTGCATGAATATGATTTTGGCATCCCCGGCTGCTGTGCGTGCGAGTCTTGGGATGTCGCGAGTGGCTGGATGCCGGCCCAAATGGCCATGACGGCGCACAAGATATTCTGACTTCGTGTATCTCTCGTTGAGTATGAGACCAGGCTCCCAGTTGCGGACCTCGAGATGCGAAGTGGCTACGCAAGTCGCTCGTTCAGCGGTATCCAGGTAGCGGCGTGAAGAGTCCATCTTCAGGTGCTGGGGCGAAGTCTCTGTAATCTTGATGATTTTGGTGCGGCGAATGCGTGCCTACGTCGGCGTAGAAGGTGTCTGTGAGGTGAGCTGAAGTGGTGAAGAATGTCTGGGAAGAAAAGAAAGTCGAGTCGGGGGCAAAACACTTAGCTGTGTCGCACATGGTATTGTCGCGACAGTGAATGGCGGAACAATACGCTGCTCTCGCCGCGACAATGGTTCACTGTCCCGACAATATACAGCACTCGATGAAACACAGTGTATACGGCCCTGTGTCTTACGCTCTGGTTTTGAGACCATTGTAGATTGTTCAAAACTCCCATTGTCGAGTGAAGTCATCGGCAGGATCCGAATGTTCGACCGGGCGGCCAGGAGCACAGAATGCTTTCGCACATGGAAAATACCCGAATACTGTTCTCGCAGCATAGTCGCAGGGTTTTGCTGGCACTGCAGGGCGTAGCATCGTGTGGCTCGGAAATCCAAGCACATTCGAATGCAGCCTCTCTACTGCGAAGATGGAGGGAAGGAACGATGGAATGCCGCAGAAAGTGTGCCAGTACAGCTCGATCTCTTCCTTATTCCACGATGAACAATGCCGCGCGTGGAAGAACGTAGCGTTGAGGATCGACCAGAGCAGTTTGTGGGAGAGTTTGAAGGGTTCGTGCTTCGAGTGGTTTCTGAAAGGTCGGACCGAAGTGCAGAGCCTCTGTATCTTCTTACGTGCATCAAGTTCCTGGTTCTGGCCACGCGAGGCCTTTCACTGAGCCCTATGTCGAGAGACACGCGGCATTCGAGGCCGACGTGACATCTACATCGATGTTCAAAAGTCCGAAAGTATTCCTGGGCTGATGCACGTGCAGTGCTGGCATCTGCCACGTGGGAGTCACAACATCGGGAGGGAAGCAACGTCCAAGGCTGAGCCTGTCTGTGCTAAATCGAGATGCCGCACAACTTTCGCAGATGGGACAGTGCTGGGCCCGTGGGCCGTCACTCCTCAGGCGACAGTGTGGTTCGCCTCGTCTGGCGGTGAGATGACGAGGCATTGATTTCGGAGATCGGTCAGAGGTCAGCAGCAGTCTCAGGACGCGTAAGATGGGAGAATCAGCGTCCAGAAAAGGAGGGTTGGCGAGAGACAGTGGACGAACTCGTCCGACGCGGCGTGAGCAGCCAGGCACGGCTGGCGTGAAGAAGAGACAAGCATTGCCTCGCTCCCTCCGCGTCTGGGCATCGCACCTTCCCACTGGACACCGTGTGCCTTTCCCGTTCATCGACCGCAGAGTTCGTCCCAACCCCGTCGACGCGCAACCGGCAAGTGCGATGGGGCATCTGCCGTGGAGCATCGCGCACTTGATGCACGCAAGCCATCCGAGGTCGCGGCAGCTGCACATCGCTTGCACCACGCCGACAGCTGCAGTGCCTTGAACTGCACGCGACACGCTATGCACGCTTCTCCGCAAACGCACCCCAGACCTCGCCTACGCGATCCATCTGTGCCCGCCGCCACCAGTGCTCATCCTGGTTGACTCGAGTCTGGGACCTGCAAGGCCTCGCGCGGCCCCCATGTGCTGCGCTACGACCACGAATCACCGTCCATGCCACATGTCTGTCCGGTGCTGGTAATGGCGCGGGTTGTCGTCGATGCACAACTGCCGCGAACGCAGCAGAGGCCCCATCCAAGCCACATTATGATTCAAGGCCCTCGCTGGCTGATCGATCGCCTGGCCTGGTGCGGAGCTGTCAATGTCGACGATGCCGACGCTGGTAGACTCCCTATCGACAAGCATCGACAACCCTGTTCCGTGTTGCTCGCGAACCACAAGGCTGGCACGAAGCAGAACATTATTTAGGGATGCCCCTCCCACGCACATATTAATCCCCATCGTCTCTCCTTTCCAGGGCAACTCTATCTTTGCCTGCACCAGAGGCACGGCCCTCTCGCATCAGTCAAAATGGAGATGAACGCTAACCTGAAGGCACGTCCTCCCCAACGTAACGTCAATATGGCCGATGACATTCCACTGACGAAACTGAAATTTCAGGAACTCCATGAGTTGGAGCAGGAGCTGCACACCGAGATCGTCCCCGGGACGGAGGTGATGACAGATGTGGGCTCGCATCACTTCGTCAAAGGCGGTTCACACGTGCTGGTGCCACAGCCATCCGACGATCCTCACGACCCATTGAATTGGAAGCCCACGTGGAAATTCCTATGCATAACAGCGACCACCATGATGACCTTTACCCAAGGCTTTGGGCCGCTGGCGCTGGCGCCTATGTTTCCCGACTACATCAAAGCCTTCAACTCCGATTTGCACGACGTCGTCAAGTTTACTGGTTACTGTATCCTGGTGTTAGGTTTCAGTAACTTCATCTGGTGAGTTTGTTGCTCCTCTCGAAGTGTGGCTGTGGCTGACGGCCGCAACAGGGTACCGATCAGTAGCACTTGCGGCAGACGACCGGTCCTTATCTTCTCGCAAATCATCTGCCTCGCGTCGTCCATATGGAGAGCTCGTGCCAACACATATGGGTCTTTCATGGCCGCGTGCATTGTCAATGGTATTGGTGCTGGTCCAGCGGAGACAATGCAACCTGCCATCATTGCAGACATTTACTTCCTGCATGATCGAGGTTACTGGAATACCCTCTATTGGGTAGCATACATGGGCAGTTTGATGGTCGGACCTGTAAGCATACTCCACTCGGCACACACCGCTACTGTGCTGACCGAAAGCAGATTGTCAGCGGCTCCATGGCATTGCACATAGGATGGCGCAGCTTTTGGTGGCTCAACACCGGGCTGATTGCGGTGTCACTCATCATGGTCATTTGTAAGACGATCGAGAATGCCTGTGTTGGTCTGCCAACTGATATCTTCACTACCAGTCATGTTTCCCGAAACCAAATGGCATCGCCCACATCCAGAAGAGCTGCTCGCCTCATCGCAAAGGTCCGTGGATGCCGACTACAAGAATGGCAGCAGTGCAGATACGCTGGAGGTACGTTCTATTTTGTGCTCGTGGAGGGTCCAAACTTGCCATAAAATCTCACTTGCTGATATGGACTACAGCGACCGAGAATGGTTCTCGCTGACGACTGGCACGATTCCGAGAAAAGAGGCAATAACATCACACGAATTCGGAGCAGCCACGGTCCAAACAATCCTCCCGCGCATCGTGATCCGTGGCTTGGGAAGGGCGCCCCGAGCAAACGGCAATGGGGCATTTACACACCTTCAGCCAATCCTCTCAAGAGTATTCTCATGGACCTTTGGATTCCCTGGAAGCTCTTCGCGTTTCCGATCGTCGAATTTGCAGCATTCGTCGTTTCCTGGTCATGCAGTTCCTTTTTGACAATCAACTTGACACAATCGCAAAACTTCGCGGCTCCTCCGTACAACTTTAGTTCGCAGACGATCGGGTTTACCAACTTCGCCATTCTGGCCGGTGCCATGATTGGTCTCTTTACTGCTGGACCATTGAGCGACTGGGTCAGTGCTCGAGCTACTGCGAGGAATCGTGGAATCAGAGAGCCTGAGATGCGTCTTCCCGCAATGAGTATGTCCTCACGGTACCTTTGACATGGGGATCCAGCTGACAGACCTCCTAGTACCCTATGTTGCCATCATGATTCTCGGAAATTTTATTGTCGCATTTGGCTACGACCGCAAGTGGCCATGGGAAGTCATCGTCATTGTCGGATATACCTGTGCGGGCATCCAAGTCGCAGCTCTGCCAGCAATGGTCAACACCTACGCCGTCGACTCGTATAAGCCTGTCGCAGGCGCGCTCATGGTGTCCATCACTGTGAACAAAAATCTCTGGGGCTATGGCTTCTCGGAATTCATCACGCCCTGGGTTATGAAGGATGGCTTCATCCCACCTATCATGCTCAATATGAGCTTGATAACACTGTGGTGCGCATTCGGAGTACCTTTCTATTTCTTCGGCAAGACGTTCCGGCGCTGGTCGAAGAACAGCTCTGTGCACAGAATGTAACAGAAAGAAATAGTGAGATATAATAGCTCAGCAGTACCAGGGGTTCTGAGAAATTCCCTCATGACTTATGATATATAATGACGCATAGAAACTGTCTGCATGCTCAGCCACGCATCGACATTAACCGCTGTCGCAAGTCCCTACTTCTGGTCTCATTTCTTCGCAGCTTTGATGCTTGCAAGCTTCTTTCGGAGAGGCTCTGGCCCAGAGTCCCAATCAATGCTCTTCGTGATGCTGTCCCTCTCATGAATCGCCTTGGCCCACTTGGAGAAGTTGGGCAAAGCATTCAACTTCTTGATCAGACTGGCTGGCAGGAGATCCTCATGCTTGGCCAACGAATACCATCTGTCATCAAACAATCAAAGTCAGCCAACCCCCTCCGTCCACACAAATTCCATTCGATCCCGCACAACTCACCTCACAACAAAAGGCCCCGCATGCACCTCCGCCATCGTAACCTCTTCCTTCCCACCAAAGAAAGGCTTCGCCCCCTCCAACAACGGCTCAATCTCCTTCTCCACAGCTTTCACCCACTCCTCCACCTTCCTCTCCTTCTCCTCCCTTTCCCTCAGCCATCAAAGTCCCAAACCAAAAACTCGCAACCTTGGAATCCCACGTCTCAGTAAAAAACTTAATCCTAGCCCTCTCCAACGGCGCCCTGGGCCCATCACCTCTCGCCCCCAAAGCAGGCAAAATACTCGCGCCTTTCCCTTTCTCCGGAAAAGAATCCGCGAGAAATTGCGCTACGACGGCAGATTCTGTTATAATTTCATCGGAGTAGATGCCTTCGACGGAGATTTTGAGACTTGGGACGAGACCTCGTGGGTTGATTTCTTGGAGGTACCAATCTGGTCGAGGAGTATCGAGATCTATGAGAATTTCTTCGTAGGGGAATTTGGAGTTCCGAGAGGACGATGTGGGCGCGGTGGGCGTAGGGGCAGCGGTGGTTGGTGTATACTATTGCGATCCATTGGTTAAAACTCTGCTCGTCCTTCAACGATTCATCATCGAAAGTCTCGTACAAGTAATCTTCGGTCCAACAACATTCTTCCCATTCGTCAAAGCATCATTCGCCGCCGACACGTCGTTCTTGTTCGCCGTTTCGAACGTCGTGGGAGTTAATCCGTTGGTCGTCATTTTTTCGTTGTCGTCGAAACTTCTTGTTCGGCAGTAATGTAAAAAGTCAAAAAGTCGTACAGCAGTGAACTCATATATTAATCATCGGAATTATCATAGCAAGATCGCCGAGACCAATTACTAATTATGGAAGGAGCGATGATGGCATCGGTTGGCAGAAGCTCCAGCTCCACACAGCTCTCACCTTCCCTGCACACAAGCTGGAGAGAGCTCTGGTGCCATTCAAGAGCTGATCCTAGCAGGTTTCAGCCAATCTTCGTCAGCACTTGATCGGGAGTGGACTGCTTATCTCGCCGCCTTAGAACGGTCGACCTTCTTGTGTACAAAGATCTGGCGAAGACGTGGAGAATAAGTGAACAGCAAATGGTAAACTGGCTCGCTTTTACAAATTTTGCATGACCTGATGTCTCGACTCCTTCTACAATAGGCACATGATGAGCGTACACGCTCGATTATCGTCACTCCCGCTCCCTCACAGTGTCCGAGCGGGACACATCCTTCATCCTTCACTCCGTTTCAACGCTGTGCCAGTGTGACTGCAAGTGCACAATAATGTCATTCTGCAGACGCCAGGCCGCCCGTGAGACAAGCTCTTCCACGTTGCTCAATTGCAATCGTCCTCATAAGTAGGTTCGTAGGTAGAGATTCCGAGGCATCGTTAGGTTATTCACAAGGCAACAAGAGGCTCAGTCTTTGGCTCGCTGTGCGACTCCGTCTTGAGCTCAGCGGTGGGGTCCACCACCTCAGTTACTGCCGGCTCCTCCTTTGGTGCCGGAGGAAAGTCAGCGCTGCTGACGCCACTCTCCGGTGTCACCTTCTCAGTAGTTGACTGAGCTGGTGTGACCTTGTCCGCTGTCTCCTGGCTGACGTAGCCCTTCTCGACTGCAGCCTGCTTGGTTTGGCTGATAGTCTCCTGGGTCTTTGCGCTGGCTTGGCTGACAGTCTCTTGTGTCTTCGCGCTAGCTTGTCCAATGGCTTCTTGTGCCTTTGCGGTGTACTCCTTGGTTGCGCTCTGGGTTGCTTGCCATGCCTTGTTGGCATTCTCAGCCGCCAATGAGCGGACCTGCTCCGTCTGCTCGGAGACGATCTTCTGAGCGTTGCCGAGCTGCTCGTCGATGAGTTCCTTGTTGGTAACGTAGACGAGTGGTGCAAAGTAGACGAGGGTGGTGAAGAAGAGGAGTAGTCCCCAGGTTGGCATGACCTTGATAAGGTAGTAGGACAGGAATGAGCTGGAGAATGCCTGCAATGCGATTAGCACAGTCTTTATGACATATTCCATGGTTTCAACGTACAGCAACCGTAGCGTAGACATTCTCTGCAAAGACAATGCGCTGGAACTCGATCACAAAGAAGTTGCAAAGCTCGACAGCATCTACTATGACGCTGTCGAGTGTCTCCTGTGGGATGGTGTAGTATTTCTTGGGTCGCAGCTTGGTAGCCACACCCTGGTTGAGCACCAGCTTTCCAGTGATCTCAGCTGCAGCGGTGATGCCCAGCACGATGTAGAGGGCCTTGAAGGCGTATTTGGCGACAGGAACGTAGCGGAAGGCGAGGATGGAGAGAACGATGGTGGCATAGCTGATGGCAGTGGCACGAGGGTTCTCCCACGACAGGAGGTTGTAGAAGAAGGAGTGGTAGTGTGTGAGGTTCTGGCCGGTGGCCGTCTGCGTGGAAGGTGTTTGGCGGGAGGCAGCGAGGTTTCCGAACTCATTCTTCGTTGCGGCGGCCTCGTTGGCAGCCTTTTGGGCAACGGGCCCGTTGGCGAGGTCCTGCACGGTCTGCGAGTTCTTGATGTCGCTCATGGTGGCTTGTGCGGTGTGCTGTGCGTCTGCGAGAAGAGACATGTTAGGATGCGGGTGGAGGGTGGTGGTGCCAGGCACGGTAGGTGGATATGCTGATAACTGTCGGGCGGGTCAGCTGGTGCCTGCGGGTGGATGTGGTGAATGCAGCGTGTGCGTTTGTGTTGGAGAGCGAGAATGTTCACGAAGCGGGAAGCAGCAACGAAGCCATGTGTCCGTGACGTGTTGGGCGGTACATGTAGCTTTCCTGTTTCGCAGCTGCCGCCCACCACCACGCACGCTCGAAAATGGCAGCGGCGGGTGGGTGTTTTGTGCATCGAGGGAGTGGCAGAGGGCACCTACCTCACTGTCCAAGAAGCTCTTGCCCTGATCGTTGGAGGCGGCGGAGGTATTTGCACCGTTGGAGTCGGCGTAGGGGTTGAGACTGGGATATTGCGGTTGGGCGCTTGTCTCTGCCATGGCCGGCTGCTGATACGGAATCGCGGTGATGGATTTCGTCAGATCCGACAAACGGCTGCTGTTTACTCTTCTCCGGGCTCGTTTCAACAAGTTTCCCAAATTGCAAGTGTCGGTATCGAGTCGTGCGTGTGTGTACGGGCGGGCGGTGAGAAGCGTCAAGACAAGACAGCAAAAGATGGCTTTCTGTTTGTGTGCGCTGTGACTTTTCCCACTGCTGCGACCCTGACGGCTGCTCTAGCGCGCTTCTGATATCATTGCGTGTTCATTCCCCCCATCATCGCACCCAACAAACCCGGCTTTCGACGCAGCGCCATACCTTGATTTCCTACAGCCATCGCTGCCGCCACGACGTCACTCGTCTGACCGTCCCGATGTGGTAGGCAGTCACACTACTCCATCATTCTTCAGTCACCACCAAGCGTGAGCACGCCTCGTGCCAAGTTTTAGCTCTCGCTTCGCACCGCGTTGAGAGGCATGTGAAGATGTCACTAGCTCACACTTGTCTTTCCGAGGCTCCGGCCGTGGAACCTTGTTGTCTCACCTCTCAAAACCAGCCTGCTTCCATATCGAGCTGCTTGCCTCTTCGTGCTCTACATTAGCCTCCTCGGGCCAGCGTGGCCGACACGCTTCTGGACGTGTCTCGCCACGCACATCGCATCATGCGCCGCGATATTGATTTCGCGTGGACGCTATATATAGCCGTGCCAACGCGTCTGTCGTGCGGTGGTAGGGTGGATTCGGAGGATCGTTTTGCTACTTGGTAAGTGTACCTGTCGAGAGCCGGCAATCGCCCTTCCGAATGAGCAGGGAAAGCCTGTGAACACCTATAGCAATCGCCGGAATCGATCTCCTCTCATCGCGGGAAGAAAGTATCGTTCTGGTCCTTCTGGGTATCGATGAGTGACACTTCAGCATCCGAAAGAAGCTCCAACGCGTCCGCTCCTCATACGCGACAAGGCTGCGACTGTCGCACCATCCAGCCATCTCAACATGCGATCAGCAAGATTGTCGAAAGCGGAGGGGTTCCAATCTTGGGCATTTCGACAGGAGATACGGACAAGCTTGATCTCTACGAGAAAAAGTACGATGGTAAAACCGCGTACATCGCCTTCATGCCTACCGATCAGCGCGCGATCTGTTCTCCAGACTACAACACAATCACGACTTGCCAGCTGATGGCCATAGCGATGACACTTGGCAAAATTTATGTGCACGAGATTCGAGCTGAGCTGTGCTTTTGGCTGGCTGGCCTTTGTGTGCCTGCAGGACAATTGAGATCCGAACCCAACATGGCTGAAATCCAGCGCAATGCCTACCGAGTGCTGCATATAGGGTGATTGGACTTAGAGCTTGGGAAAGGAAACAAGAGACGGGAAGCGAGCGGCGGCAGCGGCCATCTGCGCAAAGCAAGGTGGAAGACCAGAGGCACTAGAGCAACACAGCCTCAGTACTTCGCGGGCGCGAGGCAATGAAGACACACACGTTTGGGTCCTGCTAGGAGTCCAGGCAGCGGTTAGAGGCCACTTTGAGAAGGTGAGCTTCTCAGCACATTACAGCTTCGACAGGAGGTAAGATCTGGCATTTGTAATATCCTGGGCGGGCTGAGTAACGGATGCACACACTAGAAATAGATCTGCTCAAGAAAGCAAGAGTACATTTCCGATCTGTTCGTCCATGAAGCTTTGCACTTTTGCAGGTACTGTGCTCCTCACAAGTTTGACATTCTGGGTATTCTCCTTCATGATGATCTCCCCTTCCTCCACTACTGCAGATAATCGCCATTGGTCTCCTTGTGGACCACGTCGAACAGCGGCTTCGCACTGAACCAGCCAGCACGTCCAGTGCCCACAGAACGATGAGTGTACTGGGCCTCTTCCTCACCAATCGCAATCGGCTTCTCGCCTCGCGAAGCAGCAGCCGCCTCGGCCATGAGCTGAGAGTGGCAGCACTTCTCCAACGACACGAACCAGAAGATTGTCTAAAATATCAGGGTCAGTACGACAACCATCGCATGAATAAAGACATGCAAACAACTCACCTCCTCAATCGTAGATCCCACAGTCAACAACCCATGATTCTGCAACAGCGCCGCCTTCTTATCCCCAAGGCACTTCGCAATATCCTTCCCCTCCTTCTCCGCCAACACGACCCCATTAAAACTATCATAAACCACATGATCATTATGAAACGCACAAGCATCCTGCGTCAACGTGTCAATCTTCCTCCCCAACGAACACCAAGTCCGTCCATAAATCGAGTGACTATGAGCTGCACAATTCACATCTGGCCTCGCAGCATGGATCGCCGAGTGAATCATATACGCCGCCGTGTTAAGAAGTCGGCATGGGCCTCCATCGATGACCTGTCCGGAGTGGTTGACAAGGATGAGATCGGACTTGTTGATCAAGGAGAACGCCACGCCGAATGGGTTGACCCAGAAGCAATCTGGTTGCACTGGATCTCTGAGGGTGATGTGTCCTGCAACACCTTCGTCGAAACCATATTTGCCGAAGATGCGGAAGGCAGCTGCGAGGCGGCCTTTGAGGTATTCTCGTTCCTTGTATTTGTCTTCGAATTTTGGTGGTCTGTCACGAACATCAGTACATGTTGGAGTTTCTCATTGTTTGCGATTGAAATTCGCAATCAGATTATGTGAAACGAACCTGGGGAACTCTGTCATCTTGCCTTGAGCAATCGTCTTCTTTATCCCCGGCTCAAGAGGCGCTTGGCCCTCGTTGGCAGGCACAGTATGTCCATTGCTAGCAACAGCCTCGGTAGCCCCGTTGCCATTCTGTCCTTCAGCGTGTGGTGCCATTTTTGTGTATTGCTTTGATGTTGGTAGAGAATTAGTGTTGTTGTAAGGAAAGGTCGAATGACAAGAAAGAACAATGTCAGCAAGAGTAAGAAGTCCAGCGAGTGTGGCAACTGCTCGGCAATGCTGCTGTACGGATGTCGCAGCGCTAAGGTATTTGCTGGCGAACTTACGTACCCGCCCTATCGTCGACCGCTTGCCCCGCATTGTCACGAGTGAAGCAGTGGGATGCCTCACTGCGGCAAAGCCGATCTCGTCCTTCGCCTAATCTTTTTTCCACGGCTGATGACATGCGTTTCTGTGATTGTGACGCCTTCCACGTGCTTGTACTCGCATTACCAGGTCAAATGGCAGACTTGATGCTTATTCCCCACGGGTACGCTGTCAATAAGCAGAGTAGAAGCCTTGTTGTCACTCTCATCACAAGGCATTGCACGAAATTCAAGGTAGTGTATGAGTTGAAGCCAACGGAATCAAAGCGAATTCTTACGAGATACGAAAATTGACTGCATACTGTCTAGCAGTACTCAGTCATAGACCTGTTAATCCTGAGAAAGTGGTATCATATCCGCGCGCACCACGCGCTCAAATCGCCCCCGGAAAGCGCGGTATCCTCAACGCCCTAATCAAAGCTCTCATCGGCATCCTCGAAATCGTCTTCTGACTCGTCCTCGTCCTCGTCCGAATCGATGGTGTATTTCGACTTCTTGGTAGTAGCAGCAGCACGGCGAGATCGTGCCGCCGGCTTGGCCGGAGCGATGTCGTCCTCATCGTCGCTCAAAATGTCATTCGCAATCTGATCCACACCGTCATCCTCATCCTCATCGTCGGAAGAAGGCAGCTTCTTCTTCGATGCACCGGCTTTGGCTTGCGCGCTCGCCTTCTTCGCTGCGTAAGCTTTGGCGGCAGGCGAAAGTGCTGTTGGCTTGGCTACGGCAGGAGCAGGAGCCTTCTTTGGCTTCAAAGCAGCGGTCTCCTTCGCTTTTGGCGCAGCTTTGGTCTTCGGAGCTGCCTTTGCAACTGGCTTGGCGGGAACGTCAATGTCCATCGAGTCCTCATTGTCAGACAGGATAGTCCTATTCGTGACCTTCTGAGGCGAGTTCTGTGCGAGTTGAGCCCAATCGGTTTCGTCATCGGAAATGTCCGCCAATGTCTTCTTGCTGGCCTTTGGCTTCAGACCATGGCTGCTGGTTGGACGAGATGCAGCGGGGGCACTGGTGTGGAAGAGGCGAGAGCCTTGGGCATCGGCGCTAACGTTGCCAACGCCCTTCACCATTTCGCTGACATCGGCGAGCATATCGTTGCCTCCGTCAGACTCAGAATCGTCGCTGTCAAGCGCGTATTTCTTCGCCTTCTGAGCCGCGGCCCTGCCAGCACGTGCTGGAGGCTTCGAAGCAGCTTCCTTGGCTACAGCAGCGAAGACATCGTCGTCGTCTTCCATCTCGACATCAGAGTCGATCACCTTCTTGGCCCGGCCAGTCTTCTTTGCTCCTGGCTTGACAGCGTCGGAGTCTGTGTCTTCAACAGCCTTCTTCGCACGACCACGCGGCTTCGCCGGTGCTGCAGTTTCGACCTTTTCGACATTGATCGAAAGCTCGGGTGCCTTCAATGCTGAGTCTAGAGTCGTCTGCTTTGCAGCTGGAGGAGGCGCCACAGGCTTCTGCTCGACTCCGTTGACCAGTGGGTAGGATCCAGCTGGCTTAGACTCCGTCTTCATGGCAAGCAACCCTCCAAGAGCTTTCGATTTCGTGGTCTTGGGCTTCTTTGGCCCGAAGTCCTCATCCGAATAGTCATCACTGTCACCGGCTTTACGCTTCTTGCCAGCCTTGCCTGTGAGACCAAGTTTGGCCGAAGCACGGCGTCCCTTGGACTTGATCTTCTTCTCACGCTTCTTCTCCTCATCGAGCGCAGTGTGCCAATCCTCGCGGAGTGCCTCCAGATCAGCTTTCCAAAGGTCCTGAGGGGTCTTGACAGTAAGGTCATTGATCTCCTCTTCCTTTTCACCAATCTGCTTCTTGAGCTTCTCTACTCTCTCCTGGGTGAGCGACCAGATGGCCATACCGAGCAGGTAATCGAAGTCGCTGGCGCCAGCGGCAATATCGGCGTCGGATTCTTCATTGTCATCTTCTTGAGCCTCCTCTGCCTCACCCGCCTTCTTGGCATCAGCGACCTTTGGAAAGCGCGTGAAGTTGAGCTTGTCGAGCTCTTGGACCAGCACGGACTTCTTCTTCTTGCTGACGACCAGCTTGCCGTCAATGATATACTGCACGAATCTCGCCTGATTGGTAAGCTTGTTCAGTTCTTTGTGCATGACTTCCAGCATGTGGTCCTTGCGATGGAAGTACTTTGTGAGTCGGTACCCGTAGAATTCCTCGATGATGTCCTGGGGCGTTGCATACTTGTAGATGCGGCCCTGGGGATCGAATGCGACCATGTTCGATGTCGCTTGAGTCTTTGCCAATTTGAAGAGCTCCTCAAGTTTATCTTCATTCTCCGCCAGTTTCTTCTCCTCCATCTTAATTATGAAGCGAACGGTTTCAGGCGTATTGTACTCGGTGTAGTCCTTGATGAAGGAAGGTACCTTTTCGGCCTTGATGATATCTTCCAGTTTGTCCTTGAAGTCTTGCGTCCACTGGTGCACGGGCAATTCGGTGATCTCAACTTCGTTGCTGCCTGTCTTCACGATCCTGCCAGGGAACTTAAAGCGATCCTCCGTAAGCTGCTCGGTCTGTCCTGTCCAACCACGGTACCATGGCATCATAGGCACCATGGACTCCTTGGTGGCGCCCGGGGTCATACGTCGAATGAGATTGTCGATGACCTCCTCTGGGTTATAGCATGGGATGGAAGTGCTCCAACCAGTTCCAATACCATCAGCACCATTGATGAGGATCATAGGCACAATTGGACTGTACAGTTCTGGCTCAATGGTGTGGCCATCATCCTCATTATACCGCAACAGTGCCTCGTCCTTCTGGTCGAAAAGACGGCGCGCGAAAGGTGACAGTCTCGTGTAAATGTAACGAGCGCTGGCAGCATCGCTACCACCCTGGAGACGGGAACCAAAGTTACCACTTGGCTCCAGAAGATTCATGTTGTTGGATCCCACAAAGTTCTGTGCAAGAGCGACGATGGTCTGTTGAAGCGATGCATCACCGTACGCGTACGCAGTCAGACCAGAGACCAGACCAGCAAGCTCGACTACCTTGATATCCTTCTTCAAGTTGCGGCGGAAGGCGGTATACATGACCTTTCGCTGACCAGGCTTGAGACCATCCACAACGGACGGGATGGATCGCATATTGTCGGCCATGGAAAAGAGAATGAGTTCTTTGTTGACAAAGTCATCATAAGTGATGTCGTCTGTCCCCGACATATCCAGGTAGGTGCCAGGAACGAAGCCCTGCAGCCAGGTTTTACGTGCATCAGCTCTCTTTTTCGAGAAAGCGAGATCAATCAGTTCCTCTTCGTGCTCCCGCATCCTATGGAAACGCTTCAGGTGCCGGTCCAAATCCTGGAAGTATATTTGAGCATCTCGGGTGTCCGATGTACCCAATCCCTTGTAGTACTTGTGCTCCCAGCCCTTGGTGTTGCCTGGCAATTTCTTCCACTCCTCGTATTCAGGCATTGTGAAGAAGTCACGCTTTGCTTTTGGGTGTCTTTGGTCGCCTTTCCAGACCTTGACAATGGGCGTAATGAACTCAAGCAGAAAACCCTCGATCTTGAGTAGCGAGGGGAACTGAACCTGCAAGAAGTTGATCAGAAGTCCCTTGATGTGGGAACCATCGTGATCTTGATCTGTCATGATCATGATGTGACCATATCGCAAACCGACGGTCGTTGTGTACTCCTTCTTGTGCTGCAGGCCGATAAATTTCTTGATGTTCTGAATTTCCGCGTTCTTCGAAATCTGGTCAACGGAGGCGTCGCGAACGTTGAGCACTTTACCACGGAGTGGAAAAACACCGAAGTAGTCTGGATCGACCACAGCACGACCTGCCAACGCCAGCAAGGCGGCTGAGTCACCTTCAGTCAAGATGAGAGTACATTTGTGGCCATCCTTTGTACCAGCTCTGTTGGCATCAGTGAGCTTGGAGTGATTCATGCGCTTCCGACCACCGCCATCAGACTTAGCCAGGACTTTGTCTGCCTTCTGCTGCGCGAAATGGAGGATGTTGTTAACGACCTCGGTCTTTGCGATGTCTTTGAGGAATTTCTCGGTGACCTGCGGCTTGCTGCCAAAGGCGCTGACTTTGGTCGTAAGCTGCTCTTTTGTCTGCGATGTGAACGCGGGATTTACGATCAAGCAGTTGACGAACAGGAAGATGTGGTTCCGAAGCTGTGCCTTCTTGAGCTTCACACCGCCCTTATTCTTCTTGTTGACGATCTGTTCGAGCTTGTCACAGATCTGGTCTGCAATGTAGTTGACGTGCGTACCGCCCGTGGTCGTCGCAATGGAATTGACAAATGACACTTGCTGGAATGAGCCATCCGACACAGCGAATCCGATTTCCCAGCGCTCGTGAGGGTTGTCTGTCAAGATGACCTGTTCCGGTGCTTTCCCGTCATTTTCCAGGTTCTCGGTCTTGATAGCTTTGGTGTACATCTCCATGTACTGCTTGAACTTGCTGATATTGATTCTCTCGCCATTCAAGTAGACCTTGACGCCCTTGCACGTGCCAGCCATATCGTAAACTCGTCGCTTGACCAGACCTTCGAAGTCCTCGTCCATTTTGTCCATACCGAACTTGCTAAAATCAGGCTTGAACGTGATCTTCGTGTAGTCATCGCCCTTGATCTTGTCGATCTTGGCCTTCTCCATGATGCTCATGTTCTTGCGCCATGTCTGCTTGTAGCGCTGCTTGGTCTTCGAGTCCACAGTCTCCAGGTGGAACTCAGTCGAGTAGATGTTGGTGAGTTTTGCACCGTATCCGTTTCGCCCACCAGTGACTTTTGCTTCTTCGTCGTCGTAGTTGGAAGATGTCAGAAGATGCCCAAAGATCATCTCTGGAATCCAGATACCCTCCTTCTCGTGCATCTCGATCGGTATACCACGTCCGTTGTTTCTCACCGAAATCTTGCCTTCGTTGGGATCCACATCGACACGCAGCTCATTCATGTTCTTGTCACGCTGCTTGTTGTCCGCCGCGTTGACCAAGATTTCGTCGAAAATCTTGTACAGACCTGGCACATAGCTAACCTTTCGGTTCTCCATTGCCTCCGTCTCCGAGTTGTAGATCCATAGCTGGTCGGTTGTGTACTCGACTGAGCCGATGTATGTATCAGGACGCTTCAAAATGTGCTCAAGTTGTGTCAACTTCTGATATTGCTCCGACCCCTTCTTCGCCGTTGCAGCTACCGGAACGTCCATGAAGCTCTCGTTCTCGATCTCAGCGAGTGGTTCTGACGCGACCTTCTTCTTAGCGGGCGCTTTCTTCTGCTTCTTGTTCGAGGGTGGCGTATCGGCAAGAAGTGAGTCGTCGTTATCAGAGGGTACGTCGACGTCCGAGTTCTCCTCGTCAGAGTCTGGTAGGGCGCGCTTCTTCGCAGCTGCCTTCGGCGCGGCCTTGGTGGTTTTCAAGGTCGTCTGCTTGGTGGCTTTCGGTTTTGCAGGTGCCTTCTTCGCAGGCGCTTTGGTGGTTGCGGGCTTTGGCGCTGCCTTTGCCTTCTACGTTTGGTCAGCACATGGACTGAACATGCGAAGTGAGGTTCTCGGCACTTACAGCTTTTGGCGCCGGCTCAGGCTCGAAGTCACTTGAGGCGCCGTCTTCGAAGACTGAGTCGTCCATTACGGAGTCGTCCATGTTCGCGTCGCGCTGCTGCGCCTAAGACGCGCCTGTAGGGGTTAGTATTGGAAACGAGAGCGATGCCGGCTATCGCATGGGGCTCGTGGTGATGCGATTGACCAGCAATCAGGAGTGCGATGTGCCTGTTGTAGCAAGTGGTGTGCTATAGAAAAGAAGCGCGGATGTTTGTTGCGATTGTTTATCCTCGTCAGTTAGCGCGCTTCGGCGTCAACAGACTTCGAGTTTGACCCGCAGACCCTGGCAAGCGCCATCCCTGCAGCTGCGTTCACTCATGTTGACTCCACTCCTCTCTTCACTCTTGACGCACAGCGAAGACTGTATTCCTGTATGAGCCTAGGCAGCAGGCAACATCTATTGATATTGAGCTGACGAATTGCTCACATGCCAGACCCCAATCCGATGATCATCTGCCTGAGCACGAGAAAAATGGCGTCTCCCCGCTGAAACCTCTCCTCCAAGCGCAACATGTTCATCGACATTTGTTGGCAGACATTAAACGGTTTCGCCAGTGCATGTTGACATATCATGCAGCCCACGATGAACCTGCAGCGGCCGTTGACTTCACAATCCAGGTGCTTCACGAACCCTCTTGAAAGAATGTGCGACCAGGAACTATACGCATGAATCTGCCGAAGCACTCCCACTTCCACGTTGGTAGTGCAGGTAGCCAATCTGGTCATTGCTTCCGAGATCGTACCTCCTACTTGACGCGTTCGATACTGCTCAAAGTGACTGGACCGCCTTTTCCATGACCAGCGACCTTTTCGCTTCGACTTACATCCATCCCATCACCTTTATGGCCGCTGAGCTCAGCATCACCGCATACATCAGCATCTCGCCGCCAAGTCACGCCATGCTTACTCACTTGCGGCCAGGCGCAAGATCTCTTTGTGTGCGTCTTTCCGGACGCGTTTCTGATTCGCTCCATCCGTGCACAACAAAGAAGCCACATACAAGATAGGCTGTCGGGTCTTCTTGAGTGGCTATGTGCCATGTCGTGCTTGATGCCAACCAGCCGCTGACATTCCAATGGTAGGTGAGGTCTGAGCGCATCTCAGCCACTCTCCTTTCCACCTCGAGGGCGTTCAAACACCAACAAAACACCAGGATATTATCCTCCAACGGCAGTGGTGCATGTCTGAACTCGCGGGCTAAACAAACTTGGAATTTCGTCGAGAAAAGCAATTAGACTTGTACGTTCGGTTGAGGTGGCACCGCGAAGGACGGGGTTTGAGTACGTGTTGTCAAGAATCGGTGAGGATTCTTTGAGGTTGAGTACAAAACTTCTCGAAGAAGCTTCCTCTCTTGGTAAGGTATCGCCCCGCGTCCTGGAGAAAAACCGCCATGGCTCTTTCCGTCGGCCAATCGAATGACTACGCCCGTCCTTAGCGGCACGGACGAGGTGAAGCGCTAGTAGCCCAAGCTTCGTCGCTTGTCTTGATAGAGCCCAGGAGGTCTGGAATTGGGGAGATGTTCCTACGTGGCGTAAGTGACATGGCTGAACTATCGAACTCACTCTGCCGTCGCAGGGGAAAGGCCAATAAAGTTGACAGTTTGGCGAGCTCTTCATGCAGCCAGAGATTGCTCCCAACGCCTCATTATGTAGATGCGTCAGGTTACGAGCCTGGAGCTGTCGCTGCATATACATGCAACACTGCCACGTCTGAACGCTGTCTGATCGCGCACTGTCGTTCAGAGAGTCTTACTCCTTCAACATGCGTTCTCTTTTGAGGCTTGTAACTCTGCTTACTATTGCGTTCAGCGACGTTGCATTCTCGAGCAATAGTTATGGGCAGTACAAATGCTCTAACGATGGATGCTTGAAAGCTGTGAGGAACGCCGGTCGATCGGCATCGAAGGACTGCTCCTCTTACCTGGAACTCACGAAGACCGCAAGGCCTAGGTATTGACTAGCTACAGGAGCCGAAGATAGACCACGCGTGCTGACATTTGATTTTGTAGCACCTGTACGAAGACGGTAACAAAGACGGTTCATGGCTATTATCCTACGAAGAGGAGCGTAGAAGATGGTCTGTAGAACATTCACATTCCATTCGAAGGCATCTATGAATCTGACATTTGACTAGCATTTGACTCTTCCGCCGCCATTGGGCCAGGCTTAGAGGCTCGTACCGACAAGAGTCGTCCGAGATACGCGAAAAACTGTAACCATTCCCGCTACAAGTCTGCTTGCTCCTGCATTGGGATAAGACCTCATACCAAGACTGTGCCTGGTACAACGCGCACCGTGACGGAGACCAAGACTGTAACGAAGACCAAGAAGACTACGACAACGACACAAAGTACGACTGTAAGTAGGCAGCGATTTCCCTTCCCTCGATCAACTGCGGAGCCCCATCTTCTTCATAGTATCCGAAGACCTCTTACTAACGACCTGCAATGGATAGAAGTCAACTACATCGCCTTCAACCACAACGTCCTCGACTTCAACGACAACTTCGACTTCAACGACTACGACTACGACTTCGACGACGACAAAAACTACAACAACGGTGAGTAGATCCGTCTGCGCAAATAATTAACACGAACATCAGCTAAAACCTGATCCAGGCCCCACCCATCCCAACAAGCTGCGCACTTTGCGACAATGGTGGAAATGACTTCTGCAGTCAAGAGGGCTGTTTCTGCTTCATCCGAACAAGCGATATGGTAGCAGTCTGCACCTTGAGTGCTTCGTGCCAAATCTGCACCACTGACGATGATTGCACGGACAACCCCACCGACACTTGTTCATTTGATTGTTCGGGTTTTTGTGGTGGCGATAAAGGCCAGGGAAGATGTATTCGAGTCTCCACCGACCTCGATGGCTGCGGTATGCCATCTCCCCCCACTGCTAAAAGGGAGTTGGAAAGGGTTTTTGAGGAGGCGAGGAGAGGGGCGAAAGGAGCTCAGCGTCGTCGTCGTTAAGCTCACTAGAGACCGAGAGTAGCTTTGTGCGTGAGCACTGGGACGCTATGCGTTGAAGGCTGCTTTCTCAACGTGGCATTTGTGAAGGCAATAGAAGTGCTCAGCAGGATGTGGAGAGCAAGCGCCGACTGTCTGAGCCTTGCTGACTTTGATTTTTCAGATACAATTTTCTAACAACATCTAGTCGTTTCGATTCTACGGCGATTGACAGTATTTACAGGATACCGCTTTCGCAACGACATAGATGGCCTCCGCCAAGGACAACTCCTAAAGACGCAGGGTGACCTTAACCGCGTGATCGTTGGGGAGGTATCGTCGCTCGACGCAGCACAATGATTTACTACCAGTCCCTCCGGACGCCTTGTTGCTATTTTCCCCGACATCGTGGTAACAGGCCGCATCCTCTATGCCTTTGTGAGTTCGTTTGATTTCGACCAAATCGAACTTCGCTCTGGTGCCGCCAATGACCACCCAGGCCGGTGATGGGACTCTGTCACTCACTTGCACTGTCCAAGATAACGGACTTCTATCTTCGGGCATAGGTTCGATGCGTACGGACATTGCATCATGCTTGTACTTTCACATTCATCCACGATACCACTCGCAATGAACACCGAAGCACCAATACTGTCGGAGAAAGAAACGAACTCGAATGCCAATCGCCGCAACCTCTTTCTCAGGCGAACGTGATTGCTGTTGATGTAATTGACTGCCGACTTCCCACTTCCGGGAGGCACGTGCATTCGGATCACTATTAGGACTAGGTTATGTCGGTTGGCAGCTCCTGTGTCCGCCCCGATTTCTTTATTGCGTTGCGCCGGAAGCGTTCTGATTCGCTCCTTTCGTGCATGACAAAGAAATTGATAAAGGCGAGACAGTCCGTCTGACTTCTCGAATGACGATGAGCTCATACTTGGTCTCTGACAGCGCCGGCAGCGGAATTATAGGCCATGTTCACATACGCATTGATCACTCGCTAGTACAAAATCGAGCGCTCAACTGCATAGCAACGCCCAGATATCAGCTACGATATCATTTGCAATGAGCAACGGAGCACCGATACTATCTGAAAATAAAACAAACTCGAATGCCAATCGCCGCCGCTCGCATAATTTGACCGGCCCACTCGACATCTCGCTTCAGGAGATGGGCGTTCAGACCTTAGAAGAACTGGTCAACAAGTCCAGTCAAGAAATCGAAATGATCGACGAAACTTGGAGCGAGTGCCATGGGCCAAAAGAGAAACTCTCCATCACCAAACCGAGCGATCAATTAGTAACGAAGCCACTGCGACCACCACGTTCACGCACACATGGAGAAAAGAGAAAGCTGTCCGACACAGACGGAGTGAACAAATAATGGGTATCATAAACTTCTCATATCCTAAGACCAAACAACACTCAAATTGGCAGATTGCCCAACAGGTTTCCCAATCCCAGCAAATCCGCAGCTTTCCTGATATCTCCATTCGTCTGGTTCAAAACCTGAATGGTCTCCAGTCTCACGACACCCAACTTCAACAGCCTATCCGTCAACTGCGGCCAAGGACTCTTCGCAGGCGTGATAGTCGAGTTGAAGTCCTGTGGCACAGACTCTTGCCTCTTGAACGTATTCCTTGTTCCAAAGATGGTATTGCCAATTTGTCCAACCCACTTGTACGGCTCATTGATGTTATCGCTTCTTCCAGCATCCCAGTATTCCCATCCATTGACTGAGCCGAATTTGCTGCCGTAGTTGGCTTTGAGGATCCGAATGGTCCTCTGAATCGTGGTGAGGTTCTTCCAGCCGCTGCCACCGTTGAAGGAGCTCGTGAGAGTGCCGAGGACGACGCGGTCGGCGGGATAACCGTTTTTGACGATGGCATTGTAGCCATTTGGTGTGCCTGCATCTCCCCAGCCTAGATAATGTTAGGGTGGGTTTGAGACATGATGAGGATTATCTGTAAGCTTACCGTTATAGAACTGGCAGTTGAACCAATTGACGATCTTGCCATTTGGCTTCTGAGAGTTGGTCGCGTAGTAGTCGAGAGTCTTGTAGGAGAAACCGCCGAGACCATAAGGTTGTGGCTGCAATTCAGATGCGACTGGGGACATGGTGATGATGAATTTTGAACCGAAATCCTTGTTCAAACGTTGCAGCAGGTTGTAAGGGCAATTGACATTGACCCTCTCTTCGATGTCCAAGTCAATGCCGTCCAATTTCCGATACTTGAGCTCCCAGTACAATGGCATATAGTAGGACTCGTTGATGGTGTTCCTAGGACCACTACAGAGCCTTGGATAACTCCCGGGTGCTGCGCCGCCCATCATGTACATCACTTTCTTCCCTGCACTCTGTACTTGCTTGACTTCGCTCCACATATTGTTCCATATAGTGTCATTTGGATGGTTGTCATTCAGATGCATTCCCTTTGGATCAGGATTGATGTGCAGAGCCGAGATGTAGAGGTGAGTGACTTGTGTCGGGTTTTGAATCAACGGGAGCATCGAGAATTTCCCGCCATCGACGCGTCTGAATGTTTGGATGTATGCCAGGTTTCGTGGTGGGTTGTAAGCATCAGCTCGCTTCTCGAGCGTCGTTACCTCCGACGGTAACGAAGATGCGAGCCCCAGCAAGGACAAGAGCACCGTGGTGAACCGCATATCGAAAGTTCAATGGTTTCGTGATGGATGGTAACAGCCCGAGTAGGGAACATCGCAGAGAAATCGGGGAACCCAAAGCTCTTCTATTATTTCGGTCATACTCCCGCGGACGTTGTGAATTTGGCACTGATGCACACGTTGCCGCCATCGTTAAGACGTGTATGCGTTCTAGCCTATAGACATCGCCATTTCTCCAAAAGTGGGCCCCGTCCATTGCCCATAACGGTGAAAGTCCTGAGTCTCCTGCTCGGATGTGCAAGCCATTTCACCCAAAACGTGTTAGCACGAAGTTCGCCACGAGGTCGAGATCTCAAACAAGGTTTGCAGATCAGCGCCACAATACCCAGACTCGTGAGCTCCTAGACGCTTCCACAGCCTTTGTGCTGCGAGGGCGTGATTCCATGCGCAGCGTGCTTCTGCGTGAGCCGATGTTGGGCGTCCGCTCCGAGTATTGGCAGAGCTGGAAAAGATCCTGATCGCGAAGTGGCGTTGTCTGGCCCATATGAAGGTATGCTCACTGAGTGCAACGATACTTCAGCAACCAGACCCGCCGTTCGAACATCTTCATCAAGAGACAAGGCTTGTTGCTCTTGTGGGCATCGTTAGCACACTCAGTCCACGAAGTACGATAATGCATGACAAAAAATCCTGTCATGTTTCGTCGCACCAATGAGAATTTGCATGCCGCCACTGAGCATATCGACACCCGAGCGCAGCGTATGGCGAAGCGTGGCAGGCGCCAATTGTCAGTCTCAATGCTTCCCGCAGGCATGAAAGCAGATATATGTGTTCCTATTGGAATATCCCAACAGCACTTCAAGTCGTCTTGAGAGCGAAGAGTAATCCTGTATGCACGCGATCCAAGCAACCATGTGCGAAAGCTGCTCAGGGTCCTGGATGCAGACCATTCGCGTTCGGGGGCCGTCGATGGCATACGCAGTCATAGAAGAACTTTTTCGAGCCTCGAAGGTTGAAGTCTGTGTCGCGTGCTCACGGTCCGAGCTGTCATGACCGAACTTTGTCGTGTTGATGGTTGAGCACAACAGGGAAGCAGCCTGGTGCAGCAAAGTCCCGGTGATGATGCTTGCCACCCCAGGCTACCAATAGTGCTGGTGTATGGAACACTCGCAACTTGCTGTTTCATGCTTGTTCCATCCCTAAGATCTACTATGTAGGTTTGATAAGTTGATTCCATAGATGTGGTCTCTGGCGCAGAGCTTGCAGGGGCGTTCGTCGATCGGCGCAGATGAGTATCAACGCATCGCGAAAAGATACTGAGGTCGATAGGTCTCTGCCATCTACCACACCTAGCCAATGAGCAACATCGTGCGCGGCTTGTCAAGGTCATCGTTGTTCGTAGATCCATTTGGTCGTTTCGTCCTCCCAAGGCAGCCGCCTGGGAAAAGTCTCCCAGCCAGAAACCCCACCTTGCCATGTGAGCAGGCCCATGACCTCTGGCTCAAGACGAAAGCCCAGGAAAACATGGGCTCTATCGGCGTTCCAATTTCTGGCCAGGCGCTTCTGGCTTAGAGGCATTCTGACGCCATATGGATCTGAGGCAAACACATTGTATGCTCGTTCGCGCTCCCCCATTTGCGTGAAATTAAGCTCATCGAGAGTGAAAGGCGGATTCAAGCCTTGTACCCTGATGCGATGATGTGGCCATTTGATAGCAGGAGCATGGAGCTCCAGGAATCGGCGCTCTTTGAAGGCGTGAGTTACCACAGTGATATTCTTGGGATATGCGCCAGTAAGCTGTCTGAATCGGATGATGGAAAACAACAGGTTCTGGTAACTATCGGTCGCGTAGGTTTCCAGCGCGTATCGCACACCTACAGGGAAGAGGGTGGGATTATGGTTCACCATGTACTTGAGCACCAGAGCATAGCTTTCCGCTTCGCTTCGGGGCGCGTTGGTGGTATGGCCGCCCGAGAAGACCAGCAGGGCCTCAGGATTGCTATGCACCGCAAGGGCAGCAGTCATAATGTGCGCGATGAATGTCTCATGTTCGCCCGGCTTCCTCGCGAGCGGGTCAGAGCGCGAAAAAGGCTGCAGGATCCACTGTTCTTCTGCGGTGTTCCTGCCATCGCCCATGTAGATGCCGTGGCAGCAGACCAGCACGAGGTCGGTGGTCTTGCAGATGTCACTGCTCTCCACAAATTGCTTGACTTCGGTCATGGTCGCCTAACCTCCTTATGGGCGTCGCAGGTTAGGTTAGGTGGAGGTTACCGTGTTCAGCTGCATGCGCTTACCACGTGCCCGCATAGCAACGTCAGACGGCCATTTCTTCTCAGCCTCTGCTGCAGGCTGGCTGACTACAGCTCGAAAGGATTCGATAAAACGGTCGCAGCCGGTCAAGATGATGGCCCGACGTATCGGCAGCGAAAATTCCTGGATGCAGAAGTGTAGCACAGGTGGTCGGAGCACGCGCTCACCGATAGTTCCTGATGTGAGACCTGCAGATGGTCTGCGTGGTAGTGGTGTAGCATTAGGACATCGGATGGCACACAACGTTGCAGATTTGCTATAGGCTAACTAGTTCGGTCGGGGTTCGGCAACTCCAGGCATGCTGTCGCAAACTCGCAGCGCTCGAACAAACGCTGGCCTTGGCAGCGCAGGTACGGCGAGCGCGACGAAAGCGAACCGGCGAAGTGTAGTTGCGACGAAAAGCGTTGAATGCAACATGATTATAGGGAAGATGCAGCATTTGCCGCCGTCAGCACAGGCCGGGATAGCGTGGCGCGGGTGATGACAGGAGGCTGTTGAGTTGCGCTGTCTGCTGTACGGCGCTCGTGTGAGGCGCAGTACCAGCTCGCTAAATATAAGTCGATACGCGTCTGGATGGCGACGCTAACTAGTGCACTATGATCGGGGCAATGGCGTGTACATAGACGAAGAAACGAACCATCGCAGCGAGCGCACATTCTTTCGCCGCCTCTTGTATTGAGCTGTACACCACCGCGAGAGTCGCGCCGCCGACCATCTGCACACCTCCACCATCGACGGCGACGCGGTTTCGTGGGACCAAATCATCAATTTCGAAGCAGCTGTTTCGCTGGCTGTCCCGCGAATGAAACACTAGCAGCGGCGATCAGCACACGCAAAACCTATCCCTGAACCCTTCGGCTGCAATTCTTGGCTTAAACCTCTCAGACATCTGCTGGCCAGCTTCGTGCTTTTCCACTGCCCGCCTGCCTGTCTGCCCTGTTCTTCTGCGCAGCCAGAGCACGACTCACTCATCATCACCCGACCACTCCGCCCCCTCACGACCGGGCTGGCTTTGTCTGCTTGCATCACGCCACCACCTCCGCAGCGCACCTTTGTTGCTGGAGCTGACGCCAACCACGCGAGCTTCTCCAGACGCGCCAACGCTCGAACCACAATCGTTTGGCAATCTGGTTACCGACATTCACCTGTCACAATGGCATATCATCCCCCTGGCGGCGGCCATGGCGGCTACGACTTGCACGACACTCCTGGCGGCAGCGGCGTAAGTTGACAATGGGCGTGAGAGGCCAAGCACGTGCATGGACGTGTCTGCTGACACATTGACTACAGCAACCATACCATCAGCCCCCGCATCGAGACAGCGAAGACGAGGAAGTAGAGCGCTCACTGCTTCACGGAAACCCCAGTGGACCTTTCCAAGGCCCTTTCGACGAACCACACTCACGCTCTGGCACGCCTGGCGGCCACGATCCCAAGGGCTACAATCTGGAGGAGTCCTACGTGGGCCAGCCGCCCAATTATGGCTACACAGAATATCATGGCAGCGCCACAACGCTCCAGGACCCAGGCTATGGTGCTCCCGATCGAGTGCCTAGCCCATATTCGAGGAGTGAGACGGGCAGCACCGAAGCTTGGAGACAGCGACAGCAGCCTGGAGCTGCAGCTGGTGGCCTGAAGCGCAATGCCACGCGTAAGGTCAAGCTCGTGCAGGGTGCTGTGCTCAGTGCAGACTACCCAGTGCCGTCTGCCATTCAAAATGCAGTACAGGCAAAATACCGCAACGACCTGGAAAGTGGCAGCGAGGAATTTACACACCTGCGCTATACAGCCGCGACGTGCGATCCAAACGACTTCACATTGAAGAATGGATACAATCTTCGGCCAGCGATGTATAACAGACACACTGAGCTGCTGATTGCCATCACATACTACAACGAAGACAAGACTCTGACGTCGCGTACCCTCCACGGTGTCATGCAGAACATCCGCGACATTGTCAACATCAAAAAGTCCGAATTCTGGAACAAGGGTGGTCCTGCCTGGCAGAAGATTGTGGTGTGCTTAGTCTTCGATGGTATCGATCCATGCGACAAGGGCACCCTGGACGTGCTCGCAACAATCGGTATTTATCAAGATGGTATCATGAAGAAGGACATTGACGGCAAAGAGACCGTGGCACACATCTTCGAGTACACCACGCAATTGTCCGTGACTGCTAACCAGCAGCTCATTCGGCCACTTGATGATGGTCCGTCAACTTTGCCTCCTGTGCAGATGATGTTCTGTCTGAAGCAGAAGAACAGCAAGAAGATCAACTCGCACAGATGGCTCTTCACCGCTTTTGGCCGAATCTTGAACCCAGAAGTCTGTATTTTGCTCGACGCTGGTACCAAGCCCGGCCACAAGGCGCTTCTCGCACTCTGGGAGGCATTCTACAACGACAAAGACCTTGGAGGAGCTTGCGGTGAAATTCACGCTCTGCTCGGTAAGGGATGGAGAAACTTGCTCAACCCGCTCGTGGCCATCCAAAACTTTGAGTACAAGATCTCGAACATCCTGGACAAGCCTCTGGAGTCGTCCTTCGGATACGTGTCTGTGTTGCCAGGTGCCTTCTCTGCATACCGATTCCGCGCCATCATGGGCAGACCACTCGAGCAGTACTTTCACGGAGATCACACCCTCTCCAAGCAGCTTGGACCAAAGGGTATCGAAGGCATGAACATTTTCAAGAAGAACATGTTTTTGGCTGAGGATCGTATCCTCTGTTTCGAATTGGTCGCCAAGGCAGGAAGCAAATGGCATTTGACCTACGTCAAGGCATCCAAGGGTGAGACGGATGTGCCAGAAGGTGCACCAGAGTTCATTGGACAGCGTCGACGATGGCTCAACGGTTCCTTTGCCGCCACGCTCTATTCCCTCATGCACTTCGGCCGGATGTATCGCTCTGGACACAACATCTTGCGCATGTTCTTCTTCCACATCCAGCTGCTCTACAACATTGCTACAGTCACTCTCACCTGGTTCTCCTTGGGTAAGACACGAAGAGCACGATCAATTGAATTCTTACTGACATAACGATAGCTTCATACTATTTGACCACTGCTGTTATCATCGACCTAGTCGGAACTCCTGGTTCTTCAAACGACCAACGAGCCTTCCCATTCGGCAACACTGTCACGCCCATCCTGAACACTTGCGTCAAATACATCTACCTGGCATTCCTCCTGTTGCAATTCATCCTTGCGCTTGGTAACAGGCCGAAGGGTAGCAGGTGGACATATATTGTCTCCTTCTCTGTGTACGCGATCATCCAGTTCTACATCATCGTGGATTCTTTCTATCTGGTTTACCATGCTTTCGGATCTGGCACTGGATTTGTCACGGACCAAGGCGCTGATGATTTCATCAAATCATTCGTCTCCTCGACAGGTGCCGGTATCATCATTATCGCCCTGGCAGCAACCTTTGGTCTGTACTTCGTGGCATCGTTCTTGTACCTGGACCCATGGCACATGTTTACCTCGTTCATTCAATACCTCCTCATGATGACGAGCTATATCAACATTCTCATGGTCTACGCGTTCTCCAACTGGCACGATGTCTCTTGGGGTACCAAGGGATCCGACAAGGCGGATGCCCTGCCTTCGGCTACGACACAAAAAGGCGCGGACGGCAAGGCCACGGTCATCGAGGAACCCGACTTGGCCCAGGCAGATATCGACAGTCAATTCGAGCAAACGGTCAAACGCGCGCTGACGCCGTACATCGCCCCCAAGGAAGATACCAAGAAGACACTCGAGGATTCGTACAAGTCTTTCCGTACTCGTCTGGTGACTTTCTGGATCTTCTCGAACGCATTACTCGCCGTCGCTATCACCTCGGACAACTTTGACAAGTTCGGCTTCACTTCTGGTGCAAATGACCGAACAGCCAACTTCTTCCGAGCGTTGCTGTGGGCCACTGCAGCACTGTCGTTTATCCGCTTCTTGGGTTGTGTGTACTTCCTGTTTAAGAGCGGGTTGCTCTCGTGCTGCGCAAGACGATAGACACGGCGGCTGCAGCCACTCAAACCACCTCAAAAACAATTCGGCAGTAAGATGTGCAATTATCACGAGATTGTCTGTTAGCATTACGGAAAGACTGGGACCGTTGGAAAGGCGTTTGAGCGGATTTCTGATATGACCTTGCTACGGCCGCAAACAGGCTGCTAGTGACAGTCCGAACACAGGCTATTGCATTGTAATGTAGCAAAATACCCACGTTCTGAATGACTTCCCAATTCTGATTCTACTCGTACATGTAATGTTCCTCTCTCATAATGTCGCACGTGCTCCCGCGTTCGTTTCGTCATCTCGCGACTTGAACTTTCTACCTCGACTTTCTTCCGAACACCACTTGCGACTTCACTCGCATAGAACGAGTTCGCACAGCAGCAAATATGGCGTTCACAATCCTCGCGCCCACGCCTGCTGCAGCACCTCAGCGACCAACCTCAAACTACCTCGACACCGACGAAATGCACGACGACGAAAGCGACTCCCAAGAAGAACTCAACGATCAAGACCCCGACAGCATGCAAATCGACTCTCTGCCCTCCGGCCACACCAACGCCTCTCGCCAACTCATCACCCCAGGCCAAATCATCACCTCCGACCCACAATGGATGCGCGGCCACGGAACCTTCGCCTCCCCCACCGACGACCTCTCCTCCATCCGCTCCACTCTCGCCGGCACAATTCAAAAAACCAACAAACTCCTCTCCGTCGTCCCCCTCCGCGCACGCTATACACCCGAAATAGGCGATTTGGTTATTGGTCGAATCGTCGAAGTTCAATCGCGAAGATGGAAAGTCGATGTTGCGGCTCCGATGTTGGCGAGTTTGCAGTTGAGTAGTATAAATCTACCTGGTGGAACATTGAGACGACGGACGGGGTATGATGAGTTGAATATTCGGTCGTTCTTTGGGGAAGGGGAATTATTGGTTGCGGAGGTGCAGAGTTTGTTTCAGGATGGGAGTGCAGCTTTGCATACACGGTCGTTGAAGTATGGGAAGTTGAGGAATGGGTATTTCATGGCTGTGTCGGGGGTTGGTGGTGGGAGTGGGGTTGTGAGGTCTAAGAGGCAGATTTTTACGTTACAGACGAGAGGGAAGGGAGGAGAGGTGGATGTTATTTTGGGGGTGAATGGGTATGTGTGGATCAGCAAGCATGTGGAAGTTGGAGAGTCGGGGGATACGATGCCGGGGATTAATAAGATCGAGGAGACGATAAGCATTGGGATGTATTCCAGCCAAAACGACGAAATTGGGAATGAGACGAGAAAGCAGATTGCGAGGGTTGCGGGGTGTATACGCGCGCTCGTAGAGGGAAGTGTGAAAGTTGCGGAAGAGACTGTGAGGAGGGCGTACGAGGCGAGTCTGGAACTGGACGACTTGGAAGGGGAAGAGGAGTACCTGGGCGGTGAGAGAGGACGACTAATCGCCGAGATGGCGTTGGCGGGAGACGCTTCTTGAGAAAGAGCACACTACTCTCATGTTTGGCACATATCGACGACGATGATTGCACATTTCGTGCGAAACGAATCTGGTAGCTGGCACTGCACCGCTCCCCGAAATGGCATATTCGTTTCCAAGATCTGAAGTAAAGGCTTTGCACAGCCAATGCGATAGGACTAGGCTCAGTGGGCAGCTGCTTCTGAATGCTGGACTGTCGGCGTTATGCTCTGCTACGAGCTCGTCGATTCTACACCGCAGGTGGTTCCACATAGACCACCAAGGCCGGCAGCAGTGAGCGAACCGAGGAGGAAGGCGTCAGCCATGACGGCGACGATGTAAAAATGAGATGTGCTCATCCCATCATCGTACACCTCACCAATTCTGGTGAGCAGCAAGGCGGATCAATGGCAAAAGGCTGGTAGACACAGATAGCTCATCTCGAAATGCCGTGTCATTTGGTCCGGCATAGATCGGGCAATGAGTAACCAAGTAAATCATTCAACAGGCGGGTTCGAGACCGAGCTGGAGTTCTCACACATGCAGTCCACGTTCAAACATTAATGCTTCATTTCAATCGTCGCCTCCGTATAGCTAAAGGAAAAGAAGACTAATCTCAAAACAGCCAGCCCAAAACACGCGAAAGTGGTATAGAGTTTGCAAAACACAGTGAGCGCACATATCCACAAGACACAATCAACAGCCGAAAATTCCGAATGCTTTCGTCCGCTCAATGCACAATATGTATCTGCCCGCCAATGATGATGACCCGGAAAGAAGAAAAGTGTCGAACCATCCGTGATCGTATGTCCAAGAGAAAGTAAGCGTGTACGTCGTTATCAAGGAAGAGCGATCCTTTCGTCCGTCTCCGGAGAGGACTCCAATTCAGCGTCAGTCTCGAAGTTCAAGTCAAGCAGCCCATCTGGGACCGAGGGGAGGTGAAACGACGACCGAGTCGAGATTGTACTCCAGTCATTGTCACAAAGCTCCTCCTCTCTGTCCTCATATTCTTCTTCTTGCTCTTGCTGCTTGCTCTCACTTGACTTATGCGCTGGCGAGGGATCGGATCCTGATCGCACGTCCGAAGCTGCATCTTTTGTCATGTCCTGGCTTTCACGGACCTCACCGTGGGGCTCTTGACGCTCAGTCCAGTGAGCAACTTTTGTTTCTTCCGCCGCCATTTTTACTGGAGCAGAATCAGAAGAGCAGGGTTCAGACTGTTTGAAGCAGCTCAAGCGAACATTCTAGTTCTTGAGCTTCTCGATCAATCTGCTGAAACGACCCTTCTTCTTCGTCGATGAGGCTTCAGTCTTTGCCGAGTCTGGAGTGCCCTCTTTGCCGCCCTTAAATCGCTCCATAATAGAGTTGCGCTTGGCAGGGGTGGATGGGCTGGCGCCAGTGCGTGGAGTGCCTATCGGCTTGGACGCAGCTGGAGCTTCGCCAGAGTCGACGCCGGTGGTGACGACAGGTGCAGTCTGGTTATCAGTGGCAGTGGCTGGGTTGGGCTTCGACATTGGGCTAACGTCCCTGCTGTCCATGGGCTGGTTGGGTTGAGCTTGCGACGTCGCAGGTGCATTGAGTCCCTTGGACTTGTCGTCCAGACTAAGAGCGGCAACACCCGCGGTTGGGTCACCAAGCTGTGGTGCACCAGAAGCAGATGTCGTTTCGGCAGCAGGAGCTACAGCTGTGGTGGTAGCGGTAACTGTGGGTGCGGGATCACCACCGGCCTGTGACTCTGGCACTTTCTGCAAAAGCTCCTTCTCCACATCGGCTTTCTCCTGAACGGCCTCTGGGTTGGCAGATGCTTCAGGTGCGACGTGGGCCTCCGTTTGTGATTCCTTCACTTCGGTCGGAACCGCGTCTGCAGCAGGCCGCGTGGTGTCGCCTCCGCTTGGTTTCGTGTTCTCGTCGACAGTCTTCTGTACTGAAGCAGGGAGGACCGAGACTGGATCTGTTCCAGTGACCTCGTGTGTCTTTTGACGAGCAACTGCCGCAGCACCGAGAGCTGCAGCACCGGCGCCCGCAGCAGCGCCACCAAGAGCACCGCCAATAGCGCTGCTGGTCTGATCTTCTGGCTTTCCAATCTTGTCCTTCAGCTCAGCTTCAAGCTCCTTCTTTTCTGCTACTGCTTCGGGGTTTGCAGATGCCTCGGGAGCGACGCCGGCCTCCTGCTGACTCTCTTTCACGACCTCAGGAACTCCACGCGGCTCCAATGGGACCTGACCAGCCAACTGGTTGGTTGTGCTCGTGGGACCAACCGAGTTGACAGCTTGTCCCTCGATGGGAGCTGGAACGTCCTTACCCATTCCGAGGCTCGATTCGGGGATAATGTTTGTGGTTTGAGGGCCCAGACCACCAATGATGGCAGCGCTCGCAGCCGCGTTGCTACCGTCCGCCGAAGTATCAGGCACAGCTGGAACGCTGGCTCCGCTGTTCTCGTAGGACGCCTTGTCTAGCTTGACATTACTATCGATGGTGTTTGTCGTGAAGGTACTGCTGTCAGGCACCTTCTCGCCCGGCGCAAGAGTGATTGGGTTGCCGATGCCACTGGTAGCTGGAAGAGGAGCGACACTGACAGTCTGGTCGTCTGTGCTGCTCTTTAGCGATGGGTCGTCGCGCACGGTCGAAGCAATGGTGTTGTTGTTGAACGTGGACTGGTCTGGAAGTTGCTGGCCGGCTGGAACGCTGATCGGGTTTCCAATACCCGCGCTTGCTGGAATGGGGTTGACAGAGAAGGTTTGCTCTTGCTCCTTGGAGTCAGCGGCGGGTGTCTCTGGGAAGGCGCCAGGCGCGGAGGCCGCCACCCCGCTCTCCTTGTCCTTTTCCTTCTCGAGTGGCTGCTGGCCAGCCAAAGAAGCCGTAGTAGCGCCGGGCGCGACTGAAGAGAGATTGTGCGCCATGGAGTTGAGAGGCTGGATGTCTTCTGGCAGCAGCACGTTGTTGAGGTTGCCTTCGTGGTCGGTCTCTGTCTTGGCGGTATGATCGTGCGACCAATTCCCGTCGGCGACGAATTTGTAGTAGACCTTTTCTGTTGAGGGCAGGTTCACGAGCTTTTCGTGCAGCTGATCCTTCTTATCGAGTTTCACGCTCTTGCTCCAGTTGTCGAATGTTCCGGTCACGTAGACTTCGTTGGCCGGATGCGACCTGTGCGGTGGATGTTCGTCAGCTTATGCGCAGCCCCTCCGATCACGACCGCGACCAATTGTGAATGTGCGAGCGGGCGGCTGAAGGCTGCCTGGAAGCTGTTTTTATGCTGCGCGCGCGGGAGCAGCAGTGGGATGCGTGTGACGTGGGCCGACGTACCAAGTGAAGTTATAGCTTCCCATCTTTGGTGATGAGACGTAGCGGTGCAGGGAGCAGTGGGCTGTTGTTGAGCGCACAGCTATTCAAATGACGACAGCGATGTGGAGAGAGGAGTGCGTGACCAGGTCAAGGTGGCCGCGCGAAATGAAACGCCGGCGGGTCTGCAGCGATGGCGTACCGAGGAAGAGAGGTTTGCTGTCGCTCTCCGCGTCTGCGCGCTGCCAGCACAAAAAATTGTCACGAGAGTATGCGTGCGGTAGACTGACGCGCGGTGATGAGCGTGGAGCCAGAGTCGTGAGAGATGTCGGTCGCACCAGAGGCTGCTTCGTCGGTCCCTGCAGGCATGATTATCTATTCAGCAGCGGTGGCTGGGCTGGCGAGCTGGAGCTATTGGGTTGGGATACGAAAAGTGGAGCTGCCGTGACTGGTCCTCACAGTATTGGGGTCACATGGTGGTTTTGGAGCGGTCTAATATCACGATCGGTGCAAGCGCTGAACGGTGTCGCAGAGGGCAGAGTCGAATGGCGGGACGACTGACCTGTTTCGTGCATTGGACGGACAACACTGACTTCAGATGGCAGTGGGAATGGTCGTTCTCAATGCATGATAACAGAACTGCATCGCGTACCGACAGACATGCAGTCGGTGAGCATATGTATATGTATGTACGCGCCGGCCACGTTCCTGAATGTCTCGTCTGGGCGTCGGGTTGGTACAGTAGCAGCAGCAGCAGCAGAGCAGAGCGTGTGTCTCTGGCACAGACGGCCAAGTCGCAGCTCGGCCCCGCAGATCGTCAGAAAGAAGCTCCTTCGATAGCTGCCCGCGACCGCCTTCTCGAACATTGCCCGTTTCTGCGCCCTGCCCTGCACCACCGCCCTCTGCCTCCGCCTGCGCTCTCGTCCACCGCCCTGCTGCGCTGCACACCTGGTCACCTTCATTGTAAGCTTTCCATATCGCTCCCCGCGCTCTCCATTGGCGGCCGCTCCTCCGACGTGCCTGAGCGCGGAACAGTCGCACAAGACCGGCGATCCCTCTCCATCCTAGCTCCTTGTACGTCACAATAGTGGGCTCGTTTGACATCTCGCCCTGCAGCCTCAACTCCATCACGCGCGTCACACCAGCACAGCAAGCAGCAAGCTCCCCGTCAGCGGAGCCAGCAGAGCCTAGCCAGGGAGCTCGGAAGGACCACGGTGCGCCGCCGCCGCCGCTGAAAAAGAGCCTCCATTCCCCGCCCCTCGCGCGTGCCTGGAGGAATGTCGCTCCCCAGCGACTATACCAACGAAATCGGCGCCCTGAACCGCGAAGTCCTCAAGCACCAGCCCAAGGACATCCTCCAGTTCTGCGCCAACTTCTTCCAGCGCCGCCTGGAGTCACAGCGCGCCGAGTTCCTGCTGTCGCACCGACATTCCAGCCAGCCGGGAATGGCGGAGAGCACCTTCCCTGGCTCCAATCCGTTCACGTCGACTGCCCCCAACCAGCTGGCGGGAACAGGCGGCGGCATGCATTCGCTCGCCGAAGAAGAGGAGCACGACGACTTCGCCTCGCCCACCGCCTCCTCCTTCCCTCCCCACGTCCGCGAAGTCTCTCCCACCGACCCTAGCAGTGTCCCCAACAGCGCTGCCGGAGGCACATTTGGCAACTTTGGCGGCTTTGGAGCCCCTCGCAGCAGCAATCAAGCCCCTCCCGCGCCCTCTGACAACATGTCACAATCCGCCTTTCCCAACAACTACAACATGAACCGTCGCACCTCGGTGTCGGCCGAGTCGCTCGCCCCCGGAGCAGCAGACGACAGCAATTGGAAGGCTCCGAGCTATCCAAAGACAGCCGAGCAGCTGGCGCGTCTTCGCGAAGCTGTGTCGCACAATTTCCTGTTCAAGAATCTCGATGAAGATCAGGCTTCGCAGGTGCTAAACGCTCTTCAAGAGAAGCGTGTTCCCGCCAAGGATGTCAGAGTCATCACACAGGGCGAGTCGGGTGACTATTTCTACGTTGTGGAATCCGGCAGATTTGACATCTACATCTCGCATTCTGGCAAGGCAGAGCAAGGCCAGGCGGGTCTCGGCGACAAGGTCGCAAGCAATGGCCCAGGCACCTCGTTTGGTGAACTGGCGCTGATGTACAACGCTCCACGTGCAGCCACTGTCGTGAGCACTGAGCCAAGCGTGTTGTGGCAGCTGGATCGTCTTACCTTCCGCAAGATTCTGATGGACTCCGCCTTCCAGCGCCGTCGCATGTACGAGTCGTTCTTGGAAGGCGTGCCGCTTCTGTCCTCTCTCACACCATATGAGCGAAGCAAGATTGCCGATGCTTTGGACACCGTGAAGCACCCTGCTGGCAGCACCATCATTCAAGAGGGCGATGTTGGCGACAAATTCTACATTTTGGAAGCAGGCGAGGCAGTTGCCGTGAAACGTGGTCGCGAGCAGCAACCCTTGAAGAGATACAAGCCAGGAGACTATTTTGGCGAGCTGGCGTTGTTGGACGACAAGCCGCGTGCTGCGAGTGTGGTGAGCACATCCGAGGTCAAGGTCGCTGCGCTTGATAAGGACGGCTTTCAAAGACTGCTGGGACCTGTGGAGGCCATCATGCGTCGCGATGATCCGCGCAACCAAGGTGTGGACCCCCTGCGATGAATCAAAATACCATTTTAGAGAAGGAATTCGAAAGCCACGAATATCGCAGCAGCCACAAGAGTGGTCCAAGGAATCTCGAGAGTCGCAATGTCTTCATAAGCGTACCTCAAAAGTGCCTTTCATGGCTGGCTGGTAAAAATGAAGTTGCTGCATCGTAAGCTTTTTGGAATCAGATGCAGACAGTATTGGCTTAGGGGTGACGTGTGGCGTCGGGCGAATCTTGGTGCTACTGGTCTTCTTTTGTGACATAACCCCAAGTGATGGACGGTAGGAGGGAGGGTATGCAAGGGAGCCCCTCGATCTACTCATGAGCAATCCATAGAAACGAATATCATTATGCGACTGAAGCTTTGAAACATCATCTTCATTTGAGGGTGACGTGCACATCTGGCAGGGAACATATCATCAGCTCCAGCTCACCCCAAGATCTGGTGGAAAATCTTGACTGTCGAACAGCTACAACACTCGTCATTTTGCGTGGTGGTAATGATGGGTCTATGCAAGTATGGGCCTGTGCGATAATGCCTGCTTGGATCGATGCGCATATGGCTAGTCTGGTCTGGTTTTCTGCACACTAATGCGCTGTCCCCCATGTCGCGCCATGTCTGCACTTTGGGCCACGATGCAAGTTTTCTCTAGCAGGCTTCCTAGTCTCTATGGGCTTGAGACATGGCTGCGTGAATGCTGTCAGTAGCATTGCGACCCGAGGTGCCAAGTATTTGTTCGATGCAAGCGAAGTAGGATAGTTGGCAGAAATACGCATTCGCTTGGCTGCAGGAGTGTGCAATAATCTACTCTAGGGGTTTCCTCCGTGTGCTCGATCACCACGTCTTTCCGGTCCGGGGCTTTGCATCGTGACGTCGGTATAGCATGAGGACTGGGTGGGTCGTGTCGTTCGAGAGATGGAGTAGACCACGAGTTGCCAAAGGACATTATCATTGCGGTAAATTATTTCTCCTTCTCCTGCTTACTGCAACTTCGTCACTCGAATGATATCTCTCAGGATATACAGACTGCCAGCATCTCCAGAATCTGCCGTCTTCAATTGGAATAATTCTGAGAAGTATAATGGATCTGGACCTCCTCCGACCTGTCGTTTGCCTTTCATCAGCGCCAATGGTTTTGTCAATGATCGGTCAGCGAAGAAGAAGAACTTACGAAGACTCTTCCTGTGACGAGGACTACAACGTCGTCTAGAGTCATGCCCTGGATATCCACCGAGGCAATCTCATGTTTCGTTGATTGTGGGATCAGGTTCTTTTTTGCAACGGATGTTATCTCAGTACTCCTGTTCGGCCTGCCCAGGGACAGCAAGCACGACTCACGAAGACGCCCGTGTAGATCGCATCGCCGCCAGAGAAGCTCGTGATTGCGGACTCGAAGGATAGAGTGGAATCGGATGCGTAGAAGGCTTTCAGCTCGGGTCTACGAGACTGATCGTCCCAGAGCGCGTAGTTCTGATCGATGAATGCTTCTGGTGGGAATGATCACTATCTTGAGATAGCCCAGCGTTTGGGCGAGACGTACTGGTGACTTCGTAGACGTTGCCTGTTGCTGTGAGTGTTAGTCAACTCGCCTTGAACACCCGCCGGATGTCCGGCTGTGATTTGATACCCATTGTGATATTCTGGAGGCGCTTTGCTGGACAAACTTGTGAAATTGTTGGATGAGAAATCTGAGCCCACGTTGATTTGAAGGTGTATAGCTCTATCGATATTGTCGAATCCCAATCTGATTCCGCCCATCCGTCGGTATGTGCAATCATGCCGAGGAGGATTATCCGACCTCCACCTCTACAATCCATATCCCTGAATGCATGGCCGACGGCCGAACACTGATAAGCGCGAGTCGTATTTTGGGATCTTCAGAACAACTGCCTCTGCCGGACTTGCCTGCCTGCCTGCAGCTAATTTGACCCGATGGAAATGAAGTGAAGAGAAAAGACGCCGTTGACGTATGTATCGGTCTAGAATTTCTCCTTCTAGGCCGAAGGTCACCCGGCGCACTTGGTAAGCGATGTATGCAAGCAAGTCTGCAATATGTGCAGCTATGAGCTTAGCTTGCGTGTCGCCGCGCATGCTCGGCATTCGTGTGGAGTGCGCATCACGTCCGCGTGAATAGTTTTGAAGTAGCTTGGCAGTGATGACGACGAAGCGATGTTCGCTGGTCTTGTTATGCGCTAATGTGCGCGGCTGAGGATCCCTTGCGCAACTGGGAGAAAGGTTTCATGAGCTTGAGCAGTTTCGCCGCAGCCGTGCGCCTTGTAGATTCTTCTGCTTCTGCTTCCATAGTCGAACACGACGAGGAAGACAAATTCGATGCCCAGATTCGAGACCGTTGGTGAGTCGAGATGTAGAACGATTTGCGGGAGGAACAAGGCGCGGGGACTTCATCTTCGTCACTCGCGTCGTGAAAGTAATCCCAATCATGTGGTGATTGTTCCTCGCTGAAAGATGTTGATGATGACGAAGAATTTGTCCGTTCAGCGTCCTGCTGCTGATTTGGAAGGCATACTGGTCGGCGCAGGGCTCGATCTCGCAGATGAGGAGGAAGAGAAGACATCGCTGCTGCTGGCTGGGCTTGCTGGACGTGGCGAATTGCTGCGAGAAGCGTTGGAGGCCTTGATAAATTTGTCCAGAAACGCGCCCTCCCAGCTGTGATCGGAGGCCGTGGTGGTTGCTGCGGAGGACGACATGATGGATGATACTCTTTTGGTTTGCTGTTCTGGGAACTTCGTAGAGCGAAGGCGATGACTATAGCTTTGGAGATTGCCTTTCGGTGTCCCGGGAGTAGACAGTTGTCTCGTGATCGCGTGGATGTGATACGGCTTGCTGACTGCGTGGCCTGACTACACGATGGGTGATTTGATTCGGTGACCGATGTAAGGGTGCTCGGGTGGTCTTGATATGGTGCTGGTGGTATGGGAGCAGGTCAGCCCAGGTGGTGTTGCGTGATGGTGGCCCAAGAGGAAGTGGCGAAGGGCCTAGAAGGTGAGTGAGGCAGCAAGATTGTTATACCCAACCCGCTGCCGTCGAACGACTACCGTATAAAGGGTGCCTACAGGGCTGACGCGAACCGCATTGATGCAAGCGCAGAGTCACCGTGGAGCCTGGCATCCTGGTCGCTCCGCGTGCTGGGCAACACGGACGCAGCGGACGGAGCTAAGACTTGTCGCTGCAGCACACCGGCCAGCAGGACAGGAGCGGAGGTCGCGCGTCCATCGTACGGCATCCGTGCAGTCCGCAAGAACCGCTGGTCTCGCACGCATGCACGCATGCGCTGCAGGCAAACCTTGGCCATGACAAAGCCCGACGTTTCCGCTGTGCCCAACTCTGCGGCCGAGCAGTGCGCCAGGTTGATTGGCCAATTGCTCAGCGAAGCGAAGCTCGCTACCTTGCCCTTACGCGCAGACAGGCAGACGTCCACGGGTGCAGGAGGATTGTGACAATGACAAACAGCCACAGCCACGGCTGCCAATGGCACATGAAGATCGCGCTTTACGGCTCAATCGACACAACTGCATGTGCTTCGGCAACACTACATCATCCACCACACACCTCATACCTGATGACCAACTTTGCGAGCTCGCTTATATGTACCGCTGCTGCACATATGGCAACAACATGAGGCCCATACACGTCTTCCTCCATTGCGCCGTGGGGGCATACTGAAACCAGTCCCTGCTCCTCCATCCTGCTGCAATCTCAAGCCATAGTCGTACCGCAGTCACATGGCGGTGGCTCCTCTCCGGCTCCTGCTCGCTCGATATCAGTATGCAGGATCTCTGTCTGGTCATGTCACGCTCCCAGAGTCCCTGGGATGACGCTGAATAGCGCCTACTAGCGCTTGCATCATTTCAAGTGAACTTGACTATGCTGGAAGCACGAGTTCGATCAGTGGATCAAGGCAGTACTTCTACGTCGACCAAATCGTGAGAAAGCGGCCGTCTGAATTCGCTAGGTTGAAGATATTGCCAGAAGGTGATCTTCGGCAGGCCATGAAATGCGCCATTGAACTGCGCATGGTCGTTGGTCTTTATGCCGAGAACGCCGTTCTACAAAAATGAGACAACAGAAGATGGTGCTCAGCTGTCTGTTACGCCACGGTTGACTGGCCCGGAGTTCCGAGTATGTGTCACTCAGCGTCTTTGGCCGATGCGGTATGGTCCTGCACTTATAATGTTACATGTAGGCAACTAATTCTGAGGGAGATGATGGAGTTGGCGGAGAAGTCCTCACCAAGGAGGAAAAGTCAGAATGCCTGTGCTGGAAGATGTCTTGGGCATTTTTCTCTCCACGAGTAAATAGCTGCTGTTCCTGCTGTCTGGCCGGGCCGTGGGTCGCTGTTCGCTGTAGGCTATGGGTAAGATCTAGATTTACATAGCTGATGTTGGTTATCGCCACGCCGCGATATCGTGATGGGATAGTGGTCTCTCGCAGCTGTTCAAAACCTGGTAGTTCGTATCAATACCGGTTCTGTGCCGCTTCGCTGTACTGTGCACGAGAGAATGTTGGTGACCGAGAACAACAGTCGTTGTTTTCGGAGCGGACGCACCCCTGCCTTCGGCAACCCTGCCGCGAAAGCTTGTGTCAAAAGTCTCGCTGTGAAGCACCTCACAGCAGTCATAGCGTTCCGTGACGCATCTTGCAGACAACGACAGCTTGTATGCGCTGACACCCATTTCGAATCACATAGCGAGCCGGCAGCCTTACCACAAGCGTGCAAGAAAGGTCCTGCCCTTTCCCTAAGCCGTTTTTCAAAATTCGCCCGAAGCGCACACCCACCGCACGATGGTCGGCACGAGAGGTCCAGTGCCAGTGCCTGTGCAGGCCAATGGCACCGACCTGACACTGGACATCTTGGAGAAACTCGAGAACACCGATCCTATCCACACAGAAGATGCATATCCAGAAGTACCACAAGCTCAGCTCAAAGCTGCCCTCGACAGACTCGCGAGCAGGGCAATGCTGGAGTATGACACGAACGACGCAGAGCGAGTAGTACTCACGGCGGAAGGCCAGCAGATCGCAGACGAGGGCAGCCATGAATACAAGGTGTGGGAAGCCGTCAAGGCAGCGGGGAAGTTGGGGGTGAAGGATCCATCGCTCGCGACACCTAACGCCAAAGTTGGTCTGGGCAATGCGATGAAGCTCAAATGGGTCAAGAAGGATGGCGATGCACTGGTTTCGCTGCAGGAGAGCGTCAGAGATCAAACGAGAGAGGTTCTGCAGTTCGCAGCCCAAGCGGGTAGCTTCCCAGATGCCAAACAACAGAAGGAATTTCAGAAGAGAAAGCTGGTCACAACGAAAAAAGTCATCACATACAGTGTGCGGAAAGGACCACGTTGGGCAAAGGAGATTCCAGTAGAGGTGACAGACCTCACTGCGGAGATGATTGAGGATGGTAGCTGGAAGACTGCGACCTTCAAGCCATACAACTTCAAAGCACTCGGCGCGAACCAGAATGCTGGCACATTACATCCACTGAACAAAGTGCGAGAGGAATTCCGCAAAATCTTCTTCAACTGGGACTTCATTGAGATGCCGACAGCACGGTGAGAATGGAAAGCTCTCCTTCCTTGGACCAGCTAACAATTGTGCAGCTTCGTAGACACCGGCTTCTGGAACTTCGATGCCCTCTTCGTTCCGCAACAACATCCCGCTCGTGACCTGCAAGACACCTTCTACGTCTCAGATCCAGCCGAATCTGGTCTCCCAGGGCCCGACCCGATCGCAGACGCCGCCCTGAACAAGATGGAAGCCGATTCGCGCCTTTTCGCCACGGGCACTTCTGATGAGGTTAAGCCTCTAGACTACAAGAAGTACTCCGAAGATGTGCGCGCAGTCCATCAGGAAGGCAAGTTCGGGTCCATCGGCTACCGTGCTCCCTATGCCGAATCAGAAACGACTCGTCTTGTCCTCCGAACACATACTACTGCTGTGTCCACATACTGCCTGCACCGACTAGCAGCAAATCCACGGCCCGCGCGATACTTCTCGATCGACCGTGTCTTCCGGAACGAAACCGTTGATGCTACGCACTTGGCAGAGTTCCACCAAATAGAAGGCGTCATTGCAGATTATGGCCTGACTCTTGGTGGCCTGCAAGCTTTCCTGGGCAAGTTCTTCGAGCAACTCGGCATCACAAACCTGCGCTTCAAGCCCGCGTACAACCCATACACCGAGCCTTCTATGGAAGTCTTCGGTTTCCACAGAGGTCTCAACAAGTGGGTCGAGATTGGTAACTCTGGCATGTTCCGACCAGAGATGTTATTACCCATGGGCCTGCCGGAAGACCTACGAGTGTATGGCTTCGGTCTTTCGCTAGAACGACCTACCATGATCAAGTACGGTGTATCAAACATCCGAGAACTTCTTGGACATAAGGTCGATCTAGGGTTCATTGAAAGCAATCCTGCGGTCAGGTTGGACAAGGATTAGAAGTCCTGCGTGAATGAAATTCCTGCGCGACGTTCCTCGTGGTGCTTGGAGTTTCTGAAAGTGGCTGTTAGAGAGTACTGCAGAGATACAGCGCGCTCGCGCACACCAATTGTAGACCACAACTTGAATGAGACAAATTTCAATGCTGGCTTTTGCCCTCTGGAATATCGCCTATCATCAACAACTGCCTTCTCCTGGGCTTCTTCATCGATTTGTTATATGTTCATTGTCCATTATCAGCAATATCCATCGCTTGCGCAGCCCTCAATCATCCTCTTCATTCTGCTCTGGAACAAAATCTCCTGAATCCGCGGCATCCATTCTTTTCCCCCTGTGTACGTCTTGTGCCAAACCACCTGCATCCCGTCCTCGCTATACGGTTTGAGAGCCCCAACTAGCGACTCCCAATCCTCTCGTGTCTTGGTCCCTGTATTTGTTGTGAGAATCAGCCAAAGCTTACGGTCACGGCTCCAATGCAGCTCATACCCTCGTCTAATTCATGCTTGATACCCGTGTTCGATACCACATCCAATCTGCAAATCAACTGCGCTCTCTCGCGCCGCGTGTCCAGCCACTTGAGGAGTGCTTTTGTATTACTGTTGTCGACTACAGCGACCATGGAATGCTGACAGGCGTAGTACATGAGTAGGCTCTCCGCGCGAATCTGGCGGCATGTTCTTGACAAGCTGGGCTCCTCATAGATGTTAGGAGATGCTTCTGGCCGTCCCGAACCGGATTGTAGGCTCAATGTCCAGATGTAGTTGCGCAACTCTGCGGGAACTCTGGAGAACGGTGAGCAGTCCATTTTGGAAGGCGAGAAGGCTGAAGAGTCTTCTGGTTCAGTGCATACTGCTCATTGCAGGCATGCTCATGGTACTACATGTTGGTAGAATTGCATGGCTGACGTCGCTGTGCTGGTGAAGGTTCGTTTGCCAGTTTCATATATGCGACAGATCTAGAGTCAGGAGCGCATGTCGGATAAACGTGATCCATGCTGTAGGATTATACAATGCTGCTGTTTGTTCGACGTCTGATGAAAGCAGCTGAGCTGTGCCAATGTACGTCCTGTCGCTTAGCAAATTGCTCGTTGGTTGTCTCCCGTGAGCCGAGTCTTGGTTGGCGAAGCTCTTTTGACATTCTCAACAAACTTCTAATACGCTTAAAGGAGAGAAATCGTGGTTCGTTGTATAGTAGCTCTCTGAGAAATATTGGCTGCTTAGGCAATTTTGACGTGGGAGCTTCGTGGATAAGCTCTGGTCAAGCTGCTGAGCTGGAGGTCGTCGAATGATTTCTATTCCCACTGCTGCAATACCACTCCATCTATCACGACGGACGATGAGGGGTCCGTTGACAGACACGCTTTCTCGACGAACAGGAGGTTGCAGCTCGGATTCAGAATGTCGTGTCTGGTAACATTACAGTGCTTAAGCCGACAGCTGTAAGCCTGACACGCGTGCAATCTGATGCTGAATCGGGTCGTGGCCCGTTGCTTGACACTGCCAGAGTGGAGAGGTTTGAAGCTGCCGTGGTGCGAGCCATTGGGCTTTGCTGGTGTCAGAGCAATTGGAGTCTGCTGGTTGGTTGCCGCTCGAAGACCCTGCAGCCGCAAAAGATCGGCCGTTGTGCAAGCATATTGCCCGATGGCAGCCAGACATGCGCTCTTCTTCACCGACCACCCTACGTGCAGCTCCCCCATTGCCCGGCACTCCACCGTCCACGCACTGTCGCCCCTCCCAGCTTCACCGCAGCTGTCGACGGGTTGAACGAGATCGATCGCCCCGTGCCACGAGCGTTGTGGTCCTGGACCCCGCAGTCACTCGGTCAAAGTCTGGTCGCGACTGCCGTTAAAGACCCGCTCTGCATCTTTTGGCAGGTCGCCCGCCCTCGGTCACCATAGACGCGTCTTCCTCGACGAGCGACCCTCGCCCCCATCCGGCAGGACAACGAAATGCAGCGAGTCCGCACCTGTTACCACATGCGATGGAAAGCAGCGGGGCGGCAGCATCATCATGGCCGAATGGCCTAGCAATGAACGGCAGCAGCAATCGCGAAGAGACGCAGCAAACCGACAGGCCCGATCCAGCAAACACCCTTGCGCCTCCTCCTTCCCAGGATGCAGTGGTTCAGAGCGCTGATGTGGGAGTACGCGCAGCAGGAGAGCAGGCCATGATCGAGAATAGCGCCATACCTATGACGAACGGCAAGATGGACCCCAAGCCCGAGCACGAAGTTCACGGCAACGTGCAAAGTAGCATGGCCGGACACGAAGGTCACAGCACCGCGCAAGGCAACATGCCAGCACCAGCTCCTCTTGCAGTGCACCATGGCGACTTGGGCAATCTGGATACTCCGGCGCGTCCAGTGGTCGACCACGGCATTGAGAGTAATGTTCGCGACACGATAGACTTGCACGAGACAGCGAATGGCTTGTACAAGGTGGAAAGCGCACCAAATGACCAGCTACACGACCTCAGTCTGTATGCAGCTCTGCCAGATCCAGATCAATTGCTGTTCGGCCAGGGTTCTACAATGGATGCGGCGCTTGCGGATCCCAGCACCCCATCGAACGCATTAGTGCATGTCGGTCTCCCTGCCTCGCCCACGATGGTCGAAGAAGAACCAAGTACCCACGAGGCTTATGCCATGCTCAAGTTCCCGGACAGTTACTACTATGTGAAATCCATGAACGTTATGGTCGGTCGTGATCAACACTACTACAATGCCTTCAAGGAGAGTCAGAAACAGGCCAAAAGGAAGGCTAAGATGCAGCGTCGTGCCCAGCAGTCGTTGGATGACTATGCTCGTGAGCCCAGTCACCATTCCCAGCACGGTGGCGATGATGATGATGAGGATCTCGTCGGCCGACCTGCGCATGGGCTATTGAGCACATACAGCGATGTAGGAGGCGCTGTCTCCTATGTTGATCCTACTGACTACGGCTTCGAAAGCACAACTGCCCTCACCCAGCGAAATCGGAGAAGCAAGAACAATTCGTCGTCGAATCACTCGATAGCGCCACGCAGCCTCCACGAATTTGAGCAAGGTGATGAATTGGAGGGCGAGCTATATGCTGACAGCCATGGTAAAGTACACGAGCCCCAGGAATGGGCGCAAGTCACAATTCATCCGCGAGAACCCGGTCATATTGAGAAGATTTCGCGCGAGCATCTGATCATTCGATTTGATCGGGACAACTCGCGTTGGGTCATGGATGTGATCGGCAACATGGCTATGCACAATGGCGATCTTCGTAGACGAGGCGAGACTGACATCGTGCTCAGCCACGATGACGAGATCATTATCGTCTCCGTCAGCTTCAGATTTATGCTTCCGAACGATCATGAAAGTGAGACATACTACCTGGAAAGCTCAGAATATGCCAATGACGGCGAGGAGAATGAGTTTGAAACGAGTCCGGCTATTCAAGAAGTGTCGCAGACGATTGAGACTGTCGAAAGCAGTGATGAAGGCGATTCATCTGAGGAAGATGTCCCTCTTGCACAACAGAGCAAACCGAAGAAACCAAAGGACAAGAAATCGAAAACCAAAGAGCGCAAGCTAAAGCCTGTCAAACTGAAATTGAAGAACAAGAATGCTGGCAAGAAACCGCAGAAAAGTACTGAGGCTGCTGGCGCGGAGGACAAGGCACCGAAACCAAAAGGAAAGACACCCGCCAAATCTGGCGGCAAGGTTCCTGCAACGGCGTCAAAGGCTCCAGCTCAGAAGGAGGGGCCATCGGAGTCAGCGAATCACAACGAGGAAGGACAAGCTGCAAAACTGAAGGATGAGGCATTGCCTGTGGCTACCACAGAGACACCACTTCCTGAAGCCAGTCAAACTCCACAAGCGGCGCAGCCAACTCAAGCTTCGCCACCAGCAGCGATAAATCTCGACGCAAATTCCGCTTTCGCGGGCGCTGACCCATCTCAGCTGCCACAGAAACGCAAAGGTCCAGGTAGGCCTCCCAAGAACGGATTGATATCAAAGCGTGACGATGCAGGGGTCAAGCGCAAGCTCAAAGAGTACGAGCGGCAAGGCCTTGCGCCCCCGTCCATGAACGAACTGTTGGACATGGTTCGTGCCGAGCAGCGGCAGAAGGATGCTGCCGCCAAAGCAGCATCACGAGGCGAAGCAGCTCCGGATGTGGCAATGCAGAATGTGGACCCGCGGATGCAGAATTACAGCACAGCGTACGCTTCAACTACACCGAACCAGCCCCAGCAAAACGTGGCCTCCGGCAGCAGCGCACCGAATGATATTCCAGCGACAAGATCAACTAGTCCTCGACCGCGACGTCCTGCTCGCTCGCCGTCCCCAATGCCTGCTCGTGAGAGCTTTACGGAGGAACAGCTCAAGAAACCAGCGATCACATACGTCTTTATCATCGATGAGATCTTGCAAGATCCAGCACTGGATGGCCAAGCGGATTTGCAAACTATCTACGACAAGATACAAAAGCGATGGCCGTATTTCAAGTACGGGACTACGACTAACGGCTGGCAAAGCAGCGTGCGCCACAATCTGCTACAGAGTCCACGCTTCGTAGAATCTGGCAAGAGCGGCAAGGGAAAGTACTGGAAAATCGACTTCTCGCATGAACTTGATCCAAAGAAAAGGAAGCAAGCGTCGCCACCTCCGCCCGCTCTACCTCGAAACGGCGCACCGTATCAACAGCCTTTCAACACTGCCTATCAGCAAGGTGGCCAGATGTATCACAGTCCGTACAATCCAGGCGCAAATCCCGTTGCAGGGCCGTCTGGCTCAGGGCAGATGCAGGCGAATGGACAGCCGGCGAACGGACAGTATCCGCAGCCTCACTACGGGACACATAGTGGTCCGTCATCACAACA